GATTGCTGAGGCATAGATAGATCTGAGATACCAGTGTCATTCGACAGGCTAGAATGGTTCGACCCGTAGTAGGCCAATGCGCAACCTTCGTTTCGTGCTTTCGAGGAAATAACCAGTATGGAATAAGCGCCCGATTGATCCTTGAATCACAAGCGCCAGAGTTTCAGAAACACTCGGGATAGTGCCAGCAGGGTTGATGCGAATCATCCACTTCTGTTCTTAGCGACAGTGGAGTAGCGATATTCGGGGCTACGTCACAGTCAACGCACCGTAACTGCGTTGCTCATCCAACATACATCTACGTCACGAAGACTGGGGGCTTGAGCTATGCTAGTGTTACGAGTAACGACGCGCGCCACAGTCTCCAGGTACGACCCCGCCACGGATACTTCCGGATGAAAGGATCGCGAAGGGAGATGATCGGTTTACGGCTGGGATCATCACATCCGTAGCTACCAGTGTAGCGAGCTCTGGTAACGGCTATCGGAAACTCGCTCACCGGTGCTTAGAACTCTTAGCGACGGTTGGTCAAAGTTGCGAATCGTGACTACCAAGGCACCTTACCACCTACCAATGCACTCCAGTTCCCTCGGTCTGCAAGGGAACGAGGGGCAAAGATAGGGGCTTGAAATATATCACCTCCGTTCCAACGCTCGAATCGCGCCCTATCGCGCCCGACAGCCACCGTTGGCTGGATACGGAGGCTGAAACAGCCAAGTCCGCCGAGTAGCCTACTAGACTCCGAGATAAGCTCGATGTATTCCAGTTTCTACGTTTATCTAGCGGAAATCGAAATTCCACTCTTATCATCGCTCCAAACTATGTACTAGGGCCACACAGTAGTCTTGGACCGTCATCATCATATTCACTTTCAAGTTCGAATATTGAAGTACATGCCAACGGTCAGTGGTGACATCAAGGTCTACAGGATGATTCTGAGGCCTTTGTTAGGTTTTTTGAGCGGTGGTACTTACGGAAGGACGAGGGTGATGGTGAGTACACAGGTGGCTGGAGAACTCCTACCACGTTTTTTATATCCTCCGAGATCCCCTCCGGGCTCGCTACAATCAGTATCGCATTTGTAGGCTTGCCTCGAAGTATAACTGGTACACTCGCAGTCGTAACATCCGCGAGGACCTGGTACAGTAAGTGTGCCGGGCAACGACGAGTAAACGCCAACTCGACAGCTGGGCGCTTAACATATACACACACAACCGATCGCACACGACGCTCGGGAGTATTGGAAATCCGTTTCGTCGTCCTGACTCCGTGTCCGAGAGACGGGTTCCGGCGGTATTCACAGAGGTCGAATTTCTCCTTAGGGAAAGCTGAGAGCCAGGGATCAATACCATCAAAATGAGATGGCGCAATCAAGGCTGGAGCTGGGTCAAGTGAGCCTCCATTGGCACAGAACTTTCACAGTCGACGCGGCGGGGGTCTTCAGCCGTTGTAACGATTCCCTGTCGCTCCTAGACTCTCGACTCGCTTCAGATATAATAATGCGCCGTTCAAGGATGAAATGTGGCGCTGACGCCATTGCACAACGACCTGGGCAGAGTCAAGATTGCCTCATCGTCGTTCTACATTCCCTAATACCTTGGCTTTGAAAATCACGACCTTCGCATTGTTCTCCAAATGGCGGAATTCATCGCTCCCGCTCTTCCGAAATGCATTTCCCAGTACGATTTTCCCTGCGACTCGTAGTTATCCGCGAAGTTCCATCTTCAGTTCAAACTCTCCACCGACGCACTACTCATAGGTTTGTGCTTCGGGCTATCCTGTTCGTCCCCTGTCCCTCCATTCGCGCACAGACAAGAATCCCACAATTATCTACCCCGTACACAGCCATAAAAAGAACACCCACAGCTCCCGACAGCTTCTTTAGGCTTCTCTCCCGTTATGGAATTGTTCATTTCCTTACTTGCTCACTTCTTTCCTCAATCGTTGTCCACTTTCTCATGTTTTCGCAACTACAATGTTGACTTCTTGCCGGAACTTGGACCACTGGTTAAACTAGCGCCAACGTTCCCACCGCTGATGCTCACTTAGCCAACAGATGACCATGCCTTCAGTCCCCTTGATGACTTATTCGAAAGAGGAAGTAGGGGTGAGATCCGATTTCCTCAATACGCGAAGTCTAACGCTGAGAACTGAGACTTCCTGGCAAGGCTACTACATGGTAGTACCTATGCTGTTAGGCCAGATGAACTTCTATCTTATCTCCGGCCCATTCGCCTTCTTTCACGTCGATCGAACGGTGAGCACACGCTACGGCTGCCTTTTCTACTAAGAAACTCGCGATGTCGAAGAGGTGACGGACGTCGGATTGGATAGGAAGCAATCGCTACATCACACTTATCTCATATCTCATTCGTTTACACCTTCTGTTGATAACAGAAACCAACCTTATGGCGATAGTAGTGTCACATTCTAAAGTGAAGTAATGCAATCCTCGACAACCGTTATCAACGAGCGCTCGAGATCTCGGATATCAGAGGATAAGAGTCGAAGCATGCTGAACACCGTATCTTTCTGAACAGGGCATGGCCGCCTCGCTGGCATGTCGCCGAGTACTCAAGCTACTAAAGTCGCCGTACGGTACGGGTGCAGACCACGACAAGGACATTTTCTTTCTTATTATCCAGGCTCAACGCGACCCGCGGGGACATAAGACTTGTCTATGTCCATCGCTCTCGTGACGCTATGGCAGGGAGAAATGGGCTGCTCATGACCATTCACCAGGGATGCCGTCCATCTGCTCCTGCTGTTCTTTGTAGGTCACACCTAATGCACCATGCGAACGCACTGCTCAAAACTAACCTATTTCCAAAAGAGGGTTTGCTTCCGTTCTCTAGGTACCTATATTCCTTCCTTTAGAAAATGCGCGAAGCTATTCCATGCGTAAACCTACGAGGAGTACCGCCACACCACCTCACGCTTCTAAGAAGGAATTCGCCGGTTCGCTCCAATCGTCGGTGAAGCATCGTATCTACGGTATCTATGTTCCTCAGCATTGATGTTCTAATAAACATGCTAGACCTCAGGCACCCTCTTCATGTCTGTAAACGGCTTATGTCCTTTTATCCCCGCCTTCTGTTCTTGCGGAGCCCCTTCTTCGCCCTTCACATCAGATACCTTGTCCAGGACCTTTCTTTCTCCCTTAAACACCACCTGGACTGGCTAAGAACGACGACCACGTCGAGGATCCCGATCAATTTCAGTTCACCTTTGACGCCCAACGTATAAGAGGCCTTGATCGACCTGCCCTTCAACATTCTCTCTGGTCTCGGTCTCGTCGACGGCTTCAGCGCTGCCGACATTAATGGTCTCGAGGGACGCGACCTCACTGGCTTGAGCCGCGGTTTGCCTTTCGAGGAGCGTCAGATCTGTCCCACCCATCGTTTGCTGTGCGTTACCTCTGGCTTAGCGGTCTGCCAGGGCCACTGCCGGTCATACCACCTGGGCAGTAACAAGACCACTGACGATAAGGATAGACGGCCAGATACGCGGGAAAATGGACAGACAGAGCCTCCCAAACGAAGTTAAACCGTCTGGAGTAGATTTCAGGAATGTGAACGTACAAAGAGAGTCAACGGCAGCTGAAGTTTGGGACGATTCACCCGAATCGTGATTGGTTGGCGAGCTTCTGGGGTTCGAGGAGGCATCGAAAAAAGCGGAAGCCTGAAAATGAAGTTTCGAGAGGTATGGTGTTCTAGACACGAAAGGTGTGGCTTCCAGTACGTCAAGGGTGGCGACGAGAGACGTGAAACATCAAACTAGGTGGAAGACGGAGATCTGTTATTGTCGCATAGAACAAGTGGGCGATTACTTGCGCAAGCAGTCCGATGAGATCGTTCCTGAAGCGGGTGGTAAGAAGTAGAGGACAGTCGTAAAGCATTTTTGTCCTTCAGCTACGGGAAGAGGCTTGAAAGTCTGCTCCAGTGTCGGTACCAGCAGAGTCACGGTGACTAAACAGTTCGAACTGAGTGATCGCAGTGAGTTTTTTTTTTTTTTGGGGGGGGGGGGGCATAGATGGATCGGATTTGACTTAGGAATGACGAGTTTTCAGTACTTCAGTTTCATTTCGATGACGCATGGAGGAGAGATAGACTAGAAAGTCACCTTGACACAACACCATAGAGGTTGAAGTGCAGAGAGAACAGATTTCGCACGACGTGGATGTCAATTTGGAGATTGATGGCGCCTCCGCCTTTGGTTCCTAATACGACCAAATATCCGATTTCTCGTCGGCGCTAATGAACAAACGGCAAGTGAAGTAGGACAACACCCTCAGTTCAACGCGTACCGTGCAACAAGGAAAGCCAGCTTAGCCGTCATCGATCTCCTCTGGGCTCATGATTTGAAAGACGTGATAGACGGCGATCGATATTTGGGCATCTCGGCTCCATCCCAGAGACAGATTGGATTTGTTGCATCTTCAACGCCTTATTCTTGCTTACGCAAGTAGCAGTTACTTACTACATATACCCTTGTAAATCAAGCGAATAAAGATCGACCCCGAGTACAATTGGTACATTGAGTGACTAAAAATGTCTTAGCTCTCGCGACTCTACACATTCCCTTCGACAGGTATTAGCTGATAGTCATCGAAGGCCAGCGCCCATGGTCTTTGTTCGCCGTGAACAAGGTGTAAAAATGCGTTCCATTGACGGTGCCACCAATGGCAGAGTTCAGAGAGGTAGACCTGGAGCTCAAGAATGACGGGATGACAAGTGTCATGGAAGTATTGAACATACCTTTCAGGAATAACGGTGGCTCCAAATCATGCTTGTGAGATACCTACCACTGGTCAGTCGTCGGATCATCGAAACGCGGGACTGGAAGGTGTATCCACAGCTTTCTTCTTGGCAGAATGTGGCTTGACTTTCGTTTTGTGAATTTGATTTTGATTTTCAGGCCCGAACTGTATAAATAGGGTGAGGGGTTTGGTCAATCGTTCCATCCCAAGCGCACTCCACGATCTGACATCCCGTCTAACTATGAAATTCACCACATCTCTGTTCGCCGCCCTGGCTGTGGCTTCAACCTTCGTCGGCAGCGCGCTCTCTGCGTCCACTGTCCCTGGATGCTACGCTGAATGCCTCGAGAAAGCCGCTACCGCTATCGGCTGCGCCGCGTACGTCGTCTAAGCACCTCCGTCAATGCTGCAGCTTACACCAATTTTAGGGACGATATCGAGTGCATTAAAGCTTCTTCGCAGTTTACTACAATTGTCGGCGAATGCGTCGCTACCAGCGGCTGCACCGCGCGTAAGCATGGTCTCCGCGCTCGTCCCAAATTATCACTGACATTCATCTTCAGTTGCTCCTGGGTCAGCTGCCGACGCAGACTCCATCACCGCGACCTTCAACTTGCTCTCCGGTCTTGGCCTCGTCGACGCTGCCGACGCAGACTTCTCCGCAGCTGACATCCTCGAGGAACGCGACCTCACCGGTTTGAGTCGCGTCTTGCCCGTCGAGAAACGCCAGAGCTGCCCTACCCGTCGTGGTCTCTGCTTCACCTCTGGCTTAGCGGCCTGCCGTGCCCATTGCCGTGGATGTCACCTCGGAAGTAACGGAAGGGACTGTGTTAGGTGCCCTAATGGTGCTCAATGCACGGGTGTCATTGGCCAGACCTGTACCTGCTTGAATCCGTGCCCTGTTTGTTAATGGGGATGATACTACCTAGCCCGAAGGCGAGATTGCTACCTTTGATGTGTTATATATACCTGAACTCTGGTCTGCCTTTATGCTCTCATTTCAACCATATCACCAAATTGCAATTATTCGAAAGGCCGAGTGATATATCCTGACGAAATACCTTAATCCTTGAACATCGATATAGGTTGAAGCCACTGATCGGCAACGATCCTGTCGTCAGTTTTCAATCGGAATACTTCAAGACGGGGAATTTTGGGAGCTTGAGTGAAAGTAAGAAGATCCTGGCACTGTCGCGTTCTCATGACGAGAAAATAGAACAAGACTAGACGCGAGCGAGCCAGCTCGAGACCAAGCTGAAGTTGACATGCGGTCCGGGGACTGATTTCGCAGTCGGCCAACTTTGACATTGATGGCGCGTAGGCTTTCAATCCTAACACAGTCAAACACGCAAGATCTTGCCCCAATGCAGTCCCAATGAGCTTGGATGAGCCAACGAACGAGGTACACGAGGAACCCCTTGTTCAAGGCCCAGCAAGACGGTTCGATGAATGGCCGAGAGAGGTGGGTCAGTGATGGTTTCCCCTCCTTGAATAAATTTGGTGCCTTTCAAAGCGGGCCGGATAGTCTGAAAGAAGGTACTCTTATGCGGTCCTTGTTTAGCTTGTGAGCTCATCGTATTGGTGTGTTCTCCTCTCAAATTTATAGTAGGATCGGTGTGTTGACTGCAGGTGAACACTGATAGTGATCTAGTTTGGTACCCATGGTGTCCTTGTTCGGCGTGGAAGAAGCTCAAGAAGGTGTTCGATTCCTCTTCGTGAAAGGGCTAGGCGCAACGAGTCCTTTCCCTGACCTCACAGTTGACGAAATTACGAGTATCATAGTGGCGCAGAAGTTGTTATTTAGGAATGTGAATGGCTTCAACGGTGCTTCTGAGATACCTACCACTCAGGTTTTCGGCTCTTCGAACTCAAGACTGGCGGAAGTCCTGACAGTCATTCTTCCGTAGAAGGTAATCCATATTTAGCCATTTGAATTTGATTTTGAAAATTAGGCTCTATATATAGGGTGAGTCTCAAGCAGTAGTACCATCCCAAGCGCATTCTTCAATATCTGTTGTCCACTCTCACTATGAAACTTTCTACTTCTTTGCTCGCTATCGTCGCTGTGGCGTCTACCTTCATTGGGAACGCCCTCTCAGCCACCACCGTCCCCGGATGCTTCGCTGAGTGCATTGACAAGGCTGCCGTAGCCGTCAATTGCGCCGCGTATGTCCTCCAGACCAGTCTAAGCAGAAAGAACGTCTCTAACGCTCGTTACCAGGGGGGATATCGACTGCCTCCAGGCTTCCTCGCAGTTCGCTACTATCGTTAGTGAATGCGTCGCTACCAGCGACTGCACTGCACGTAAGTCCACCATGTCCTTTCGCGCCACTCGTCCAAACTACTACTGACATTCACCTTCAGTTTCTCCTGGCTCGGCTTCTGACGCGGACTCCATCAACAAGACCTTCAACATTCTCTCGGGTCTTGGTTTCATTGACGAAGCCGACGCCTTCAGCGCCGCCGATGTTCCCGAAGAGCGCGATCTCACTGGGTTGGGCCGTGTTTTGCCCGTTGAAAAGCGCCAGAACTGCCCTACCCGTCGTGGTTTGTGTGTCACCTCAGGCTTGACGGCGTGTCGAAACCACTGTCGCTCATGCCACCGGGGAGATGTAGGTTGTGTTAGGTGCAGTAATGCACAGTGCACGGGCTTTTTGGGCACCACATGCACCTGCATTAACCCCTGCCCTCGTTGTTAATGCGACAGCTATACATGAAGCCCAAAGGCTAAGCTTTTCTACTTTCTATATATGTACCGCAAAGCGTCAAACCACCGTCTCAAGTCGTAACTCCTCCCGAATGAATGTACTAATAGTCTGATCTTATGTCACCAAATTAGCGAATGAAAGAGATCGTGCGATACGTCATGGGGTAATACCTCAATGCTTGAGCGACTACATTTTTCATGTATTAGAGACAAATGACGAGTCTAAGGAAGGGACGCTCGCCCTTATTGAAGAAAAGGGCCCATGAACAAAGGGTGGTTCATGATATCGACAGGACCATGGTGCAGGTTGGCAGGAGACGACGGTGGATTAAGATTTCCCTTTGAATGCGTCTGGGTCGACATTTTTAGAGCCTGTGTCGGTGAAAGAAAGTTAAAGAAACTATATGATCTCTATAGTTGCGTGGCCACTACTGAAATATCCATCAATCGCCATAATCTGCCAATCGTGTGCACCCAGCTCCATGCCCAACGCCCTCCACGCCCTGACATGGCAGCCAAAGTCGATCGTACCGTTTATCTTCCCAACGCCCTTCTTAGGGACTCGAACAGCCCAGATTTGTTGGAAACTGCCGATGGGAAAGTTGGGAGAATCGGGGTCGGGGCGCCAAGTATTCCCGATCTCATATGTTGCACCGTTGCATGTAGCTTCTCCCTTCCTGACAGTGTCGGTTGCGGGTGTGTAGTCTCCGAACGACTCGACGATGTAATATTCAACGCGAGGGTCTCGAGTCCAACCGTAGAATGTGACTAGACTGTAACCACTGGGCTCGAAGATTCCAATATAGTTGAACACCCTATGGGAGAAGTGAGGCATATGAGGGCAGGAAACGCCGTGAGCGAGAGAAGATGTGAGCCCACCTATCAGATGAGCCAGGACTCCAGCCCTTTCCTCCAACAAAGGTTCCATTCTTCCACCAATTCACGGTAAACTTTCCGCCTGGTTCATTGGTGTAGTTGGCCGTAGCGCCTGTATCTGACCACCATTGATAGAAATATCCGTCATGCTGACCTTTTGAGTTTGGCGTCCCGATGTTTGAAGAGGTTGACCGGGCGTTGGAAGGGGTCGCAGCGCTCAGCGCCAAGGTGAAAAGGGTGCCAGCAAAAGCGACGAAGGAGTAATTCATCGTTGATGTGTCTCGAGAGGTGGTTTCCCTTTATAATAGTGCGACGAGAAAATATTGGGGTCCTATTATGTCAGAGGACCCCCTGACAGGACGAAACAAAACAAAGCAAGGTGCGATGGGATCGTAGAACAGAAGCCCAGCGGATACACAAGAATGGCCGGGCTATACAATTGCGATCCGAAGAATATCCTCAGAACGCGGTGGAAACTTTAGGTTCAGCTCCCTAACGAGATGTCTGAACAAAGGCCTAGTCAGAAGGGTCCAAGTACACACCCATTGTCGTCACGACGCTCATTGTCCTCCCCGCCCGATCAAACGACAGCGATCAAAAATGGGCATGCGTCTTGCCTTTTTAATCCAGTTCCAAGGCCACGTGATCGCTGCTATATAAACAACGCCGACACAGATTTCTCTCTCAACTCCTTACACCATCATGGCCCACTTCTACTCAGCTATAGCTTCACTTGCGGACAGCCTAAGTCGTTCCTCGGAGTCACGCGAGGTTCAGATCGCTCTGAAAGGACCCAACTCCAGTCTTCTGTCGTCGTTTCACGTTCCTTCTGGGACTGACATAACTTTCGCTCAGCACCAAATCGAGATACTGGACGCTCTAGTGCATAGTGGTGGACGCGAACCTGTGGATGGGCCCCGCTACATTCAAATCAAGACCGCGATCGAACAGTGGAAATGTGTCATTGCACCCATCCGACAAATCCCAAATGAAATCCTCGGACATATCTTCAGTTCTCTGGATATTGAACTAATCGATGGGATCACGACTCCATACAGAGAATTTAGTCTAGTTTCAAAGAAGTGGCATTCCTTCATCCAGGACCACCCAGAACTCTGGACCAGTATCTCCCTCAACCTTCGTGCTCCAGTGAACTCCAGGGTCCTATCGGCTTGTCTATCCTACTCCAAGCGACTCCCAGTGCAAATCTCCCTGCACACTTACGACCGTATTTACCCATCGCCCATACGCGTAGACGAAAATATCGTTTCCGCCATAGTCAACTCTAGGCAACGCTGGAACGAAATAGCTGTCTACGCATCCGACATTCAAACACTCAAAACTCTCGGAATTCTGGGCGTCCGTCTTCCAAGCTTGAAGTGTCTCGTGGTCCACGCCTCGGCCTACCAGGGACCTCGTGACTTCCTAGGCCAATTCGGCCCCATCCCCGTCACCCCTCCAGACCTGAAAGACCTCGTCATCGGTGACCTACCCAGCTGCACCGAAGTCCAGATAGTCGGAACAGTAGGGCTAACACGCATTCTACCACTCGACTCACCCGTCCTCTCTCAGATCACCGTGCTCGAGCTATCAGTGAGAGATCTTGAGGTTGTCCAGCTGCCGGTGGTCGCTGATTACTTGAGCCGTATGCCCAATCTGACTGAAATCAAGGTGATCCCACAGGACCACCACCACTGCTATCTGTACCATGACTCGTCAGACCCAGCGACACAAAGGGACATACGGACAATGACACGGACCATCCACCTCCCACGCCTGACCTACCTCGGATTCCCCTTTGGACGAATAGCGTTCCTCCTGCCCCACATCCGTGCTCCAAACCTCTCGACTCTCGTGTTCGAGTTTCCTCGCATCCAATGGGCCGACTGGCACCGCAGAGGCCTCCTAATCGTTAGAGACTTTGTGAGGGCACAAAGAGAGCACTACGGCGATCGATTCAACGTTTCCAGACTGGAAATGTGGGGCATCCCCCGCAACTTTCTTGTACCCCACATCATCGAACTTTTCCTCGTTCTGCCCTCTCTTCCATCGCTTCCATTGTACGAGCCCAGGTTCCCTTGTGGTACTTATACTCAGCTAATTCCCATCCTCTCCGCACGGAGTGATATCCTTCCCAGCCTCAACCATTTTGAGATCGTCACTGCAGACGAGGATGATGTCCCAGGTCGTGCGGACGAGGTCAGAGAAACATTGCGCGAGCTTCAATTCCACCTGACTCGACCCGGTTTGCGACTCGTTTACCAGAGATTTACTATCCACCCGCCTGTATAAGCTAGTAGTCAACGTCTTGTGCATCAGGATTTGACCCAGCCTAGTAGTCAACAAGTTTTGATGTATAGTACTTTGAATGTCCAATCGAGATTTTTAACCAGCCACTTACCTTGTGACGTCACGCTTGAGACGGCGGTGCGGCGGAGTTTTGAGGGTTGGCCGTGGACTGGTTCTAAAGGTTGTCGAAACCAGATGTTCTAGTACCTGTAAAGTACGATTAGTACGACGAATAGAGAGATTTCGCACCTAGTAGATGCGAGGGCTCGGCTCAATAGTCGGGATAGATTTCTGTTGGCTCGTTGGGCTCGGTTTTGGCTCAAGTGCGCGCGTTAGAAGCAGACGGTGGTGGTGGTATTACACACGAAGAAGAGAGGATACATCTTGGGGATCGAGCCCCGGTATATGTGAGACGCAATTCGCCCGGGCGCGCGTGCTCCTACGCCCCGGGGTACCAAACAATTTGAAATACAAAAAAAAACAAAAAACAAAGGAAACATACGAAAATTTCCATTGTCTGCTTCCCAACTCCTCCATCGCCTTGTTCCATCGTTCGACGACCGCTGGGCGCTTCACCAGGCTCGAAGGAATGCGAGTATTCTCTGCAGGGCTCCCCCAACCCTGCCCGGGGTGGACCAAGTCCCGAGCTCTTCCTGAGACTGCTGGTGGCGATCCGTCGATGCGATGGTTCTTGGCGATCTCGGCGTTGCTAGGCGTGGGCTTTCTGCTGCTGGGTGAACGGTAATCGAAAGAAAAAAATCGAATGGCCTCCGAATGGTACGAGGAGGAGCAGAAGGTAAGAAGAGTGTCGAGCCCCGGACTAGCCGGGCGCAATCGACCTCTATCCATTGCCATTCCTTCCACCGCTGGCAGTGTCGAAGGTCTTGAGGTCTTCGGGCGCTGTTGAGCGTCTGGGATCGTCGTCGTCGTCACCGCATGGTCGGGTTGGTGGTCGGAGGAAGAGAGCCGGTCGCGCGCGGATTTGGCGAGTTAGGGGTTTCCACGGCTAGGCCGAGGATCCCTACCACAGCGGTAGTCTCCCCAGCGCAAGGCGTACGTCGAGTTATGTATCATGATTGACCAATTTTCCGTGGTTCGTTTTCGATCCCGCTCTACGCGGCCTCTCTTCTTCGTATGTAGCAGGTGCGAGAGTCGCACTCGACAGCGTCTTGTCCCCCAAAGTAAACGGTCTTCCACGCACGATACGAAAAATCTCTTGAACCCGACGAACCGACCCTTGACCTCACAGTTGACGAAACTCCAAGCACATAGTGGTGCTAAATATCCCTTCCAAGCAACCGCATGGCTTCAAAGCCGTGCTTCTTAGATATCTACCACTTCCTAGCCTCATCTTGGCTCTTCGAAGGCTGAACTAGGGGGCGTACTCACAGAACGGCTCCTCGGCACAGGATATCTTAGGCTCTTAGCCTCAACGACTCTTCAACCTCATGTATTCGATACATAATGCAAACCAAACCGAAACTATATAAATAGGGCGACGTCAAGGCCAGTTATCGAAAATACCATACCGTCGCAAAGTACCATTCCAAGCAACTTCACCATGGAACTCACTGCATCCTTCCTCTCTGCAGTAGCGGTCGCCTCCACCTTCGTCGGAACCGCCCTCTCAGCGACCACCGTCCCCGGATGCTACGCCGAGTGCATCGAGAAGGGTGCTGCAGCCGTCAACTGCGCCGTGTACGTTCTCCAGGACCATTCAAGGGTGTGATAACGGCGCTAACACCTACCTTACCCTCAGCGACGACATCGACTGCCTCAGACTCGCTTCCTCGCAGTTCACCACCATCACCCGCGAATGCCTCGACACTAACAACTGTACCAGTCGTAAGTCGTCTTCCTCGTTCACCAAAGGAGACTAACACTAACCTCATGTTCAGTCACCCCTGGTACACCCGCCGACGAAGCCTCCATCACTACAACCTTCAACATCCTCTCAGGCCTCGGCCTCATCGACTCCTCCGAAGTCTTCAGCCTCGCCGACGTCCTCCAAGTCCACCAACGCGACCTCACAGGCCTCAGCCGCATCCTACCTATCGACAAACGCCAAAGGTGCATCGTCCGTCGCGCCACATGCGTCACTTCAGGCTTGACAGCATGCGTAAACCACTGCATCTCGTGCCATCGCGGGAGTGGCAGCAGCAACTGTGTCGAGTGCAGCGGGGGTCGGTGCACAGGCACTCTGGGCACGACGTGCACATGTCAGAACCCGTGTCGTAGTTGCTAAAAGCGATCGATCGTCTTGAATATGTACCATAGCTCTTTTTACCAGGAGCCTTGTGCAAGGGCATGTCCGTAATCCTACAATCTCGTTAGAACTGAGCTCCATGCCACCGCCAATGAAAGGTTTAACGCACCAGCAAACAGAATCCCCTCATCTGATGTTTCTCCCTGCACAGACCCGACGCTGATAAGCCTAAGGAACCACAAAACTACCACACGAACGAACCCAGCGAGAGTACTCACGCGCCCAGACTGCCTAAATTAACGAAAAACCTTCCAATACATCCCCAGTGCGCGTGGCCAACACTCGCGGGTCTTTCTCCCGTCCACAATTGGCGCTGGAGCCTGGGACTTGATGAACAAAGCAAAGGCGTTACACGTGGGTTCAAACTCAAGTCTCAAGACCACTGCTGTAAATGAGAACCATGTTACAAATCCACATCACTGACGACGCGAAATGAGACGCACCCGACCAAGCTTCAACCAAGCACCAAGCACGAACCAACCAAGGAACTAACCAAGAATCAACAAAGCACAACTTGCCAATAAAACTTCCCTTTCCCCACTCCCTCGATGGCTTAGTCCCTTTCCAATCCCTCCCGCCCACTAGTACGCAAGCACCAGTGTTCTGCAGGACATACCGGTACCATCGCCATCTCCGGCCACAGCGACAAGGTTCACTCCTCCTGGTCCCGCGAGCGTCATTCCTCCTAGTCTGACGAGCTTCACTCCTAACGAGCACGACCAGCCCCCATTATCCCCACCTTCATCCCATTCGCGGTTCTCATCGCCATCCACCTTAACATTCGAAAGTTCCGCTTCTTCCCCATCCATCCACCCTCCTCAGCCTGCTCGAGTCCAGAGGCTCCCCAATCTCCAGACCTGTGCCGTCCACAGCCTCCCCTACGGGCGAAGGTAGTCGAGGTTGCGGTGGAACACGAGGAGAGGATCCATTAGGCCGAATTCAATCAATGGGCCCAGCTTCAAACTTCCAATGACGCCCCTTCTGAACCTCCAAAACATCGAAAACAGAGCCGATCCAATGAGGAGAACCCACGCGTCAGAATCCATCAACAATTGTAACAATAGCATCATAACGTAGATCAAGTAAATCCTGTAATGTACTACAAACCCATCAGCCCTCACCACCCATAACAAAACTCAAATAGACGCACCAAATACTATATCCCTACCCCTCCACTCCATATCACTACCGAAAAATCTCACTCAATGCCAGATGACATGCACCAAAGGCGTCCTACATAGTTCCGCCCCGGATCCCCGCACCACAACCCTCTACGACCACCACCACCACCACAACCCTCTACTACCACCACCCCCGTCGATCAACCAACTCAGACCCTCACTCATCCTTCTCACTACACGAACACCCACTCTCCTCTTCCTCCCCACCCTCGTCATCATCATCACTTTCATCCCGAGCCTTCCGCTTCCTCCCCTTGCCCTTCCCCTTGCTCTTCTTCGCCGCAGCAGCCGTTTTCGCCTTCGCTCTGAGAGCTTTGCTCGGTTTCGCAGAGAACGAGGACGAGGACGAACTAGCAAGCTTCACAGCGTCGCGTACGCGTTTGGTTAGTGCGTCTAGGTCCACCTCTACCTCCTTCTTCAGCCCCTTCGCCTCTTCCTCTTCCTCTTCCGCCTCGTCCTCCTTCGCCTCACCCTGTTTCGCCCCCTCCACTTCTTTTTCGTCCTCTTCTTCCTCCAATTTCCTCGTACCTCCCACCTCCTCTCCTTCCACACCCACCCCCGACAACAAATTCAACACTTCAACCTCCACACCCCACACCTCCCTCGGCTTCTCAAAACTCGGCGTCTCAAGTACCATCGGTATCCCTCTCGTCCTCGGATCCGCCAGGATGTAGGAGAACGACGCGAGACCTATCGTCCCACTATCCGGATGTACGTTTCAGGGCGTGAAAAAAAGGGGAAGAAGATGGCCATCGGAGTTGGCGTCGGGATGGTAAGAGGGGAAACATCGATGGAATTTTGGAAGGGATGAGGAGGGTTAGGGCAGACGGTACGACGCATATCACAGGAAATGAGCCAGCCAGGGGAAGAAACGCCGTCCAGACGAGCATCGACGAGGATGGAGCGATATGAAGCGTAAAATGCCGCCGAAAGAGTGAGATGCGGTCGAAGGGTGAGATGCGGTCGAAAGAGTGAAATTCGAAGCAAACGAAAGCGATAACGGTGCGAGCGGGATGGCGATGGCGATGCCAGGAGCAACGATGGTGACAGAAGAGCAACGACGTGTTCGAGTACGAAGGGCGACATCAACATAGACCGGGAGCGAAGCAATAAGCAAAAGATCGTCTCATCAGCAACCCACTCAACCCCACAACTATAAAACCCAGACGACTCACAGCCCAATATTCTCATGCCGATCCTTCTTCGAATCAAACGCCGTCTTGCTATCGTTCAAATGCATGCCTTTGAGGTATTCCAGCCCGATAACGCGTTCGAACTTGTCCATCGTCTCGCTGTCGTGCAGGGCGTGGTTGAGACAGTCATCACGACGGCAACGGGTGTTGAACGACAAGGTTATAGGCGTTTGCGAGAGTCGGTTAGCGAGATCAAAGCGTTCGTCCAGTAGAGTGGATAGAGATAACGTATGAGTCAATCTGATTTAAGCAGAAAGAACGGAACGACGACGTACTTCCATCCCTCCTTCGTGCGAATATCGTAGCCCGCCGAGAATGCGTGGCCTAGAGAGACAGGACGGGGTCAGTCGAGGTTTCGGAAGTGTAAAACGAGAACGTTGGTTTGTATGTAAAAGGATGAGGGGATGGGAAGGAGTGATGGCGGGCTGTGAGTAACGAATGGCGGACAGCAGCGAGGAAAGCAGGGAAGGATATGACAACTTTGGCAAGGCGAAGCGAAACGAGAAGAACAAGGCCGAGTAAAACTGGACGACGTACACGTATCAATACAAACCCCAACCCTCGTCTTATCCTCCACCTGATCAATAATCTCCTTCAGTTGCTCGAACGTGGCACCAATGATATTCCCTGTACCAGCCTAAACGACGAGTGAGCAAGCCATAGAAGAGAACATGTCAGTAATGACCATGGAGAGATCCGCGGGAACGGATCCGACGAGAACCAGAGACCAGCAATTGGCCGCGGCGACAGGAGGAAGTGGAAGGGGAGGGGTAGAAAGCAGTAGGAAGACGGGACGTACCATGCACTCCAATACGATCGTAACCCCCTTCGTAGCTTTATGCGCGTCATTGATGCACCCAGCTATCAGCGACATCGAGTTTTCAGGTGTAGTCTGCGAGACGGTCGAGCCTGGACTGTAGGTGTCGACGGATGGTTGCCCGGGCGTCGGTAAGAATGCCGGTCGTGAGTCGGGCAGGGCGCAGGACAAAAGCGACCGGTGCGTCGTCGAATGGGTCGTCAGCCAAATTCAGCGTCAGTCGAATGTGGTAGTCGTATCGGGCGCAAGTCGAGTGTCAAGGACGAGGTCCAGTCAGCACACACGAACAACTCAGCCCACTCAAAAGGACGTACTGGAAATTATACAGCGTCAACCCCAACGCCTCACACCTCTTCACATCATCCAAAAAGCACTCATACGATTTCTGTCGTTTCTCCCTGAGCGCACCACAACAAACCTAACGAATCAGAAAAACACGCCTTTCAAACGAATGAACAAAACAAGAGCACTCACGCGTCCGGATTGCCCAAATTCACCAAATAACTTCCATGCGGAAGTACGTCTCCAGGGGCGTACCCAAACTCCTTCATCCTCTTCTTGAACGTCGAGATCGACTCTTCAGTCAAGGCCGCAGACGTCCATTTGCGCTGGGACTTGAGGAACAACGCGAAGGCATTACACCTGCAACGAGCTCAGTTTCCCCATGGCGAGGGTTTGAAAGGAGGATCAAGAGCTCACCCAATAGCAGCAGCGTTCACAACAGCGTTCTCCACCCCTCCAGCAGCCGAAACGTGTGCACCAACTTTCCAAGGACTCTTCACGCGCGGAAGAAACGACGAGGTATCGACCGGTTCATCAGCGTTTGTTTTCGACGCGGTTTTACGCGGTTTTCTCTTCTTCGTAGGAGAAGCTGTTGTTGAAGCTGAAGATTCGACTGTAGGGTCGAGGAGAGCCTGGGTGTCCGTATAGTCTGCGAGAAGATGAGCGTTAACCACAGGGTATCTATAAAGGTGAGACGAGACGCACCTGGGTCCTCTGAAGCCAAACTCTTCACCGTATCCTCCTTATCCAATTTCACTCTCTTCCTAGGTCTAGCCACAACCTCAGCCTCCTTCACCGCATTCGCCGTCGAAGAGAACGACGCCGACCCAGCACCGGTGGCACCACTGGCACCACCCCGAGTGCGACTCCTCGTAACACTCGCAGTCATAGTCGTCTTTGAAAAGATAGAGTAGGCTTTTGATCTGTAGAGCGCTGAGCGGGTTCTTAAGACGTTGAACAGAGAATTCCTTGACGCGAGGCTGGTTGAGAGAGGTACGAGCATACACCAGTCGCGTCGAGGTGGCCGTCAGGAGCAAAACCAGACAGACGCGGGGTGACGCGATTGATCCTGCAGCACCGATCATCGCGAATTGCGCGAGAGTTCGATCCCTGGCCCAGCCACTCAACATTCCACCATCTTGAACCCTTTCAAATTCCAAGTTCAAACCCACGTTGGAAATGTAAGTATGTGAGTATCCATCACCGTCTTGATCACGAATGACGACAGCCAGAAACGGGCCTTCGAGTGGTCGTCGAGAACTTTGAAGCAGCCAGCCCAGAGACGTTGACGAACGGTACCGGTGCCCCGTTCAAGATGCGGGAAAGAAGGAAGCCAAACGGGTACGTACCCTACAAGCTCATCGTCGGTGAACTGCTATAGGTGGACATACCCGCTGCGCAATTAATAGGGGTTCACGACACTGAAGCATCCCTATGTCGTCCGAGCGAGCTCGAAGCTTTCTGCTGGCAATGTCAGACTTCAGTCGCTCTATCACTCCGACCACGAAAGCGACTCCATCACCAAGACGGTGATATTTGATTGGGGGGGAACAGGCTACAAATACGTACATGCTATGTACGTCAAATCGGTGGGTCATCTACGTATCCTTCCATCGGTTCTTTAGATACACAGATTTGTACACATTCTCAAGCAGGTAGTCTGGGAACTCTTCCTTGGGCTCCATACCCTCAAACCACCTCGCACTATCACCCAAGTATTCTTCCAATAACTTCCATTGCTTTACGGTTGGCCGTTGGCGGTACGACTTGTCCGAAGCGGTCGTTGCGACGGCCAGCAGCTCCACTGCGCGGTGGGGCTTTCCTTCGATGTCCACAGCGATACCGTCGTTCTTGGCTTGCTCGTCGGCTTTGGCGACGTAGTACGCGAAGCTCGCGGCTTCGTAGCCTATGCGGGCCTCGAGGTACAACGCGAGGTCGGTGGTGAGCGTTATCATGCCGGCGTGGGGGTCGACTGCACCTCCGAGTTGCCCCACGACACTTTGGATGAGGACCCTGTTCACGGGGAAGCCGTAGACTAGGTAGGAAGAGAAGGAGGTGTGGTTGGGTGGGAGCGCCTTGAAGAGGGCGAGGCCGGCGTCGGAGGGGGCATGGCAGGTGGGTGTCCGGCCTTCTGCAATCTACGTGTTCGGACGCGAGACGTGGGATGAGTTAATCGAGAATAACGCTTTGAGATTAGGAAGAAGAATACAAACTGCTTTGTTACAAGCTGTACAGACCCCTTCTTCAAGTTCGCGCGCAGTTGGATCGACCAGGGTCAGGGCGTCCTGGAGGCACGGATGTATGTAAGTTCCAAGAACAGTGAATCGTCGAAAAATTGCAAATACCATTTGTGATGTGGGAACGGCTGATTGGGACTGGGATGACCTGAAACTGATGCTTTTCAGCCGTCTTCTGCTTCATTACTTTATATTACAGGGTGTGTTTGGTTATTTGTATGCCATTATGTGCATAAGGGGAGTAAGTGTATCTCGTTCGGGACTCAGGCCTCAAGGCTGTTGATCGCCCAAATGACAATAGACGATATGGATGGTGGTACACCCTCCTACCAAATAACTCTCTTCCTAGGTCTATCCACAGCTTCAGCCTCCTTCACCGCATTCGCCGTCGAAGAGAACGACGCCGACACAGCACCGGTGGCACCACTGGCACCACCCCGAGTGCGACTCCTCGTAACACTCGCAGTCATAGTCGTCTTTGAAAAGATAGAGTAGGCTCTCAATGTGTAGAACGCTGAACGAGTTCTGAACACGCTGAACAGAGAATTCCTTGATGCGAGCCTGGTTGAGAGAGGTACGAGCATACACCCGTAACGAGTCGCGTCCGAATCAAGGTGGGCCGTCAGGAGCAAAACCAGAAAGTACGCGGGGTGACGCGATTGATCGTGCAGAGTGGATGCCAAGAAATCAATCCGCATCGCGACATCGCGAGTTCGATCCCTGTCCCAACCATTTAAGTAATATTCCACCATCAACCCCCCTTCTCAAACTTCAAACCCACCTTTGATTATGTGGGTGTCCACTATCATAGTTCATCGTTCTGTGCCTCATGTACGAGGCTAGCGCAACACGTTGCGAGTATCAAATAACTCTCAATATTCACGCCATCTCGACTCTACACAGGCTAATGAAATCTAATGTCATGCAAACCGGGAAAAGGTCTAAGGCAAGTACATGGGAAAAGGTCAAAGACAAAGTACATGGGAAAAATGTCTTCATCTAATTCGTCCAAGCGCTCGATCAGTTGGGTGATCATCGCTGTCCACTCCGCACTAAGTATTGTATTTACGGAAACTCGTACAAAACTCCCGTTCAAAAGGTTCCCTCCTCCGGCACAACAAAGCCGTGCTGAGCCCTGCTGAGCCATGGTCACGCTTTCTTCACACAGTGCCTGTGTGCGTGTCGGCTAGTTAGCTTCCTCTGAATCGTTGGACTGGGGCTGTTCGTACGACCGTCAGAACGGATACACTTACACCCCTAGGTGCACATAATGACACACAACGGCCCGGGCCAAACAATATCTAAGGTTTATAAATGGATGGCTCTAGGACTAATCCAGCGAAAAGCATCAGGCCCATCATGTCATCCCAGCCCCAACCAACGTCTCCTTCCTCGCAAATGGTACATGTTGGTATTTCAATGACCATTGACACGTTCTTGGACTTACAATCATACTTCCAGAACGCCCTCACGTTGGATGATCATGCAGCTGCGGGGGTTGAAGGCTTTTGCAAATCTTGCGACGAAGCAGTTCGTGTTTTGGTCATCAAAAATGCACATCATAAGACTAGCTAACGTCTCGTTTCCAATCCTAGGTTAATGAACGCAAGATGCCCACCTGCCATGCCCCCTCGGATCCAGGCCTCGCCTTGTTCAAACCCCTCCCATCAAACTGCGACTCCCGGCCATCCTACATGGTATACGGCTTCCCCGTGACCAAATCCATCATCGCAAAGGCGTTAAAGGCTATTGGATTGAAAGACAACCCAAGATCTAACATGATGATGAGCGCTGCGCACCTCGGTATGTACCTCGAGGCTCGAGTCGGTTACACGACAGGGAACCTCGCGTACTACGTCGGAAAGGCAGATCCTCAAGCGGAGGTCGACGGCGTCGCTCTGGATATCGACGGGAAACGGGCAGTGGAGCTTTTGGTCGTTTCAGCCACCGGGGAGAGGCGTTTGTACCGCCAGCGACCTACCGTCAAACAGTTCAAGAAGTTGGAGGAGTATCTGGGTGAGGCGAGATGGTTTGAGGCGATGGAGCCCAGGAGTCAGTTCCCCGCCTTCCCGCTTGAGAATCTGCCCAAGCTTCCACCTGATATGCTCGGTCGTGTGTGGAAGAAGATGTAGATCGGCGGTGTAGTACAGTCGTTCGCTCCAGTTTGCCATTTTTTGTCATAGTTTTTGCCTCTCGATGGGAAAGGAAATGATTCGTCACCATGGAACCAGCGAGTTCCGCCTCAGTCCTTGGCCAGATTGGGACGAGACCCTTGGATAAATGACAGTAAACCACCGTAGATTGCTGTATCACCGCGTGATGAGAAAGCATTGGGCTCATTCTAGGTCTGAAACTCCCGGGACGGGACACTACGTGGCGACCGGGCTTCGATTAGGGTACTGTATATCTGGACTTCAGAAGGCCTTACATACAGGTGCTTAAGACCAATAACTCAAAACATTCCAATTCCCATTCCAATCTTGGGTCACAATCATGGCTCTAGTCCTCGTAGTATGCACAGAGGACCACGTTGTCCATTCATTTCTGTTATCCTACCGATTTCAGATAGCCCTGCTACTTCTAGGTAATATTCCCACTTCAGCGAATTCTGAGCACGTCACCTTGCACGCCATTGGATTCCAATTCGAACGTGTGCAAACTCGCTACCAATGAAATGCATCGGCAAATGCTAATAGAGCCTGCTCGATGCTCGAGTCTACAGGCTTTACCTTCCATGACTACGTGTATACACTTGCTCTACCTTGAGTAGGAGGCTGTACCACCATCCATATCGTCTATTCAAGTTGTCACTCGGCGATCAACAGCCTTGAGGCCTGAGTGCCGAACGAGATACACTTACGTCCCCAAATGCACATAATGGCATACAAACAACCAAACACACCCTGTAATATAAAGTATTGAAGCAGAAGACGGTCGAAAAGCATCAGTCTCATGTCATCCCATCCCCAACCAGCCTTTCCCACCTCCCAAATGGTATTCGCAGTTTCTCAACGATTCATTGTTATTGGGGCCTAAAAGGGACATCACACCTCCAGGACGACCTGACTCTGTCCGATCCAAATGCGCGCGAACTTGAAGAAGGCATTTGTACAGCATGTACCAAAGCAGTTTGTGCCCTCCCTCAGCCTAAATCTCAAAGTGGAATTCTCATATAACCCCATCCCACGTGGCGCGTCCGAACCTAGATTGCGGAAGGCTGGACACCCACCTGCCACGCCCCCTCCGATCCCGGCCTCGCCCTCTTCAAACCGCTCCCACCCAACCACACCTCCCTCCCTTCCTACCTAGTCTATGGCTTCCCCGTCAACATGGACCTCATCGAAAACGTTTTGTTGGATCTAGGAAGTGTAGTCGGCTATGACGCCGACATGATGATGGCCACCTCCCACCTCGGGATGTACCTCGAAGCCCGCATAGGCTACGACACCGGGAACCTCGCGTACTACGTGGCCAAAGCCGACGAGAAAGCCGAGAAGGACGGAATCGCTGTGGACCTTGAAGACGAACCTCAGCGCGCAGTAGAGCTCTTAGTCGTCTCGTCGACTGGAACGGACAAGTTGTACCGCCAACGACCCACCGTGAAGCAATGGAAGATGTTGGAGGAATACCTAGGCGATGCGAGGTGGTTCGAAGCGATGGAGCCCAAGGACCAATTCCCCGCGTACCCGCTTCAAAATCTTCACAAAGCTGGAAATCTCAAGGGCCGATGGAAGGATGTGTAGAACACCACTGAGTTGATATGAATACCACCTACTTACATAGTGTGTATAGCCGTTCGCACCAATTAGATAAATATCGCCGCTTTGGGGATGACTTTGCCCTCGAGGCCGGAGTGATGGAGGAAAGTTGGGAAGGAACAATTTCTCGCGCAGAAAGAAACCCCCGAGATGGCGAGAAACATGACCATATGCATGGTAGGCACCCAATCCAGAAGGATGAGGCGTGCATCAGAGTCTCATCGAAGCTGAGGGGGCAGCCAGGAGAGTAATTCCAGCACACGTCAGCACAGCCAGCTATCAGTGACACCGAGTCTTCAGTCCCAGGGGCTGCCTACGAGACTGTCGCGTCTGTGCCGTAGGTGGCGACCAGTCGGTAGACACAGGTGTGCTGAGGATGTCACAGACCAGGCAGACACAAGAACGTAATGTCAGAGAGCGAATAGGTCAGATGTAGGTCGAACGGGGCAAGTCGAGTGTCACGTCGCCAGCAGCGTTAGCTTTGGAGGCATCTGTACGCCGTTTCTCTTTCTTAGCAAAGTCTGCGCTCATTGTAGGCTGTACGTGAGGCGAGGAGAATGGGTATTAGATAGTCTAGGAGAAGAAATGAGCGTAGACCACCGGATAGAAGTATGAGATCTGACGCACCTGGGTCCTCTAAAGCCAGGCCCTTCACCGTATCCTCTGAGTTAGGTCGAGCGACGGTTCCAACGGCGCTGAAATTGATGCAGCAGTGGCACCACTGCGAGTCCGGCTCCTCGCAAAACACGCGCAGTCGACAGTGTAGTTGATTTCTGAAAGGTGGTGAGGTCACTATGAGGTGTAGAGCCAATCAGATTCAAAAGACGCTGAAGAGTTTCACTCTCTTCCCAGGTCTAGCTACAGTCTCAGCCACCTTCACCGCGTTCGTCGTCGAAGAGAACGACGCCGATCCAGACGCAGCAGTGACACCACCGCGAGTCCGGCTCCTCGTAACACGCGCAGTCGACATCGTCGTCGTTTTTGAAAAAATAAAGGAGGCTCTCGATGAGTTGTAGAGCACGTAACGAAGTCTGAAGACGCTGAAGAGAGAATTCCTTGATGCGAGCCTGTTTGAGAGGGGTACCAGCATGCACCAGTCGCGTCGAGGTGGCCGTCAGGAGCAAAACCAGACAGACGCGGCCCGGACGCTTGCAGAGTTGATGCCAAGAAATCACTCTACATCGTGAGTTCGATCCCTGGCCCGGCCATTCAATATTCCACCATCAACCACTTCAAAGTTCAAACTCGCCTTGGTAATATAGGTACGTGGGTATGTGGGTACGTATGTGGTATCCACTATCGTCCTTTATTGTTCTGTGCCTCATGGACGAGGCTAGCGCAACACGCTGCGAGTATCAAATCACTCTCCAAATCCTGAGGCCTGAGGCCCGAGAGACCGGCGAATACAACGTTCACTCACGCCCCTAACCGCGCATACTGTAATGGCATACAAACACCCGAACACGATCCCAGTACTTTATACATTAGAGGACTGACTGAATCACAGAAATCGTCGACTCGGACCCTCAGAGCCTCATGGCATCCCATCCCCAGCAACCAGCTTTCACTCCCACCTCCCAAATGGTAAGTATTAGTGTTCGCAGTGTCTCAACGATTCACCTTTCTTGAACTTACAAAGTTACATCGCGCATCCAGAGCGCCCTGACCCTGTCCGATCCAAACGCCCGCGAACTTGAAGAGGGCGTTTGTACAGCATGTACCAAAGCAGTTCGTATCCTCCTTCCTACCATCAAAGCAGAATTCTCAAATAACCCGTCCCACCTCTCACGTCCAAACACCTAGATTGCCTTAGGCCACCCACCCACCTGCCACGCCCCCTCCGGCCCCGTACCTCGAAGCCCGCATAGGCTACGACACCGGGAACCTCGCATATTATGTCGCCAAAGCCGACGAGCAAGCCGAGAACGACGGAATCGCTGTCTCTGGATATCCGAGGCATGGGCCCGAAGCGCGCGGTGGAGCTGCCGGTTGTCTCGTCGACTGGAACGGACAAGTTGTACCGCCAACGGCCTACCGTGAAGCAATGGAAGATGTTGGAAGGATACCTGGGTGATGCGAGGTGGTTTGAGGCGATGGAGCCCAAGGACCAATTCCCCGCGTACCCGCTTGAAAATCTTCACAAAGCTGGAAATCTCAAGAACCGATGGAGGGATATGTAGAATACCACCGACTTGGTAATTAAGGGGGGACGTGGAACACCGCCTTAGATAGAAAGTTTTCCATTTATATTCCCCCACAGGGTACCCAGAGACCGCACAGACTTCGATAAAATAGTGAATAGGTGTTGAACGGCATGAAGAGATGCAAGCGACCCGGGAGAAGTCAGTCTATTCTGAGAGGGAAGCAACATTACCTTCGAAGATCATCGGCGTTTGGCTTTGCGACATGGGTCGTCCCTTCTGCGAGCACGTCTGGGAGATCGAAAGTTCGTGATTCAATTCAGTCATTGGCCACCCGTCACACGGTCGTGCGCCGCCCGCTGAACGCTTGAGAGGTCTCATTGTGGTAGCCTGTGGTAAGCAATTATTTATCGCCGTCCTTACTGCACCATACATCCCAAGTTAAAGCAGGCGCTTAAAGTGCGTCGCTCCAGGTCACTCCATACTAGTAGCTGCTACTTAATTAGACGTCGCTTTTTCTGATGGAAAAACTCACGCTTCCTAACCCCGCATTCCGGCTGTTTAGGCGCCCCAACCTACTATAATCCACGCATTCGGAGCGAGAGTGTGTACAGACCCACACGGGTGTCTTCGAATTCTAGGCATTGAGACTCGGGTCCGGCGCCATGCTTATCTTGGCCTGTCTGGCTGCTGTGACGATAAACCCTCACTATAGATGTCCAGTCAGCAAATAGTGAACACTGTCATGTTTTTATTCCCTTTCTTCGAACGCCGATATTTCAGGATGAAAATTTGTGTTTGCGCTTTTACAGCGCCTGAATCGGTTAACGCGTTCAATGTCCGTTGGGTCAGCTGAACGCTTATTCCTCCTCTGGGCCATATTATTATAAGCCTCGGCCTCGAGGGAAACATTTGTCAGATTATGTCTGTTCACGTTCCTCGTTCGGTCAAGTCATACTGATAACGAACTTGCAGATCGTGGCTGACATCGATGCTGAATGCCGTCGCCGTGGATGGTAATAATCAAAGCGGAAGTGGACACGGGGCGAAGCCTTTGGTCTGTACCCAGCGACCGAATCGCATGTTCCGCAATTTAAACCTCCGAATAGAGTCCCAAACATTGAATGGATCATCCACGGTGCGAGAGAAGATTTCTCGCCGTTAAATCGCAACAATCGTCTAGAGAAGCGCGACGGTTGTGAGGGCCACGGGGTGCCTTTCTCATCATTCTGTAGGTGCATTCAACCCGTTGACGAGAGACACCAAGAAGGTGGCGGAATCTGAGCCTGACGATTCTCAGGTGTTCTTGACCGTTTAAATTACAGTATACTAAGCTATACAACGGGGGAATCCTAACTGCCTCGATTTAAACACTACGGTATAATGCATAATGAATGACCGCCAGCAATCAAAGGGCGAAAATATGTGCATAACAAACGGTGGAGCGCGGAAGGATGGAGAACGCACTACAAATCTTGGTAGGGAGATACGAGGGGAGGTGATGTGATGTACCAACGATGGAAAATCACGTTTTCAAGGAAGAGAAGGATCATAATTTATAAAGGAAGCAACATGGTCAGGGCCTTCGAGGCACGATGACAACCGTCACCGATCTGGGGCAACAACTCCAGCTACGTCTGCGGTTTCTCTGCGTGAGGGTGCTGGTGGTCCTTCAGGATCGTCGCCGCTGATGGGCCTCCATGGCTGAGGAGGTCATGCATCGACTTCTCACTTCACGGGTCTCCAAGCTGGAGGAGGTCTTGAATCGGCCTCGATGGGTCTCCAAGCCGGAGGCGGCCTCGAGTCTTCTCGTCTGACTGGAGGTGCAGGAGTGGGCTCGGGAAGGTTATCTCTCCATGGTGGTGGAGTGATTCCGACGGGGGTTGGCTCGACGTGGTCCCTCCACGGCGGTGGGGTAATGCCTCGGTCTGCTAGTTCACGCCTTGCTGGTAGCTATCGGATGGTTTTAGGTTCCAAGGTGACATGCAAGGGAGGGGCTACTCACCCGCTCGAGGTCATCGAGGGCACCGCGGTTGACCAATGCTTCACCTGGAACCTAGAAGGACGATAAGGAATTCGACACAGTCAACGATATATCGAGCATACCGGTGACGCAAGGCTCGTCGAAAGGAAGGCAAACACAAGGAGCGCGATTGAGTTTGAGAAGCGCATGTTGAGAAGGGGAGAAGGATATGGGGTGACTTGCCGAAGGGTCAAGCTGAGGGCCTGAATACCGGATCCCCCACGTATTATATAGCAGTCCTATTCTGTTTTGGCGTGCCTGAGAGGATGAAGCTACACCGTAAGTTACACGCCCGCATGGGGCAGAACGGAAGTGGTGCTCTAACTCCATCTAGGTCCGGGAATCTTTGAAGATCTCGTATCAACCTTCAACCTTCCCAGACCGAATCTTGCAAACTGAAGATGCCGTGGAACTTGAAGATGATGCATTGGTTTCGGAAGTCCCGACCAACGGGGAAATACGCCTCGTAGGACACATGAACGTGACCATGGGATCGAACACAAAGACTGTTGCATTGAGACGCTTCTCGGACTAATGGACTCTGATGGACATGTTTCTCCATACACCCCGCGTCTGTGCATTTCGACGTCATAGAACCTGTTGAGAGAGAGACATAAAGTATTAAAGCTATCTGCATAGATAAGGATTAACGGGGCGCTCTTTGCCTTCATTCTCACCCTGAGAGAGAGGCAAATATCCGGACATCAAGACGATCGCAACCTTTTTCCGAGGATTTGGCCGTTGTGGGGAGTCACGAGTTGCTGCTAATCTCCATCGGTTAATGTCATCCTGAACGTTTCCCCCCATACGCCAGTAGGCATGCGACGGTGGCTTGGAGGGGGGCTTGGGCCTTAATTACGACAAGTTTGCCATTGCAAGTTGAGCGTCTGTCCCGAGAGGTCACTATTCCATCCCTCTCGATAGACGAAACATAGTAGTTCTCACCATGCGCAGCGAAGGATCGACCTGTTGAAAGAATAATAGAATCAAGCTGTAAGCGCTAGAAAAGCGAAATACTAACCGGTTCATGATCATAACACCCAATACACCCACCTCCCCTAACATTCTGCGAATTACTAACCCGCAACTCGCTCTGAACGTTCAACACAGTCTCGCCTCCACAAGGCGAATTGTTGATCACCAGGAGATCGAACGCGTCGTGATAGGTGTACTCAGCACCTGTTTTACAGACTACACTCAGCGTGCATCTTTTATGACGAGTATTGTCACATACCGTCTAGCGGTCCTACAAAGTCTCTCCGCGTAGTGGACTGCACCAGTCGACCCTGGACTGTTTCAAAGGATTAGAGATATTAGTAGACATACGACGAAGGTACACTGGAAGCCTCTACAGTAGTAGGCCAAGTTCTGTGACGCAGCCACGCGGTCGTCGAGTTGGTAGTATCCACGCTAGATGCCCCTCCATCGATCAGTTCATCAAAATACTACTAGGAAAGTCGCCGCAAAGGATTGAAGAGTCAGAACCTACTCACGTAGTCAGCACTCGCAACACTGAAAGTAAAGCCCTGTGGAACGCTGCACGAGTCAGGACGGATGGTGCGCGCGATGAGATGCCAATCATATCAACCAACTTGTCATCGCCCAGAAGGGCAGATATAGTACTAATAATACGCACTCGACACCAAAACTGAGACGACAATTCCTCCTGTTCCGAGCTGCGGGGATGCCACCACCATCCTGTCCTACCTCGACATAGTACTCATTGAACACAACAGTAAAGGCATTCCTGTCGGCTACAAACCACTCATCAGTACGGCGTCGATCTCTCCGAGTCGTCAACATGACGTCCATCAAACGCAGGTTGACAAAAGTATAGATGATTAGAGCACTCACGACCAAGGAAAGAATAAACCGACCCAGGTGGGCAGCCAGTCCCAATAACACTGAAATTCGTGCTATATAGAATAGTCGTCATCAGAAGAACACGAAAGAAAGAGATGAAATCCCACTTACACTTTGAAATCTGCAGGGCCTGGTACAATCCACGGGCCGGGAAGTAGTTGTGGGGCGCCATCAGCAAGGGCCAACAGAGAAGAAAGGACCGTCGCGACAGGAAACAGCTTGTTGAACATGACTAAAGCCTAAGTTGGAACTCGGAATGGGGTCTCCCGACCTTTGAATAAGTTTCAAACGTCTTCTGCCATCATATATACCCTACAAGGGCGTACTAGGTACCCGGAGACCGCGCAGGCAAACGAAGCTCGTATGTAAATGGAACTTCACGAAGTGGGTACTGCGCGCACGTAGGAGAGGCCGGTTCGTGATGGAATCGTTAACGAACTCAATCCGGATTCCGAGCAACACGGCCGTGTATCGTTCGCTGAGCGCTTGTGGTATGTCGGGCATTGCGGGGGAATGTCGGTTTCGTCTTCGGAGCCACCTTTCCTACCTAGACATACTTCTAAGAATGGTCATCATCGAAGAGTCTCCGGCGTGGTAAGTTCTCGATGAGGTGCTCTCAAACGTAAGGCAAATTCCGACAACACCAGAGCCTTGAGGCATGACCAGACAGTGCAGCAAGAGGATAGATGATAGATGGTTAAAAAGAAGGATTATGCAAGTTTATTCCACCCATAGAAAAAAAGAATGAATTTGCCGAGTCGTATCGTATTCGCTGACCTTACCACCAACTGCGTACAACAGCAAAGGACGATTCAAGACCCCTCAATCACTCACAAGCCATCCATTGCAAGTTGATCGTCTGCCCCATCATTCAGTATCCCATCCCTGTCCAAACCCAGTGGTACTCACCATCTATCAAAACGACAGTATGCATATCAGCCACACACGTCCAGATTACCAAGGATGGAAGAGAGTCAAACTCGAATGGAACGCGAAACTCACAGAATCAGTACCAACATACCCCCTCCCACCAGGATTCATCGCGTTGCTAACTCGCAGGTCGTTCTGGACACGCAGCACACTCCCGCCTCCACACGGCGACTGGGCACGGTCCCAGGGGTCGATCGTGTCGCGGTAGGTGTAGCCTCTCCCTATCGACCGCTAGTTAGCGTATATGCATCCCGTTACTTTCATGGGTACATACAATCCAAAGGTCCTACAAAGTCCTTGCGTGGAGGAACCTGGACAAGCTGGCCCTGGACTTCGCACCCCATGTGCAGAATTAGACGATGTACACGGAGGCAAGGGTAGTATATGGCAACCTACAGAAGTATTCAAGCGTCTGCGACGCAGTCACTCGATCATCAAGACCGTAGTATCCGCGCTATCCATCCATTCATCCATCGATTCGTCAAACCTATTCAGAGAATTGCGCGGTGCACAGCGGATTTCAAGGTAGACCCACATAATCAACACTCGCAACGCTGAAAGTGAATCCCTGTGGTATACTGAAAGACGTTGCCCATGAAATGAGAAACAAGGGAACGTATCAATCAGAACTGGCCATGGTCGAAAAGAGGGGGGGGAACCCTAAACACGCATGCCTACTGAGAAAGGAGAAAAAAAGGAGCCTTACATGTTGAATCCTGCAGGACCTGGTAAATAGCCAGGGTTCGGAAAGCCTGGCCATGGCTGTGGGGCACCACGCGCAAGGGCTACCAGACCAGAAAGAACAGCGGCGACTGTTAGAGCGTTCTTGCTGATCATGACCTAAGGACTAAGTTAACTTGGATGGGTTCTCCCCTTTCAATCGCGAGGAAGTTCTCCCGTTTTATATTCCACCATAGGGTGCCCGGTGACACTCAGTAAAATCGGAAGTCAGGCCTAGTCCGGTAAGTGGCGAAATTTATGCACGTAGTCAACGCTAGATCATATGTTTTTACTTTGATCTGTCTTCCCTCGGGGATATCAAATAGAACTTCGGATAGTCAGGTTAAAGTCGTGTAGGTACAACATTTCAACTATAGATCATCTTCGTCGAACTCCTGTTCCATCTCTCCCTGCAGACCGCACTGAGATGGTTGAAGCATCTCAAGACCAGGATGTTTCCGCAGTACATAGACATTCCTAGACTCGGCCTCCCAAATGCCGACAAGAGTCTTGATCTTCTCGGTCTCCATAGCGAAGACAGTATGCGAAGACGGCCATTTTCCACGTATAACAGTCTTCAGAGGAGTGGAAATCTCCAGCAAGGGTGTGTAGACGACAAACGATTTCTGTTCTCTGCCCTTTTTCAGTGAGTACCACAGGCTTCGATAGAAATCGTGAATAGGACTTGAACGGCATGAAGAGACGCAATCGACGGGAGAAGTCAGTCTATTCTGAGAGGGAAGCAACAGTTCTCCTTCTATTTCTACTGAGGTTCCCAATCATTGAGATGAACTTCCGGAACGAGTGAGTATCAGTCCACGGTCGACACTTCCCACAGATTCAGATGGGTTCACGGTGGCAGGTGCACGCCGAAAGTTCGAGTTGCCAAGACACCAATATGTTACATGTAATACTTGTCCTCTTCAGCTCTACAAGTTTGAGAACATTCGAGATAAATAAGTGTAACTTGGCACTCAAAAGGTGCTGTAACCTGTTCATTCGCCGAGAATGGGCCACAATGGGGACACACCGTCTCAAATAAAGGCAAACAGAACCGCAGGACTCACGGTGGCATGGTGTCACAGAATCTTGCCGATACCCATGGTATGTCCCTTGCGCGCTCCGCTCCGCCCCAACGTCGACGTCTGTAATCATTATGGAACCTCAACAATCTCAACTATCGCTCGACGATAAGGACGCCAAACTTCAGAAGCGAATGGCTATGTGGAAGCGAGCGCTCGAACTTGATTGCCCCACGTGCGTGGCCAAGGTAAGTAGCTTCATCTGAAGTTTCAATTTTACCAGAAACTCAACGGCACCCAAGCTGGCAAGGTACACAATGCCCGTGTGCCATTCCCCGTCCCCTCGTGGCTACATCACCTACAAACCGGTACCTTTGGGCTACGAAAGGCACGTCGGGCCATACGTGTACGGGTGGCCCATCCGTGAAACCGATTTCGGGGACCTCGCGAGGAAATTGGGAATGAAATACGTCTCCAAAGATCTCGACTTGGTTGGCGCATGGATTCTTTCGCGCCTTGAGCAGTTGGCGAAGTTGCCGTTCACTCTGGTGCGGACGTGGGCTCTTCCAGACGAACAAGCCGTGGCCGATGGTTTTGATTACGTTTCACCCTGGGACGACCACCTTCCTGGAGTTCGCATGATGGACGTCATCGTAATGAGCTCGACCAGCAACGACCGTCTGTACAATCGAAGGCCGACGCTAGAGCAGTGGAAGGAGCTGACCAAGTGGCTAGGAGCGGACGCAAGGTGGTTTGAATCCGTTTTTCCCAAATACAAATTCCCTACTTGGGCATTCAGGAGCGAGTTCTCTATGTCCGCATTGTATAATTAACCCTAGTACCTCAAACTTGGACGCAGCAGACCTGTCTTAGTATGTAATAATGTCCGTGATATGAGGACGCCCAGTTCTCTTGGTGGCATACATGCGTCGTTTCTCTGAGTCGGGATCGGCAAGTAGATTGGAGTCAGGGCACATGCGGGAGATACTGAAGTGGAGATCTCAAGATCTCAGCATTGATGATTTTGCCTCGAGAGTTCGACATGACACCGGACACGACTGGCGAAATTACCCTGTTTTTTCGTGCACCTACGTGACTGGTGCCCCTTCAAACCAATTCGTGTGCGAGAGCTGTAAAGAATCGGTTCGTGGTGTATCCAATGGGTCTCAGTCATAGGTTTAATTCCCTTTCCACGTCAGTCGAGCAAGGCCCGATGCAGAAGCCGAGGAAGACGAGGGCAAGATCGTGAAGCACTAGGACGGCCGACCCGCAGTTGACCTCCTCATCCTTTCGTCCACCGTGAAACACGAATGGTTCCACCAGCGCCCCCGAGCAATTCGAGATTTTGGAGGGATATTTCGGGGATCTGCGGTGGTTTGAGACGTTGTGGCCGAAAGACGAGTTCCCGGAGTATTTGTTTGAGAAACCTCCCGAAGCTGTCACTCGAGTTGGTTAAGGAAGTTCACAACGGAGAGTCAGAATAGAGCACATTATCTTCCAATGTAGCAGTGGTGATACCCTGTGCACATGGCCCCTACATAGTGTTACGTCGTTACCACTTTCCGCGTCCTCGAAAGCGTCCAGGTCGACGTGAGCTGCCTGTCACGAGACCCTCTCTCTTCTGTCTGCGCGCATCCGTAAAGTCCATACAGCGTGGGCGCCTTCGAAACTCGTGGTTCCGACGTGGTACCGTGATGACGTACGACAAGCGGTGCTCCTTTGGTGTGCGCTTAAATCTCTGAGACTTCGGCATCCTCATCCTCATCCCCACCCCCGTCCCCGTCGCCTATGCGCTTTCGCTTCTTCGACACTATCCTTTCCGTCCTCTCCTCTTTTCCTTCGGCGTGCTCTTCCTCCACTAAAAGTTCAACAGAGTCCCATTCGGCGCGGAGTCGATCGATGCCTGCGAAGAAGGTGCAAAACGCAGGACTCAGAATCCAAGAGTAGGTCGATATATCTTCTCTGGACCCGCTGTTATGCCGCACTATATATTCGCCGAAGAGACTCTGGCGCAATCCCTCCAGGTGGCTCATAACAAAAGTTCTCAGATGCAAAGGGACCTGAGGGACGTCGTCGCTGTCCTGGAGTTCGTGGACAAACACCCACGTTCGAACGGCCGCGTATTCTTTGTCGAGCCTATGTTGAAAGATAAGGGGATGGTGCGGACTATCGGCAACACAGTTCTCTTTCACCCTCACCGACACCAACCAGAGAAGGATCCAGAATATAGATTCGAGATCGTATTGGTAGTTGTGTATCAATGGCTGGGGCTCGCGCAAGGAACGGCGAGGGGCAGAATCGGACCGGCAGTCAGACCGAGGGACGTAGGCGGTGAGTGGCTTTTCACCAAGAAGCTCGCACGCCATGAAGTAAGGGGTTCCCTGCGTACGAAAGTCTCTGAGTTCGGGTAAAAAAATGCTAATGAAGGAGGACTCACAATTTTTGTCTCGGGCTTCGATTGGTCCATGCCGGGAAACCGTTTCGAAAACTCAAGATCCGAAAGCTTTACGCGCCAATCACCGGTAGAGGCGGCTCGATAGGCCAGAATATTGCCGGGACTGACATCTCGATGAACCCATCCAGCGCAGAACATAATACGAAGTGCTACGAAAAGCAAAGTTAGCAAGCAAAGAAGACATGGAGAGGTCGCTGGGAATGATCGTACCGATAAGCGTTTGTTTGAGGACATCGACGGCTTCACCGAGCGTCGGTATGTCGTGGAGAGGGGTGCAAACCTGCTCATACACGTAGCGACACTGGCGACGCGTAATGGAGCCTGGTGAAGAGAGTTCAGGCTCTCCTACACAGCTGGAGATGATACGGGAGAAAAACGCCAGGGGATCACCATCCCTCAATGCGACCCCAAGACTATCGAGATCCTCCGGTCGAAAGTCCTGCAGGATCGGGTGTGCTCGCCAATTAGGGTCATTCGCAAAGGCGACGATGTCGGTGAACAGCAGATGCTGTATCTCGACTTCAGTGGGTGCGTCAGCCTCTAGAGACGCATCCTTTAGCACGAAATCGGAGGTGTTTGGTACCCGTTCCAGGGAGGCGGGAGAGGTTATTTGGCGCACTCGCCAAATGCGAGCCATGCGACCAATGAGACGTCGTGTATGACGCATGGACAACAACTCGACAGTCTGATAGAATTGAGGGGCCATCGATGGCCCCTCTGGTGGTATCTCGTACACGTAACCACCGTCAGGGAGCAGCGTGACGAGGGGGTCAAAGCCAAGGTGTGACTCTGTGCCTGTAAGCATCGCAACGAGCGCACGAATGAGGAATTCAGGATACTGCGTGCGAGTTAGCCTTATGGAATCGAGGTGTAATATAAGCACCGTACCTTGGTTACATCAAAAGGTGTAGATTTGGCGCATGCCGAGCGAGAAAGATAATAGAGGGTGACCTGGCAATCTTTGATAGTTACCTTGAAAGGCAGGTTAGAAATCGAAAGGAATAAACGGTCAATTGCACTTACCCCATGCATGAACCGCCGGCGTGGGTCGCCGTTCATTACGTCGATCGCAATGGGAATGAGGGGGTGAAGTGTCTATGCGAAGAGTTCAGCATATGACAGTGGCACAAAGCAGGGAACCACCTACCCCGTCATCGAACGCATTATTCTGCGCTTGCGGCTTCGTCGAGATGACCTTGAACGGAACGACAACGTCCGTCAACCGCAGCTCTCCATCACAATTGTTCGTGAGGCATCCATTGATAGAACCTTCGTCTACTTCTAGAGTGCGAATAACGTTTTCGTTGGGAGCCGGCCCTTTGAGCTTGTGAAGAGCTCTGCGAACGGCATTACCAGCCGTCTGGAATGATTTCATAATCCGGGTGGGGTTGGTTGGAAGTATAGGCCCGGCGCGCAGCAGTGGACAACGACTGAACGGAAGCCTGTGACATTGGACAATAGTCAACCGTTATATCAAGTCGCTGGTAGCTCACAAACCCGATTCACTCTCTCGTTCGCAAGCTTTTGGACGGCTGCGTGCCACTCCGAACCAAACGGACAAAGGCCCTGACGCGACCACATGGAGATTCGTGGGAACTCTGTCCTTATCGTCCGTTGATGGCCAAGACGCGCCGGGCCTATACTTCTATTCTACGGGGGTGCGCTGATGGACATTACTATGCACGGGACTTCAACAGTTCTCTACTCGCCCCAACTGATTGTCCCTCATCACGGTGAATCGTGCCACGGTGATTATCCAACGCTTAACAGCTAACTGTAGGTGTCAAGTTGCCCTATGGCTCAATCAGTAGGCGATCTAACGATTATTGATTTGGGTCAACGCTTGTTCCCAAAATCGTCTGTTAGACTCGACTTTGTGATTTCTCTTCTCCATTTCATTGCATTTTTCACGCACATAGAACGTACACACACTTACTCCACTTCTTAAGCCATAAAATTTAAAAGCTGCTGTTCCCTATCGTCTATTGTTCGGTATCCACGGCGTTAGGCAAACGTATACCCACAAACGCATATACAGATATACAAACAGTCAAACACGGTATCTAAAGGTATAAGGGGATCCTCTCGAGGAAGCTTGTGCAAACCCCAGTCTCATGGCCCAAGCCAATTCTACCGCTGCGTCGACAGAAATGGTACGTGAAGTTATTCACGAATAGGACCTTACATTAACACCAGTCACCCAGGATTCTCTTTTAGTTAACGACCCACAGATGGAAGGGGAGATAACTGGATGCGAAGGATGTAAAGATTCGGTAGGTCGTGTGCTCACTGGCTCACAGTTCACGAGTTTTATTCACCTTCGCCGTCGAACCTCAGCTTTCTGCCAGCGCGATGCCTTCATGCCACGCCCCAACCTACCCAGACATGGTGCTCTACCCACCACTTCCGCCCGACTACACTTCGCTTCCCTGCCACCTCGTCTACGCCTTCCCCGTGACACGAGACGTCCTCAGGTCATCTATGCGCAAACTGGGGTTCAAAGCAAGTAAGAGAGTGATCGTCTCCGAGACCCTGGCGAGCTTTGGATGGATCCTCGAGGCCAAGCTCGATTACAAATACAATCTCGTCTACTGCCCCGCACTGCCCGACGAACAAGCCGAAGAAGACGACATGGTTAGCGAGTGGGAAGGCAACCCCGCAGTGCACACTCTCGCCCTTGCAGCAACCGCGAGTCATAAGTTGTTCCACCAACGTCCTACTCCTGAACAATGGCAGAAGCTGGAAGGGATCTTCGAGGGGTCTAAGCCACGATGGTTCCAGACACATTGGCCTAAAGATAGATTCCCTCAATGGCTGTGGGAGGATCTGCCTAAGATGTCGCCCGCATTGTATGATATAACTTTCGGTGGCACGGCGGGGACCAAGAAGGGTCACAGTTAAAGCGGCGCAGAGTATGTTTTACGTCACGGTTCCGGGGACAAATCTCGTCAAATCCTTCATCTCCGCCCTCTTTAACGCAGGTATTCCATCAGCTATAGTAGCCATTGTACGACTATGCTTTTTATGACTTCAATATTGAAGACATGGCTTATATCACTCTACCGAGTTGGATATTTAAATTTCCCGTCGTCGTTCGCAAAGACTTGAAATGGTCCAAGCAATGCGGCAGGCGGTTCCCCGTTATCTCCCTGAAATCCTGAAATCGGACAGGTAGCTGCAGCCTGTATTTAATCGTTCCTAGCGGTTCGACTATATGGTTGACTGATTCCTGCATGAATCCCCGTCCCATGCTAAAGCCTCAAGGCTGGAAATACCCACTATCCCGTATCGCAGACCAGTAGGATGTACACCACGCCGTTTGCACGGAAACGGATCTAATTTCTGACACAAAAGATTTCGAACAAGTACCATGCGGTTACCGAAACACTCCCTGCCTAATTCAATACAAAGTACACATTCAACAACGTGAAAAACTGAACATGACACTCGAAGCACATTATTACAAACTTTACGCCTAGTATGACCCCTAGAGTGGTTTAACAAACCCGTGGAGCTCTGGATGGCTACCCTCATCTCCATCGCAAATCAAGTTTCGCCTTGACGAATAAGAAGCGAAACAAAGTTCAGACGGACATGAGCACTCGCTATCAAAGAAAACCCGTGAGATAACTCACTCAAATTGTAGAACGTTGCGCCAACTTGCAGCAAGTTGATAAGAGCTAAATGGAAGGATCGGACAGACGGGCCATCGACATGCATACTGCTCCATGAATTCTTAATCTCCCCGTCCCACGCCAAAACCACAAGGCTAACGACGCCCACAATCCACCCACCATCGCTCTTGTACTGGATACCTGCATCTAGCGCACCTGTTGAACGTAAGTATACCACGACAAGGCGAGTGATTCAGACGTCTCTCACCTGGCGACCATGTGTATGGTATACCGTCACCATCCGCCCCCACCGACGTCTGGATGGAAATACCCCTCAGCGAGCTCGGTAAGCTGGACGCATCGCCACAAATTCCAAGTGTCTGACCAACTTGGTTTCGTGTACATAGGCGGCATCGTCAGATTCTGAGCGTCCAAGCTCGACTCCAGACACCGGCTCGCCCGACGGATCCAAACTCGACTCTACACGACAGCTGACGGGCAGCCCAACGAGTCCGACCCAGGAGGAGGAAGGCGAAGACGAAGGCATTTGTAAACGCTGCGACGAATCAGTTCGTACTCTTTCTTTCAAGCATAATCCGCACCACTGCTCCTATTAACTTCCCTTCCTTCGTGCTTGGCTCTTGGGATTCCAGCTCGACAGAGGTGTGATGCCCACATGCCACGCCCCCTCTGATCCAGGCCTGGCCCTATTCAAGCCCCTCCCACCCAACTGCGACTCCCTGCCATCCTACATGGTATACGGCTTCCCCGTGACCAAATCCATCATCGCAAAGGCGCTGGAGGCGATCGGATTGGAAGACGATCCGAAATCGGACGTCATGACGAGCGCCTCGCACCTCGGTATGTACCTCGAGGCGCGGGTCGGTTACACCACAGGGAATCTCGCGTACTACGTCGGAAAGGCAGATGCGCAAGCGGAGGAGGACCGTGTTGCGCTGGATATCAAGGGGAAACGGGCGGTGGAGCTTTTGGTCGTTTCGGCTACTGGAGAGAGGCGGTTGTATCGCCAGAGGCCTACCGTCAAGCAGTTTAAGAAGTTGGAGGAATACCTAGGTGAGGCGAGGTGGTTTGAGGCCATGGAGCCCAGGAGAAAGTTCCCCGCCTTCCCGCTTGAGAATCTGCCCAAGCTTCCACCTGGTATGTTCGATCATGTGTGGGAGAAGATGTAGATCGGTGTCGGAGTACTTATAGTCGTTCGCATTAGGCACCAATCCAGTTTGCCATTTTTTCTTCTGGTTTTTGCCTCTCGGGGCGGGAGTGATGGAAAGGTAGGGAAGAGACCTTACGGCGGTCTTTTGCCAGGCCCGGGTGCAAAGATATAGCCCTCTGAACCTAACAACGCCATACAGCGCGCCACTTCGCCGAAGCGCGTTTTGGCTTTTGTTCCATCCACAACCTTATCACGCACACTCTTTATCTCCAATCCAGCACCCCGCTATGGTGCTCAAGCGCAAACGCGGCGACGAATGGGTCGAAGTGAAACCTCGTCGGGGGTCCTCCCCACCTGCTATGATCCCACCCGTTCCAGCACCAGGGACCTCAATCCCGACGACGACTATGACTTCAAGGGCGACGCGGTCTTCTACAGGAACCGCGGCTGGACCTTCTTCCTATTCATCGACGGCAGGGTACCCAACGACCTCGACGATGGGGTATAGCTACAACTACGCGGACAGAGCCCCTGTTACGCCTGTGAAAAAGGCGCGGTTGGCGTCTGACTCGCCGGAGATTGTTGCGGTTTCGAGTGGAGGGTACCGGTCTGGATCCAGTTTGAATATGCCTGGGAGGAGCACGAACACCGCGGCTACGACTACGACTTCGAGGACGGCGGCACGACGAACAGCGACAACGCAGGTCTCACAGCATCCTTCACTTGGCCTTCCTCCACCTTCCGCACTCTATCAGCTTCCGCAATCCCAACCACCCCCACCCACAAAAGCGAAAGCTACGAGGAAGGGAAAGAAGAAGGCTGTAGAAGAGGAGTATGGACATGCTCCAGGCTCCAGCCAACCAGGCTCGAGCCAGCCTAGTTCGAGCCAGGGAACCAGAGGACGCAAGCCTGCCCCTGAAAAACGCCTTGCGCGGTTCAAACCGAGTTGTCCGCAAAATATCATTGATAGGCTGGAGAGGGTACAGATGCAGACGTGCGTACTCCATCCCTTCCCTCCGTGGCCTTGTGCGTTGACGCGGTTTTAGGTTCTACATGCTAGATCGCAATAGGAATGGGGACGAGTTGAAGGAGACGTTTCAGGTTTCTGGGTCTACTGGAAATGTACGTCCTCTTTCACCTGGTTGTGTGGGTTTGAGAGCTGATGAGAATGTAGGTATATACCGTCGTCATCGACAAAATCCCAAGCTGCACTTGCCCAGACGCGATGAAGGGTAACCACTGTAAACATATCGTGCGTCGCTCCCTCTCTTTCCCCTCGCTACACAAACCTAACCCGCCACTTTTTGATTGGTAGCTCTTCATCTTCACGAAAGTACTCCATGTACCCAGGTCGTCAGGGTCCTGGTACCAAAAGTGCGTTCATTTTCCTCCCAGTCTGGCGGTGGCTGCAGTGGCGGTGACGGTGATTCTAAACGCCCTTTTAGAGCTCTCCTTACGGACGAACTGCAAGAGATATTTGATAATGCGCCTGCGGCTCCGAATGCGGGTGTGACGAATGCGAGGGTGCAGGAGGCGTATTTGAGGAGTATTGGACGAGGTGCGTGCTTATCTGATTTTAGACATTGGGATGGAGTTGGCTTATTGTTTTCTTCCCGCCTCGTCGACACCCTCGCCCCTCACCTTCGCGATACACTATCCCACATCACGCGTGTCCAACAGCCCCCTCACAACCCGCCTCATCACAAAAAACCAAAAAGAAAACGCCAGAAGAAGGCGACGACTGTCCGATTTGTTACGATACAATGTATCGCGCGAGTGAAGCCCAGCTTGTGTGGTGCGAGGAGTGCGGGAATGCGGTTCATAAAGGGTGTTGGGGGCAATGTGAGTGTTTTTTATCGTTCATTCATTCTTTTGGGGCTGTGGATTGGATTGTTGGAGGAGGAGGATGGGGTGATCGGGGTTGTTGGTGGAGGAGAACGGGGTGGTGGATTGGTGTTGGAGGAGAACGGGTGGTGGATTGTCGCGGAGAATGGGACGCTGACGCCTCCCCGTGTTCGTTTTAGGGTCCAATACCGCTCGAGCGTCGGGCAAGGACGTTACATGTGTTTGGTGTCGGTCCAAGTGGACTGTTGCTGGTGCGTGCTGGTTTCGTTCATCGATTCTGTGCATGAAGAGTTTACTTTTCTTTATCCCTCTTCGCTCTGCTTTTACTACGCCATCGCTATTCCGTTACATCTACTCCTGGCTACGACGATCTCGACATCTCTCTATTGCCGCTATATCCGGACCTCTACCTCTCACCTCTCCCTTGCACCTCAACAACTCCGTTCTCACCTGGCCCTCAACTTCTCCGTTTCGCCTGGCCCTCAACTCTCCGTTTCACCTTGTTTCCACCCGGGCTCGTCGGCGATATCAGGTGCGGGAGGTGCTGCCGCACGAGCCACTGGTGCAACTGTGCGAGGTGGGTATTTGAATTTGGCTGGTGTGGCTGGGTTGAGTCCTGTTAGGGATACGAGTACATGTGAGTGTTACTCCTACTAGTTATTGCACTGAGGTTATTTAGCTTAACCCCTTTGCAGATTACCATGGACCTAGACGGGGTCAGAGGTATTATGGTGCTCAGTATTATGATGATGATTGAATTTCGCAATTTGGGTGGTCGTGGTTGTCGTCGTATCTTCGAACACGCCAGGCGATACGAACTTGTTAATCGTTGATCCTAGTCTTCAGATAAGTCCTACTTTATTAGCTTTTGGAGATGTCGTATTTTATATCGTATATCGTATTTTGTTACTTCTTGGAGAAGCGTTATGTTTCTTTTTTGTAGTGTCGGTCTTGAGAATGTCTGATGGACATTCGTGCGGTTTCGTTGATGTTTATTTGGAGAGTAGAGCGTTATAGTAGTCGGTGCTCTAGTCGTAGGCTATTCCGATTGGGCTTTCTAATACCGTAACATGAACGCGATGCGTTCGAAATCGAATACAGCTATACTTCTTGACCAATGACGACCCTCTCGAGTCTTTCCTGGCCTGGCTGACTTGTCACTTCTTCTCTGTAACTCGGGACTCATCCGACAACTCTCCGCCTTCCTCAAGTCGATTTTTAACCAAAACTTGGAATAGTAACCAAGATGTAGAGTAGTATAACCAAGACTTAGATTACATAGTAGTAAAGAGCGCTCGGCGCTCGCGCTGCTGAGCGATCGATCAGCGTCGAATGATAAGACTCCTTAGCTCAGTGGTAGAGCGTGAGATTCCAGCCTTTGGTTCTGGGGTTTCCTCAAGGTCATCCGTTCAATCCGGGTAGGGGTCAATACGAAATCGCCTTCTTCATTTTGCGTTGTTGTTATAATTTTGTTGTTATAATTACTGTTACTGTTGTTCATTTTTTTATTATGTCGGACTGTCTACCTATGGACGAAGACAATTGCGAGTTTGGTTTTCTGCGGCCGTATTATGTATAGTGGGTTCGAATTGCCGGTCAAGGTATGGAGGGATCGAATCGTTGGTCAAGGTGAGGTGAGGTGAGATGAAGCGGAGCGCCGACGCCATCATTGTGAGGTGAGTTTATTACGATTGTAGTGTACACAGTACTGCGATATACTTCCCTTCTACTAACTCCAGTGGTGTCGATCATTCATCTGTATAATGAAGCTATTTGTCTCTAATGTGCATCTAGGCTAGTAGAAGGGGAGTATATTGCAAGTTTACTGTTGGCATTGGCGCTTCGCTTCATCTCGTCTCATCCCTCACCGTGCCACTGACAAATCCGAGAACCCCACCACACGACCACAGAGCCAAACTCGCACCTGTCTTCCTCTTACCTCTGCAACCTTCGAAACAGACCTGTCAACCGATCTCAAAAGCTCATCACTCGGCTTTCCTCCGAATGAGACATCCAGTTCGACTAGGTTTGGGAAGATAGAGAACCAGTTGGGCTCCGTGATCGATTCGGTTGGTTCAGTGTTTGCCATTGACCTCCTGAGCGCTTTGAAAAGGGAGTGAAAGTTGGCATGTTTCGGCGTGACTTTTTCTGGATGAAATTTCATTTGCCAAGGATTTGTTGAAGGAGGAAGCGGCTGGACGGGCCCCTTGGTCGACGGAGGTGAGAGAACCAAGACGCACTTCTCGACGGTGTCGAGCTCCTTCATCGTCTTGATCAAGCCCTCTGTGACAGCTTGAGGCTCCAACCCTCGGATTACAAGCGTCTTGACCTTGAACCTACCTGTATCCAAGTACTCCACTTTGTTCCTCCACACGAACTTGCGGATGTAGTGGAATCCGGTGCACGAGGTTCCATAGTAAGTGTTGATGAACGGATCGCCCAGGTTCACAACGAGTTCTTCCAGACCGGGTGTACGGAGTAGACGAAGGTAGACCTTGGACATCGGCATCCCCAGCTCCAGCACCTTCAATCTCCGAAGTACCACCTTCAAATGCCGAGGCAAAGACGCCATATCGCGGGCCTTGGGCGCTAAACTAGACGTATGGAAACTCGGAGCTGCGATTTCGTTGCCACCGATTACAAGTCTCTTGAGGTGCGCGGCGGTGTACTGGAGGTACGTTATAACCAAGGGTATCTGGATTATCCAGCCGTTGGAGGTTGAGAAGGTGAGTGAGGTGGTTTGTGATTTGAGGAGGGAACAGGGGAGGGTGCGGTGTATGCCGCTGCTCCCGACCAAAGTAATCGACGTACAGGCGGGGAGGAGGCCGAGGAGTCGGTCTCTGGTGGTTACAGCCCCCGAGTCTGGTAGTCTAGACACTGAGGACGGTTTGGAGACGCTGCTTCGGTGCTCACCTGAGATGTATATTACCGAATGCACATTGGGCAACTCGACCTTGGGACCTACCAGACCGAATTGGACGAGTGCGTGGATACTTGTTCCTACAACCGTCAAAGAGACCCAGCGGTGCTGCGATGCTTTGAGCAGGCTAGCCCAGGCTGGAGTGGGGGAGGGAGGCTGGAAGGAGTCCGAGTTACATTCGCCGTAAGTGAGTGAGACGTTCATCCCTGCGCATTTAGAATTTCCAAGTGCCCGTTTGAGGAGCTTATTGGATTTAATGGGATTGAGACGTCCAACATCAATGTTGAGCTTAGTCCAGAGGGGTGTGTGGTCTTGGATGAAGCTGTACCACCTCTTACACACCAGCGAGTAGTTCCTGTACGGTGACTTGATACCATCCACCTCCTCCTGAGGTAAAAAGGAAAAGATGTGGGCCAAGACTTCGTTGGGGAGACTGCGGACGCGGGCGCCTGAGGTGAGGGATTTGTGGTACGCTGTTGCGTGCTTGATTTCGGCGTTTCGGATTCGTTTGCCTCGGTCTTTGTGCATGAAGTGAGGGTCTGAGGAGATGAGAGAGCGAATTTGGTTGAGGATCTTGAGATGTTCTTGGGATTGGTGGATGGTAGCGCCGTCCGGAACTGTGAATGAGGAGAGGAGCGCTGGGTTGATGCTTAGAGCTGCGTTTACCTGGTCGACGTTGAGGTCTGGAGATGACATGGCGAGTTAGTAAAGCCCTCGATGTAGTTACTCACCGTTTGATTTCTTTAGAGTCGAGTGGGATGGGTTATCGTCTATGAGGCACAGGCGACAGCATCCCATCGAGGTTCTTTATAGGCTAACTATGCGGGTCTTCCTAGCGCTTTGACATGTCATTCAGATGCACTTGGTCCAGTGGACGGCATACTGTATATACGAGTGGCAGAAGTACAAGGATCTGTGCCACTCAGACAGTGTATTATGGAGAGGACGAGCGGTTGGACCAGAGGTCCAGTGGGCTTGTCAGCGCTTAACGCCGAAACTAGTATTGTGCGAGTCAGGGTTTAGCGCCCCAGCGTCGTTCGAACCTTTGAGTGAACGCTAATTTCTAATGAAAGCTGCATTTCCTGTGATAATTTACTGGATTATCTTCCACCAATACTCACTAAAGAAAGTGCTTGACTTAATCATGCTACGAGCCTACGACCATAACGGCTTTACTTTCAAACATCTGCAAACATTCGCTTTCTTCCCACAGACCCAGCCTCTCTAACGTGACTAGGTTGATATGCGCATTGAATACAGCACATACTTCCGAAGGTCTTCACGCCGTGGGTCCATCGCGCACAACAACTCCATGTTACACCGTCTTGGCTCCTTCAAGTTTGTGCGCCTTCAAGCTTCAAGGTTAGCTGACGCGACATAGAAGCCATCCGCTTTCCGAGTCATGGAATCTTAACTCGCGCATTTCTCGGTCTTGTATGGGTCTTCTGTTGGGTTACTCGGCACTCTGGAAGGGGTCGTCATGATCAAGAGATTGGGTGGAGCTCCAACGAGCAATCAGGAGACCGCTTTAGAAGGACAGCTGGTGGAGTTTCGCCAATATCTCTATCGTGGATTTCTCGGAATTTGTGGTAATCGGACAATATTCGAGGGTTGGGTTGCGAGGGTGCTCTCTAGATCATCGTCCAAGTCTTCTCTCAGTCTTGATGGAGGTGTTCTCTCGGTGTTGTCGAGGCGGTTCCCCAGGTCTTCTCAATGAAACATCAAGCTTCGAAACTGCACCCAAGAGCTCTCGTCATGGGAAATACTACGTGTAACCTACTCTGGATGGCTACATGCGCTCATCGAAGCCTCAGCACGACATATCTCGCTGTACGTAGTATTATTCTTCATATTCCGTGGATAACCCGGGCTCAGCTGGTTAGTTTCAGCGTAGGAATGGTGGAGCGTTGGAATCTGAAGAAATGGTATATATGGCACCCTCGTCTGGGCTCTAGGATTTATAGGACTCGTCCTACCCATCCCACCCTCTACAACCCAAAAAATGAAGTTCCTCAACCTCCTCGCAGCCCTCGTCGCCGTCGCCCCTCTCAGCCTCGCGGCTCCCTCTGCCTCCTTCGAGCGTCGCCAGGGTTCTGTCAACCCCTACATTGGGAGGAGCCCGCTCGTTATCAAGTCCTACGCCGAGAAGCTCGAGGAGACGATTGCCTATTTCGAGGCTCAGGGTGACGAGCTCAACGCTGCTCGTACGAGGACTGTGCAGGGCATCCCCACCTTTGCGTGGATTTCGGATAGCGCCACGGTGAGATGAGGGTACTATCGTAACTCCTGTCGCACACGACTAACTATGTTCCATTGATTCACTTCTGGTTGCCACTACACCAACTTCCACATCGCATCATCCGGCCAACCACACAATGAACGAATGAATTAAACAATTCAGATCGACACCATCCAACCACTCATCGCCGATGCTGTCGCTCACCAGGAAGCATCCGGCGAACAAGTCCTCGTGCAGCTCGTTATCTACAACCTGCCCGATCGTGACTGCGCTGCCAAGGCATCCGATGGAGAGTTCCACTTGGATGACGATGGTGCCAACAAGTACAGGGCCTATGTTGACAGTGCGTATCCTTGCTCTACTCCCAGTTCTCTCGGGATAACGAATGCGTGTTCGTGTGATTAGGGATCGTGGCTGAGCTTTCCACCGCGGACGCGGATAAACTCCACTTCTCCATTGTCCTCGAGCCGGACTCGTTGGGTAACATGGTGACAAACATGCACGTACCCAAGTGCCAGGGTGCCGCCACCGCCTACAAGGAGGGTATCGCCTACGTACGCGTTTCCTTCTTCCCTGCTCCAAACGCCAATTTCTGATTCCAACCGGTGTAGACCATCGCAAGCTTGCAAAAACCCAACATCGACCTCTACATCGACGCTGCCCACGGTGGCTGGCTGGGCTGGAACGACAACCTTCGCCCCTCGGCCGAGATCTTCAAGGAGACCCTCGACCTCGCACGCCAAATCACCCCCAACGCAACCGTCCGTGGTCTCGCCATCAACGTCTCCAACTACAACCCCTACAAGACCCGAGCCCGCGAGGACTACACCGAATGGAACAACGCCTACGACGAGTGGAACTACGTCAAGACCCTTACGCCTCACCTCCAGGCTGTGGGCTTCCCCGCCCAGTTCATCGTCGACCAAGGTCGTTCCGGCAGGGAAGGAATCAGGACCGAGTGGGGCCAGTGGTGCAACATCAGGAATGCTGGGTTCGGTATTAGGCCCACGACTGACCAGGCGATCGTTGATAGCGCGAACGTGGATGCGATTGTTTGGGTCAAGCCTGGTGGAGAGTCCGATGGTACCAGTGATGTCAACGCGGTTAGGTTCGACGAGAACTGCAGGAGTCCCGCCTCGCATGTTCCCGCTCCCGAGGCTGGCGAATGGTTCAACGAGTTCGTCGTCAACCTCGTCATTAACGCGAACCCACCGCTTGAGCCTACTTACGCGTAAATGTACTCGAGGAGTGGATGGAGAGGAATAGTTAATTATTCTGTATTATACCAAGGGTAGTGGATAAACATTAACCGTCTACGAGAAACCGTTCCAAAGTACGCTTTGAAAAGTAAAGGGGTTGGAGGTAAGCAGCGGTGATACGTTGCTATCAGGGCACTGCAGCTTCTGAGATGCTGGTATCTCGGTATACCATGTCTCGAGCGTCGAAGTTGCTTCCCAGTTGCTTCCACCTTAATTTATAGCAGATCCTAACAACTAGTAAGAACTGTAGAAACGCTTCAAAATTAATCCCAATATCCCCAAATGTACATCATGCCTATTTCATACACCTAGCTCTCTTTCATGCATTCCTCCGAACGCACGCTACAGCTCGAGCGGCTCCAGCGGGGGATTGGCGTTCAACACAAGGTTGACCACAAAGTCATTAAACCACTGCCCAGCCTCGGGCGCAGGCACATGCGCGACCTCACTCCTACAATTCTCGTCAAATCTCTTCGCATCAACATCGCTCGTGCCATCCGACTCCCCACCAGGCTTGACCCACACAATCGCATCCACGTTCTCACTATCCAGCACCTGGGGGTCACTCGTCGGTCGAATACCAAACCCGGCACCCCGGATGTTGCACCACTGGCTCCAGCTCGTCCGGATCCCGCCCTTTCCTGACCGACCTTGGTCGACGATGAAGTGCGCGGGGAAGCCCACAGCCTCGAGGTGCGGAACCAAGTTCTTGACATAATTCCACTCGTCGTAGGAGTTGTTCCATTCGGTGTATGGTTCCCGCGCTTGGGTTTTATAGGGGTTGTAGTTCGATACGTTGGTAGCGAGACCCCGGACTCGAGCGCCAGGCGTGATCTCCCGTGCGAGGTCGAGGACTTCGCGGTAGACCTCGGCGGAGGGCCGGAGGTTATCGTTCCAGCCAAGCCATCCACCGTGCGCTGCGTCGAGGTACAAATCGATGTTGGGCTTTTGTAGGCTTGAAATCGTCTGGAATTATGTCACAAGTAAGCAGCAGAAAACGATGGAGGTTCAAGGTGACGAGACGTACATATGCAATACCCTCCTTGTACGCGGCTTCAGCACCGCGACACTTCTCGACGTGCATATTGGTCACAAGGTTACCCAACGAATCAGGCTCGAGGATGATCGCAAAGTGGAGTTTATCCGCGTCTTCCGTCGAGAGCTCCTCCGCAATCCCTGTAGGCGACCACTCGTCAGCTACCAGTACCTCAGGAGGATTTCGCAGCGTAATACGCACTGTTAACATACGCCTTGTACTTGTTGAACCCGTCATCATCCAAATGGAACTCCCCATCCGAGGCCTTGGCCGAACAATCCCTATCGGGTAGGTTATAAATGACAATCTGCACAATGACTTTTTCGCCAGTTGCCTCCTGCTGGGCGAGGGCATCTGCGATGAGGGGTTTGATGCTGTCGATCTAGATGCATCGACCATGGATAGTACATGGTCGAAGTCAGTGCCCCGGACGCCCCAGACTTTGAACCGGAACCAACTCACCGAAGCACTATCCGAAATCCACGCGAACGTCGGCACACTCTGCACAGTCCTCGTCCTTGCAGCATTAAGCTCATCACCCTGCTCCTCAAAGTACCTAACCGTCTCCTCCAGCTTCTCGCCGTAAGTCTTGATAACGAGCGGGCTCTTCCCGATATAAGGATTGACCGACGAGTCCTGGCGGCGCTCGAAGGAGGCAGAGGGAGCTGCGAGGGTGAGAGGGGCGACGGTGAAGAGCGCCGCGAGGAGGTTGAGGTACTTCATCGTAGCGTCGTAGAGCGTGGAATTCGAGGGTGTGAGGGAGAGAGAGGAGGATAGATGCCGATGGGTAGGAACGAACCCTATCGACCCATCCATATCCCAGGGTATCTTATATACCCTTCTCTAGAGCTTCATCGCCCAACCACCTGAAGGCACGCGGGATATCCACGGAACACAAAAGAACAAGGGCAAATACCGCGACACGAAGAAACACATGTCGTGCTCGCGCTTCGACGCGCGAATGTATGCATTGAACGCAAGTTACACGTAGTGCCATTCCCATGCGAAACGAAACTAACCAACGAGTTCTGTCAATTCCGAGAAATCCACGCTGAGAACTGAGTCGCGCCTCGAGTCCATGCCGTGCTGCCATTCCCTAAGTAATGGTCGCCTGATTGCTTTCCGGAGTTCTGTAGTCTATTTACGACCTTGCAGAACATTGCATGGCTTCTAAGAGAGCACCGAATGACCTAAGAGAATGCCGAGAAATACGCGAACTACGGTGAAGCCGTGGCTGTTATCAAGAACTCGGAAGATGGATAACCGCAAGCAAGTTCAACCCGTTTTCGAAAGTTAACAGGCGACGTCGCCTACCTCACAACCAGTCGGTACTATGCACTCCTATGGCCAACAATGTGCTTCGCCACGAGCTAAACTCAACCTACGACGAGGTTACCGCTCTACTTTCACAAGGAATCAAGATTCCAAGGACCACAATTCCACGACACAGTTGTAAAGAGACCACCTGACCACAGTAGCGCGAATCGAAGGGCCATATTCACCGAATCGAAGCTCCATAGCGGCGAAGAAGCTCTTTGAACCGATCATCATCAAACTGTTATTAGAGTTCCCCTTCCCGAATGCCGATTCCCCATGTTGCCGGGCCTTGTATTCCGCGTTGGAACCAGGTGCATCATACGCACCAATGACCATGACCATGGGGACTCGTAGAGTGCGCGACAGTGCGAAGGCAATTTACGATACAATTGACCGAGCCCAAGTCTCAGTGCTCGCTTTTATTTGACGCGTCTCTACTGTAGATATTGAATGTCAACTGCCATACTCCCAGTGAGAGGAGAAAATAGAATAGTGATTTGAGAAAGGAATACTACCATGCGTTTACGTCTACGTTCCGATAGAATTGAGATGCTATAGAGATACGAGCAAGAAAAAATGAGAGACAGATAATAGAAAGAGATCCAAAAAGAAGACAGACGAGAGAGAGAGAGGAGATGGAAACACAAAAATGAAAAATGGAGACGAAGATGGAGTCGGTAATACGATCTAGCAACGCTCGAACAGGAAGCGATAGCAAAGAACGAGAATGAGATGTGAGTATATATGTAAACAAAGGATGAACGTCAGATATAAAAATTTACAGGGGTAAGAAGTCTACAAAAAAGCCCTATCCACAGTCCACAAAACGATAAAGAAAAAAAGACGCAAAAAAAGAAAGAAAGAACAGAGATGTGAGATGTAAAGGAGACGACATGATTTTGATCCGAGAAATAGAAGAAAACATAACCATAACTTCGATGAGACGGGACAAAAAAGGGCATAACGGAGTCGCGAAAATTCATCGCAACCCTCCAAGAGTCCACACCGCCCAGCACTCACTCAACAACCTCAAACCGACTCTTCTTCCCCAAATGACCATCCAAATCCCCCTCCTCATGCGCACGCTTCATCCCTCCTCCTCCCATACCACCACCCATGCCACTTCCCCCTCCTCCTCCCATGCCCATATTCATCCCAGCATTACTCCCAGAATCAATCCCAAAATTAATGCCAACACCATACATCATCGTCGCACCACCCATAGACATCGACAGTCCACTCCCCGAGGCCATTGAGGCATTGCTGCTGCCAGACATGGAGTTGTTGCTCATCGACGACGAGGAGCCACCACCCATCCCACCAATGCCGAGACCGAGACCCAACCCACCACCACCACCCTCCCCACCCAAAAACATCTCCCCATTCACCAAATTCTGCACCATCATGTTATACTGCTCGTCCGTCAGACCCATCCCCGCCAACGGATTAACCCTCGCCTCGATCTCGTCGCCGAGGTTGACGTTCATCATCCCTCCCGAGCCCGCGGTACCCCCCACAGCATTACCACTTCCACCGCCCGCACCCGACGAGCTACTACTACCAGCATCCCCCACGTTGGTGGTGGTCGACCCAGAGCCGAAATTCCCAAAACTGAAAGACGGATCCATCGACATCGACGAGGGGTCCATCATCTGCTGTTGCTGCTGCATCCCCGAACCCGAAGCAGATCCAGACGACGGCAGTGGCGCGGGTAGAGCTAGCGCGCCCGTCGACATCGACATACCACTCCCCCCACCCGCTCCTCCCGCCATCAACGCCTGCTGGAACCCGTCATCCGAAAGCGGCGGGATCCCAGGGCCCCTCGGTACACTCCTCGACATCCGCTCGATCACCTTGAGATGCATCAAGTGCTTCTCGAGCATGTCCAGCAACCCTTGTTTCGTGAACGGTTTGGGGAGGATGTCGTTCATGCCTGTCGCGCGAGGGATCAGTCGCTACTCGACGAACGTAGAGGGAGAGGTGACGCACCGGAGGAATAATAGGTCATAATCTCATTCGGCTTTGAATTACTCGTCATCGAAATAATCGGGGTGCCTTTATCGAATTGGCGGATAATCGAGGTGGCGGATATTCCGTCCATCTTGGGCATCACGATGTCCTGTAAGAGATTTATTAGCATCTCGTTTTCGAACGAATATAAAAAGAAGAGGGATAGCCATAGGTAGAAAGAGAGAACAAAAGACAACGCACCATCAGAACCAAATCATACTTCTCCAAATTCATCTTATTAACAGCACCAACCCCATCAACAGCAACATCCGTCGTACACCCAAACACCTGCAAAAACTTGCTGCTCAACTTGCGGCTAACAGCATCATCGTCCACCAGTAACACTCTCGGAGGGACAGCCCAGCCAGGTACAAACGTCGACCTCCGCACTCGTAGCTTCTGCGTTTTGGATCCAGAGGCGGACGATAGCGATGTCGAAGTCGAGGAGGAGGAGGATCCAGCAGCAGCACCAGGAGTCGTAAGCGAAAGAATCTCTTCTTCCTGCGACGCGGAACCGGCCGACGAAGTTGAGAGCTTGGGCGAATGCTTCGACTTGGACCGTGTAGGACTAGGGGCAGATTTGACAACCAACGCCCCATTCTCATCCGTCGTATTAATCGAAGGCTGGACAACCTCCTCATCATCGTCCGATCCACTCCCCTCTCCCCCACCCTGCCCTTGCTGCTGCTGTTGTTGTTGCTGCCGCTGCTGGGGATCAGACCCATCATACGGTACAGCACCACCCGCACCACCCATCTGCCACGCCGTATGCCCACTCCCACTTGCTCCCGCATTTCCGGCGCTATTGCTCGTCGAGGACGAAGAACCAATGACAGGCCCACCAATGAAATCCTCAGGGTACGTCCCACGAGGCATCAAATGGCCCACAGTATACACCTGCAACCCCTCATGCATCGACGCTTCAGGACCAGGGTTCTCACCCATCATCATCAGCCCGCTCATATTCTGCATCACCTCCCCGCCTACTCCTCCCATCCCCCCTCCTCCGGGTAGCGGCGGTCCCATAGCTTGACGACCCCCCGAAGTACCAGGAGCGGTACCCCATACACTATCCCGATGCGCCTGTTGCGGTGACTGTTGGCTTTGCCCCTGCTGTTGTTGCTGTTGCTCCCCCATCCCCCGCTCCCGACTCAAACTCGCATGCCTCGAGCGATCCCCACCTCCAGGTCCCCACCCTCTCCCACGCTCATACGTCGCCGACCCAGGTGGCGGGGGTCCACCACCAGGCGGTGCACCACTGGTACTACCACCCTGCGGGTGACTCTGATCACCGGACCACCCGCCAAGCGTACCCGTACCCGTACCCGCAGGCGGCGGAGGCGGCATATTCACATACCCTCCTCCAGGCCCGCCCGCACCACCAACACCACCCGCAGCCCTCCGACTCAACTCGCTCATCTGCATCAACGTCGCCCTTCCCACATCACCCACACCACCCCCGCCCGCTCCAAGCCTCATAAACGGGTTCCCATCCGCATTCACACTCGCATTCGTATTCGCATTCGCGTTCGCGAGGAAGGGTAGAAGCGGGTTCGTCGTCGTCGGTCCGCCGGGTGCGGCTGCTGCCGGTTGTCCACCACTGCTAGCCACCATCCCGCCGTCTACGAGACTCGAGATGCCCAGGCCTGGTCCACCTGCGCCTAACCCACTTCCGCCGACTCCCTGCAGCCCACCCAACCCCGCCCCACTCCCCGACGTATCCCTCGACCCCAAACCAGATCCCAAACCCAAACCCAAACCCGTCCCTGACCCCGACCCCGAGGCAGCAGCCTGCACCGCCGCATGCTGCTGCACCGCCAACTGTAACTGCGCTTGCGAATTGCCAAGCTGCTGCTGGTGAATCGCAGCTTGCTGTTGTACCTGTTGTTGGAGCGTCGCGAGTGAGGGAGAGGGGAGTTGTGTGCCGCCTGGGGTTGTCGTTTTGAATTTGCCTGTTCATAGTCGAAGTTGTCATAGTAGCAGTCGAAGTGGTGGAAGTTGTCGTAGTAGTCGTAATCGCAGTGGTCGAAGTAGCGGTCGGCATTGTCGTCGACGAGTTCGAGTATCGATGTCGATGTGGAAAGGGTAATCGACGTCGATCAACGCGTACAAAACGTCACGTCACATCACCCGTCCAACGCGACGCGAGAGGACATCGCGAACATGACCGCGTTTAGATCAGCGACCAACGAATAGATCGAGACCAGTGCAGAGGACGAGACCGTCGATAGCGGTAGGAAGCGCAGCGCGATCCAAACGAAAACGAAGCGCAACGTGATCCAGAACGAATCGAAAGGTAAGGCAATCCAGACAAAGTCCAAAGGTAAAAAGTGCCCAGACGCAAGTCCAAAAGTACGAGTGCCCAGACGCAAGTCCAAAAGTAAAAAGTGCCCAGACCAAAGTAAAACCCAGACGCCCAAAAAATCACGAATGGCCAGTCAATTCGAAAACACCGCGAAAAAACCCGGGTCCAACGAAGCGAACAAGTCACGAAAGAAAAAAGGTTACGAGATGAAGGAAGAAGAAAAGCGAATGGAAGAGAAGGGAGAGGTCGAGACCACCACGTCCAAAATCGATCCCCCGTCCAGAATGGAACGAACGAAGACCCACGGAGAGGGAGGTGACGAGAGAGAAATAGAAGAGTGAACAGCATAAGCAAGCAACGCGAGTCCGAAACACGGACAGGAATAGACACGAAACGCGGATGAGAAAAAAACCAGAGTAAAAAACGGATGAGAATAGAGAACGAGAAGATATGAAAACAAAAAACCAACACCCAAATGAAACGTAAACAGCCAGGTCGAGAACCACGATCCAACCCAGACCCACGATACAATCCAACCCAGACCACAGACCCACAATCCATCCAGAACCCACCGAGTGACAAGCGTCAACACGCGCGTCATGCCCAGCATAACCAAAAACCACCATCATAACCACGGCACCCAAGGCACCCAAACGGAACCAAAAATACCAAAAATAAAACCAACCCCACAACGAAAAAGAAAGCACGGAAGCAAAATAGAACGAATAGTCGGCGAAACGGGTGCAAAAGACACGGCCACCGTACATGTACCGTTGCAGAGTGACGACACCGTCAATGTGGTCCACCGTCGGTGACGAGAAAGAGAACAGGTGCGAAATGAGAAAGAAAGAGTCCAGAACGCGTCCACGAGCGATGCGCAGGGGGTGAAATGAAAGCCCGAGGTATACGGCGAGAAAGAAAGAGAAGAGGAGAGAGGAGAGTAAACGTGGAAGAGAAGAGTAAAACGTGGAAGAGAAGAGTAAACGTGGAAGAGAAGAGTAAAACGTGGAAGAGAGAGAAGGATGAAGAGTGAAACGTAGAGACAAAAAAGTTACCCATAATGTTCCAGCGTACATTTCCAGATGTACCCGTGTACGATCGCGTTGAAGTATTCGAGGTTTTCGAGTGTTTTCGAGAGGTGCACAGTGCAGCGCGCAATGTTGAATAGCACCAAACCAAAAAGGTTTTTTGATGATAGAGGAGATAGAGAGAGAGGAATAGTCAGTAATTCAAAATTCCATCAAATACAAACAACAAAAACTCGAAGAACAGAACAAAGAAAAGCGGTGTGGTGGGGTGGATGGGGCGTGAGTGCCTCGTTTTCTGAAAAACGGGCATACGCTCGCCCGTCTTTTATGAAGGGGGCGTACGTCCACCCGCCTTTTGCAACGGGCTTCGACGTTCACCCGCCTTGTCCGGAAGGGCGTAGACGTTCACCCCAGAGGCTGAACAACCAACGACGAGCGTAGGTTCACCATAACAGATGAACAGTTCGCACCCTCTCGTTCACCCTCCAACAGCATCACCACCACCACCGCAAAACAACAACAAACTCGAAAAGAAAGAAAACAACAACAAACTCGAAAAGAAAGAAAAACGAAAAGGTCTCAGTTCGCCAGCCACGGCAAACCCAACAACCCCCTTCCGTGATCGATCCAAGAGATAAAAAAGAGTGGTATCATAAAAGAAAGGGAAAATCTATAGAGGGAAGTAGTAGTAGGCCTCGTCCACCGAGGAGAGAGGGAGTCTTGCTTGTATCGTCATCCGTCGAAGGAAAAAAAGTCTTGCTTGTATCGTCATCCGTCGAAGGAAAAAAAGTCTTGCTCGTTTCGTTCTTCGTATTCGGTCTTGCGTTCGTATTCCGTCTTCGAGACACAAGTCTTCGAGAGAGTGTGTTCGTCTAAAAGCGTCCTACAATGTCGCACCCTAGTGGGATATGGAGGGACACGCCGGCTTGTCGCTGGGATAGAGGTCGAGGATAGCGACACCGGCATCTGTATTCGCATCGACAGCGAGGAGGAAGGTGGGAGGGGGGTCGCGTTGAGACCGAGCGGAGGTTGGCTTCAGGGCTTCGGCGAGGACTGCAGGGACGAGGGAGGACAGCGAGGACAGCGACGATGAGACGAGGGCAGCGAGGACAGCGACGATGAGACGAGGGCGGCGAGGACTGAGGATGCGGCGAAGCGAAGCGAAGCAACGAAAAAAAAAACCTGAACTACACAGACGAACTCCTCGATGGAACAACAAAGTAGTATATCAACTACTCGAAGCGAAAATAAGTGAAGTGGGGTTTTTTAAGCAAAGATCATCATCGTCATTATCGTCGTCACCCCAGTCTATGGATGACGACGACGACTGTGGTGGTGACGCAGTGACGAAAAAAGAATAGGGAAAAACAGGATAGAGAAGAGAAGAGAGGAGGATAGGAGAAGAGAAGAGAAGAGCGGAGGAGGAGAGGTGTGGGGAAAAACTACAAATACACAAGTATCCAGAGCCGAGGACGAAAAAAGGAGAAAATATACAAGGAACATTAATATACACTATTATATGTAGACCGTCCTCGAGATCGAAGAAAAGAGAGAAACAAGACGTGAGATTTGAACGAGAAACAGTAGATCGAAAAATAAACGAGCGGCAAAGAGGGACAAATGAGGAAAGAAAGGGGAGAGTTGAACGGTGGGGAGAATGAAACGGAAAGAACGGAAAAAGCTTCGCATCGCATCATCCTACCGCTTATACCCTCCAACAGGACAAAACATCGAATTCGTAAGTCCAGGGGTGGGCTGTTGCTGCGCTTGTCCTCCTCCTAGTCCTCCTCCGCCTATACCCCCTCCACCACCTCCTCCTAATCCACCTCCCCCTCCCCCTATACCCCCACCTCCACCTATTCCCGCACCTATCCCTCCACCTCCAAGCCCAAGCCCCGAAGCACCACCCAACGCCGACGAAGCCAGCGTTCCTAGTTGCGACTGCGACTGCTGCTGCTGACTCTGCTGCTGAAGCGAAACAAGGTGCGCAATTTGTTGTGGTGAGAGTTGGTGTTGTCCTTGTCGTTGTTGGTCTACACGTCCGGGGTGTCCAAAAAAAGGGTGTGTGGAGAGAGAGAGAAAAGGGGAAGGGTGCGAAGGATGGGAAATGGGCGAATGGATGAGAAGGACGCGGAGAACAGAGGGATAAAGGGAAGGGCGATAGGAAACGGGGATGGGTGTGGGGGAAAAAAGGAAGGAAAGGGTATCCGTTAAGTCGACGTTCGGTCATAAGGGTAGAGAGATTGATCACAGCGTGAACAAGGTGTGGGGGGTCGAGGAAGCACAAGAGGGGTGGCCAGTCCCTCCGCTTCACTCTCGAAAAGCAAAGGATCGATCCATAAAAAAGCGAAGTTCAAAGTAACCATAACCAACAAAAAAGGCAAAAAAGCAACAAAAAAATCAAAAAGAACACGAATGAAAAAACGACTCACCACCTTCACTCCCCAAAAAATACGCAATCAAACTCTGCATCAACCCATCCTGCTGCGCCATACCCCGTTGAAATCCAACCATCTCAACGAGGACATTCTCATAATTCCTCTCCAAATTCCTCAACCTCCCCTTCAAATCCTCATTATCATCCTTCAGCCTCCTAATCTCGCTATGCAGTTCCTGCACATATCCAATCGGGCCTTGCGGGCCAAACCCCGCGACGCCCAGGGAGCCAGCGAGGCCTGGCGGGAAACCGAGGGAGGAGGGTGAGCCGCCGAGAAGCGCGGCTGCTGCTGCTGCTGCGGCTTGTTGTTGTTGTTGTTGTTGTTGTTGTGCGGCGGCGGCGGCGGCCGCTGCGTTTTTGCGCTGGGCGGGCACTTTGCGTTTGATGTTTTCGAGGGCATCGCGGCGGTCGGCTTGGAAGTCGGGGTGGCGGAATATCCAGGACTAGAGAGGGTGATGGAGATCCAGGATGATGAGGAAACGGAAGAGGGAGGAGGAGGAGGAGGAGCGACGCACATGTTCACCAAACTGGTTATCATCCGTATTCTTCACTTTATGGAAATCGTACTTGTTCAGCTGCCGTACGAAGCTCGCGAAATTCGAGTGCTTGAACAGCCGGGGTAGAATGGATTTCGTGAATTCGTTCATGTCCTACCGTTACCGTCAGTCGTTGACTATACAGACAAATCGTCTACGCTACGCACCTTTACGACGAAACAGTCGCCTTGAGGACCCCACGATACCACCGGCTGGAAGGTTGGGTCTTCGAGCATCCTATGGAATATGAAGGAGGAGAAAAAGGGCGTTAAGATCACGGCGAGGGAGGACGGGGAGATAGATAGATAACAATACAGATACTCACTTGTACAACTTTTTCACGAAATCACTCGTCTGGGGCATAGGATCGTCGTTGCTCCCCCTCTCCTTCGAGGTCCCTCTCGATCCTGAACTGCTCGCCATCTTCGTATTCGTATTCGTAGTAGTGGTGTTGGAAATAGTAGAAACCGACTGCCCGCGTTCACGCTTGACCTGTTTCCTCGGAGGAGCGGCGGTGGTCGTGGTAGTAGGAGAAGAAGCGGCGACGGTGGTGGTGTTGGTGGAAGCTGAAGTGGAAGCGGCGTTCCCGGCGAAACTAGTCTCCGCGTCTCTGGTCCGCTTGCCAAGTGTAGAAGCGCTTGCAGGCTTGGCCGAGAGGTGCTGTGATTGTGGTGGCAGGATGGGACTAGGATGTGCCGACGACGAACTCGATGCGTCGGGGAATGCCTGGTTGTGGTGGTACCCTTGGTGCGGCGGGTAGTGCTGCCAATGAACGGGGTCCGAAGTGTATAACGAGGTCGTCGTGGTGGTCGACGTCGAAGAGGGAATTACCCCGTTGGGAAGATGATGATGATGAAGCTGATGACCGTGGTGTGGCTCCGCACTCGTGTATTGCAGAAGAGGCGGGGGCGGGATATACTGCTGCTGTGGTGTAGCAGGACTCGCAGTCGTAGAAGTAGCAGAAAGGGAAGAATCACCCTGCTTCCCACCTCCCCCACGCAGATCCATTTTGTACTTTTTTTTTTTTTCCCCGTGTGCCCGTGTATAACTTGACGCCGTTAATTACAACCACACACCCAGTGACAAAACTGTCAAACCCAAGAATGGGCTATGCCAATCCACGCAGAATCAAAAGGTAGTACTGAGTATGTAAACTCTTGATACGCCCTATCGCAGTGCCAGGATTAGCCCTAGGAGGCGTTAGGAAGGAACATCGACTCACCGACGGACACGGTCGAGAACGCACCAGAGGCCTGGATTCACAGTCTCGATGGTCCTTTTCCGAAAAAATGACCAATCCAGCCCTCTCCCAAATTCCTCAGCCTCGCCCGGCTTGTTTTCTTTGGCCTACGTATCCCTTCTTCTTCTTCCGGTGCCGACGCAGGTGCAGTCTACGAGTAAACGTCTTGAACGGCGATAACGAGCGTGTGTGGATAAGTAGGTGTTGTCTCTCCGTCCTTCCGGGTGCTTTTTTGGTCCTCGATCGTCGCTGGGCGTGGAGCCGGGTCGCTGGCGTCGCAGACGGTGATAGACGTCCTAGGTGGGTGATAGACGTCGTACGTGGATAGAGAGACCGTGGAGCCTGGTGGTCGCTGTACGTCGCTGACCCTTCCTAAGCCTTCGACTACGAACGAGCAAAAAGGAAACAAAACGCGTGATCAGAAACCCGTAAAAACAAAAAAGCCAAGCCCCCCCTCTTTCCCTGTCTTTGATCCTATTCAATCCTAAGCAAGTGACTTACCCTCACAGTCAATGAGTACTAGTAATACCTTCCCGCTGGTACGTCGTAGGTAGTATGGACGCGCTGGTCAGCGGCTTGTGGTGGTCAATTTCCAAGGCTTACTTCCTTCCTTCCTTCCTCCATACACGTAAACACCACACCACACCCCCAAATTTCATTATCCCTCCCTCCCATTTCTTCCACCCTTCCTCGCGAGCGAACCAAATTCAAAACTCAAATTGAACCCTCGAGGAACCACCATCACCTTTGCCGTCACTAAGACTTGGCCCATCACCTTGCCGGCCTCTTGCCGATGTATTTTTAGACTCAGGGGCCTGGACTCCACCAAACCCCATTTATCCACGAGGCCTCTCAACGCCGTTCGCGGGAAAGGGTCGGTGGAGTCTAGACCGCTCCAGACCCGTGGGAGGAAGGGTGGAGTCTGGGTGCGGGCTAGAACGTTCGTGCACCGCTCTCCCCATCATGTACTGATCTGTCTCTTCAACTCTTCCTCCGAGTCGAAGTTGTCGCTGATGAGTAAAGGCTGCGCAGTGTACGAACGTTCAAAATAATAAGTAATCACAGGTAAGTTGGTGCTCGTAGCTTTTCCTTTGCGAAGGAGCGATGATCGTAGGACTCGTCCTGAGATGACCAATGACTCGTACGTACCCTGGTCCCTCCTCCTCCACCTCCTCCCCCTTTTCATGTCCTTTCTTCAAAACACGACTGAAATGAGTGAATTTTGCTACATAGGTAGCTACATACATACACCGAAATGAAACCACCACCAACGTGAAGTCTGACCACCCTTCCTGATCGGAGTAAGTACTAGCGATAAACCCATCGCGGTTGTGAACATTCCTTCACCATTCACCATTCATCGTTTCATTCGCTCGTCGTCCTATAGGAACGACCGGGGAAGGGTTGAGCCTGGTGGCAGTGCGATGAGGTCAGCCTCACGGTCACGACTCACGGTATACATACTTACCCCTTTAGAGTTAAGCGCCCATAACTTGGAACGTGATCACGACCCTCCGACGGCAGGGCGATCTGCAGTACATATGAGCAAGTTACAGCTAACGGCATGACTACAGTCTACTAGAGCCTGCTGTGTATTACTCGGGAGCGACCAGCAACCCCAATTTGAGTCTCAACCTGAAAGTATCGCTGACCAAACCTCGAGGCGTGAAGAGTCACGGTAGGAGCTCGATCAGCTTCTTGCTTCGCTTACCATTGCATCAACATGTATAAGTCACTTACCAACTGCTCGTTGAAGATCATGCCACCCTCAATTGATAACATTCGTTACTAAAGAGGAACACCGTGTCCATGCTCGTTAACAGCGACTCTCCGTCGATCGTGGGTTCCCATATGTACGTACGTACATACCCTTGTTTCTACTGTGTGTGGACAACGTACCTTCGTTTCCATCCAGATGCGTATGTAACTGGTACATCGTCGGTCAGGTCTGACCGTCGCTATAATACGTACTCCTTTACCTCACGGGGTGACGGGACCAGCCGGTGCCGCGACCACCGGAATCCGGATGGAAAAATACATCCATCTCCAAAATAAGCGCCCGTCGCACATGATCATGATGATCACGCGGGTGCAGATCCTGCTGGCCACTACAACGGTTAAGTAGACTAAGTTGACCTTAGCCCCATACACAGCTAAATAATACTACATGGCACCTTGGACCAGAAAGTCATACATATAAGTTCGAACGTGGTAACTCTGCAAAGCTGCAATTAAGCGCGCATGGCCCCCCTCCCAACATCGCCGCGACGGAGTGCTGCCCATTGGAGAGTCCAAAGCGAAACTCCACACCGCCTCAAGTTCAACGATACAGCGTGGTAAGTGCCTCGGTAGCTCTGATACCCTTGATTGCTAAGTAAGTATCAAGGTTCAAATTCGAACACGGCCAGGTACATCCCAGTTTTCTGTGGGCGTCTTGCGATCAGGAGCCGGGAGTCAGGTGCAAGTAAGTAAAGTAGGGGCAAGTTACATACACCGTCATCATCTCATGATTTCGGTCTCTTCCAGTTTCGTTGATTAGGTTGTTAACCACGATGGTCCTTCAAGTGGCGACCCCTGCATACTTATGGATAGGTAAGCTGTAAGAGTGATTGTACATCATCTCAGGCTCACGTCACTTCAACCAGTGCATGAAGCCAGTTGTCAATTTCCAGGCTCACTCACCACTCCCTGTTGTTTCCCGTAAGCATCAAGGTTTGAGACCTTAGCTGACCCCTGTGGCTCGCCGACGGCTCAACCATGACCATCCAAACCTCGAGGATAACGTTAACACGGGAAGACCTACGTAAGACATGTACATGAAGCCTAAGGGGACATTATTTCCGATTCAATGTCTCCTTGGACATGACTGATCAATAAATTCGGAAGCGTGACATTCAGATTCAACGTTCAATGTGCATGATTGGACCCTCGTTCGCTAAGTAAGTGGAACCCTCGTTCTTTGAGTTGGTTGGTTGGTTGGTTGGTTGGTTGATTATTGGTTGACGGAGTCAAATGAGAGATGCCAACCGAGACGTTTGATGATGAACTTTAACTGAACATCGCAAGTAGGAACGGCCCGGTTGGCGTTAAATAAAGGAAGAGGGGCACCCCGTAACGCGGTACCGACGCCGGCGCTTAACGATGTATTAAGGACCTTGACTAGCCCCCATGGCCACCCTCCATCGTGTTTCAGCTTTAAACTGACTGTAAAGCTTAGGGTGCTCATCATGATCGATAAAGAACATCCATCACGATCGATAAAGACAAGCGACCTATCGCGAGAAACCCTCTTTAAACGAGTACCTCAGCAAAGCTGGTTGGATACCCAGATAGTGCGTGCGCTTGAGGCCTGTCCCGCCCGCTGCTGAACATTCGCTTTTGCCAGGCCCCTCAGCCGTGCCTACAAGTACCGCGACCGGTCATGCCTGGACTCCGAAGTCACTCCCCCTTTCGACCACCTCAGTTTCACGCTACTTGTTTCTGGAAATTTGTGCATCCAGTCCGTACAAGCTCTAGAGACACGTCCAAGGAACGATTTAGTAAATACACGGACTCGTGTCATAGACAAGTGCTAGTGAACCATCACTTCCGACAACCGTCGCCAATACTGAAATTGGACTGGACATTTCTTTCGTTTGAGTCGTCTGAACTTTGCACTCGATCTCAAGATCCAGCTACACAGGTTCGACCAATGGGCCCTCCTTGGCGCCCGGCAGATCCGTACTACCTCGAGCGTTGAGCGTGGGCGCCAACCTTCGTCCCGATCACGTACTCCTCCTTAGCTCAGTTGGTAGAGCGCATCACTTGTAGATCTTCCGGAAACATTAGAAACTTGCGGACATCTGGATATGATGAGGTCAGTCGTTCGAGTCGGCTAGGGGGAAAAATCACTTTTTTTGTCCTTCGTTGGAACTTAGAAATGTTTAGATCGATTAGATCGGTGTTCGGTTTGTGTTTGGTATGTTGTTTTTGATTGAAGGAGAGACTTTGGCGATATTCGTAGACGAAATAACCCCCGATGGCTACAGATGCTTCAGCAGAATCCGTAGTCTGGGATAAGTCCTTCAATGGGCTTAGTGCACGACGATTACCTGCGTACAATGCGTACGATGATTGCAATTGACCGACAACTCTGTTACCACGCCATCACTGAAACCTGAAGCCTGTATCTTCAGGTGCGATTTTATCCCCCTATCATTGTCCAAAGACCGTGCCACCAAGTACCCACTTCTTTGTCACTGACGATGTACTCGAGCACTGGAATCTCGGGTCAAAGCAGGCGTCGAGTCGCTACCTCACTGGGCCCCAGTGGTTCAGCACGATTCAGCTTTCGATGACATAGTAGGCACAATTCCAAATTCCAACGTTTAATTCACCGAGTTCGGACGATGTTACGCTCGGTGCTAGATGGTTAACTAAATTGTATACATGACAGGCCCACAACTTTACCGCGATTCCGAATTCATCCCTTTTCCTTTCTTTTTTCATTTATAATATGCACAACGGAAGACAAGGCTCCGTACACTCGCACATCTGAATGAGTGCTCCGGTGCACGTCCCTCCCAAAAGGCACAACGTACATCCCTCACTACCCAGCCCAGAATGGCACGCCAGACAGTTGGCCGCGCACGCCGGCTGCCCACCGAGGAGACAGACGAGGGGGTTAGCGGGAACGCACAACGTCTGCCGTTTCTCGATAGGGACGATACGCGAGAGACCGGTCAAGTCTCGAGTACTGTGGTAAGGAGTGAAGTCGATGTTGGAAGAGATAGTCGCTTCGTCGATTAGGTCGAGCGCTGAGAGGATCGAGATAGCGTGCTCGACAGAGGTTGTGTCAGATGAAGTTCCTGGGTTCACTGATTCCAGACCATGGGTCGTGAGCTATGTGTGTCTAAGAACAGGATGGGCACAGTGATAGTGATACTGCTTACTTTCTGTGCATTTTTTTTCTTCGAGGCAGCTTCGTGCAAGGTCTATGAATGCGTCTGAGGCTTTGATGCAGTCGGTATCGTCGCTAAATTGAGGGATTAGTACCGTCTTGGACGGTGAAAGGGATAGGTAAGTACCTTGCGCAGCCGACCGCTTGAGCAGCCGAGCTGAGGCAGTTGCTGTAGCAGCTGGGCACTGAAGCTGCGGTCGAAGTCCCAACGATGGCGGCGAGGAACACAACGGACTTCAGCATTGTCTGTATGAGCAAGAGGAGAGAAGGACGGATCCCTGAGGGTACTAGAGCGAATCGTGCAAAGCTTTTATACTATTGCCAGTTTGAAAGAAATAAAGTAAAAAGCCCCTTCAGTGTAGCCCGATCATGTCACCCAGCCATTTTCTTGACGTTTTTCCTAACGTCGGACGTCTTGACTAGTGAGTCCAGAGGACTAAAGACAGGCATAAGACAGACAGATTACACCAATGTTACGGTAGGTCAAGTCCCAACCCTCCGTTCGCAAGTTGTTCCTGGTCCAGACGACAGAAGCCTGGGGGTCCAGAGCTACAGCGAGACCGCAGTGAAGTCATTTGATTACGGCGGCGATCCCTCTACATCACTTTCCAACTGCCTACTTACCCCAAAGCGCTCACAGAGTTCCACGTCCGTCAGGCTTGCAGACGGAAGAAGGATCTTTGTACGTGAATCCGACGCGGGATTTCGTACTGGGCATGGTCATGAAGGTGATCAAACGTGCATCGTGGGCTATTGGATTGGTGATCAATTTCGCTCGGAACAGTCGATCCAGGGCGAACCCAGCGCTGTTCATGAAGACGCAGAGTTGGCATTTCAAGTTCCTTCCCAAAAACAATTAGTTTGTGTTCTCACTGACTCTGGGAGGCCACGGTAGTCACCTGAAGGCGCGCGTTTAGGGATGGGTGAGTGATGCCTCGATTATCTTGCGTGCCTTTTGTCCCTATTGATGGGTCTTGCACTCATTTTAGCTTGAAGACGTATATATATCTCGCTTCGAGTACTTTTCTTGTGTTCTGCGGCTCGTTATCGCAGCCCCGCACTTGGTTCAACATCCAAGGTATGCCGAGAGTTCGGCATGGCGTGTGAATGATGACCATCAAGCCTTCGTTCCTAACAAAGACCAACAACAGACCATCACGCTACCGCTTGGGCACTCACTGCCATGTCTGATGTCAAGTTGTGCCTGGCTTTTGTTACTCCTGGAATTGCCGTATTGTCCTGCGACTTGCGAAGTCTGCATGTCACAATTTCTGGACCAAATATTGGCTATTCGCGACGATACCTTGATTGGAACGACCTGCTAGCATCTCATTCATTCACCCACTGTTCTTCCGACAACCATCGTCACGGAATACTTTCACTCCACAGTCGTGAACCCCATCCCCGTAGCGATAGGCTTCCAAACCCCCCTCGGGCTAACTCTCTGTGGGCACACTGACACTCCGCTTAAGCTTTCGGACTACGAACTTACCCTTGACTTCCCCATTCCTGGTTGCAATTGTGTGGCGATAACAATCTAAAACTCCGACCATTGGCTAGTGACGCAGGCACACCCACAAACTTTGCACCCACAAATTATTCTCAAAGGAATTCGCCTGTTCGATTCACACGTGCTCCCGGCGTCTCCCATTTGATCACTTTGTTTGGCTATAGTTGAAATGAGGGTCCAACACGTTTCTTCTCGAGCGCTAAAGCGAGAAAACATCGAGAAGTCGGCCCGTTGACGCACCTCACAAGAACAAGAACAGACCCGGAGCCCCACGCACACCAAGCAAGGCTCCCGCCGCGAGGACGAAGGGGTATATGAAGTTTTGTGGGGGCGAGGGTCTCTGCGCATTGTTGAATGAAAATGAACACTGACGTTGCAGGTCTGCCCCGGCCATCAAGACCGCAAGCTTTGCCTACACCTCACCGACACGACACCCACCCCAAACCGCCAGTCAGGTTGCCACGACGATGGAAACAATGGCCGTGAACGGAAGCAGCGGCCCCTCCGCCAGTCTCCACTAACAGACCATTTGGAAATCTTGGAAATCGACCAAACGTGAGTTATCCTTTTCTTCTTCAGGTTCCATGTTTGGCGATACTCGGATGAAACGTTACAGTACTAATGCCACGCCAGAGCTCAGCGAGTCCACAAACACCTTGTCCATTTCATCTTCGAACTCAGCTAGGGACATCCAAGCTCGTGTGTCCATCCACATTGCTAACGCTACTTATAATTCCTCAGGTGACGGTCCCATTCCGGCGAATGCATATTTCTGTCCATGCTGTGTGTACGTCGTTGTGTGGAGTCATGTTTGTTCCCGCTTAAAGCCATTGTACTCCCAGGCCCACAAGCACCTTCGCTATCTCACCTTTTTTGCGCGTTATTGACTGGCATCGACTTCAGTTAAGTAGACCACAAGTCTTTACTTGGGTTTCTTTGACTTGCGTGCGCTCCTTACGACGACTCCTCGCTCGGGTTGCGCGGTCTCGATCTCTCGGGGATACCACCGCAAGGGGTCGTTGCTCAGAGCCCGCACCAGTGTCCAGCGTGGCGAGTGTGGACCCACAGAACGAATCATAAAAGATATACATACGCCTTTGTATCTCCCGGAACAGATCTGACGTCTGGCCAACGGCGCTTAAGCATTTTGTTTCAAGTGGACAACCGCAGCTGGGTATAAATATCAGCTGCACGCTTTAACCATTCTCTGACTTTCCTTCAACCCTGCTTGCATCATGTCGGTTGACAGGACGCATTCATCTGGGTCAAGTACCCTCCAGCGCTCGATCTCTCAGTCAAGCTCTTCCAGCTCCGGATCCCTTCAGCGGCTGAAGTGGGGCATCTTCGACGTCGTCTATGAACGACCACCATTTTTGGCTGGAATTCGGACCTGGTTCAGGACCTACAATCGCAACGACATCTCCGACGCCTTTCTCTCGGGCTTTCGGCTGGTTCTTCTACTTCTGCAACTGAACTTCTCTGTGGCTTGTCGCTACTTTTTCTGCGCGGTTTGGATGTCTATTGCGCCTGGCATCTCCCTCCTTCTCGCTCATTCTGTTTTGAATATGGTGAGTTCCGATGACCAGTCTATCCACCCTTTCGTTCTGAATGTCCCCAAGATCGCGAGCGAAATATCCTACGACAATTTGAAGATCGATGACACTGCGCAACAGAAATTGTCGCTCATGATTACATTGTGGCTGTCGTCGGCTTTCCTCACCTCTTACTGCTCACAAGACTCGTGCGTGATGTGTTCTTAACGGGTTTCTGTCTTTCTAATCTGTTCTTAGGGAGGAATGCAAGGAGCTTCTCGGGGGACACCTGCGTGCCTACTTTCTCCCCCGACTGGTCGATGGTGAGTAACGTCTAAACTCGATCATCCACGGTCTATAGCTGGTCTCCTTTAGCGCGTTTGAAGCACATATCTATGCCAACGGGTGGAGGGGAACCTGAGAGCATGCAGTCATTTCCCAACCCTTGGTCGTTCGGCGATGAGGTGCCAGGTTGGCCCATTGTCGAACGGCTTTCCTCCAGAATCAGCGATGCCTTGACGCTTCTTTCCGAGCTATTCGCCTTTGGTGTGATCATCACGAAAAGTCCAAAGAACGATGCCGATGTGTTCGGGTTTCTTGGATTTCTCGCTGTTTTTGTGATGGTTTTCACCCCTTCAAATGGGGCCGGAGGGGCCGGTGTGTTACTTTCATATCTATATCATCTTTCGGGGATTACTTATTGGCGAATAGGGTATACATTTTGGACGAATAACCCCCATTATCAGCGGCTTCTATCCCTTTACTCCATCATCTTTGACGATCAGTACAAGGAGCAGATTGTCAAGGATGGGTTGATGGACTATCTTTCGAGCGGTAAGGCGCTTCTCGGTCCATCCGATATCTCGCTTAACTCACATGATTCACGAAGAATACAAGTCTACTTCCACTGCTCTGGGAGCCGTAAAGTGCAATACGCTGGCGTTAGCCTGTTATCTTCCCCCAGCGTGGTACTGGCGTGCGATTCAAACGCTCGTTCTCGAGTACCCTATGGTAAGTGGTCTGGCCGATTGCGATTCCTCGCTCACGGTACACGTGTGCCCCAGGTTCTGTACGCACTACTCATCCGCCAGTCATTCACAACACAATCAGTTGTGACGATAGCAACTCTCCAATACGCGATCCACCTCCTTGCCAAATCGGCGATTGGTTCAAAGGCTCGCGAGTCGGAGTCAGTAATGGATGTTCTGAAGAGTGCGCAGGAGCTCTTGGACTGGGTGAGCGAAAGGAAAGAGGCTTCACCGGATAGCGATTGGAACGGGATACGCGAATATCACGCCCCTATCGTATCGAGGGGGGCGCCCACACAGAGTGGCATGGGAATCAAAATGAGGTCAGCGCTCTAGCTCTTCTTGCAGTCAACATTGGTAACCATACTATTTTTAGGAGCATTTCGTTTCATTACCCAGGAATGGATGTGCCAACCATCAAGAGCACCAGTTTCCATGTAAATCCCGGGGAATTTGTCCTCGTGGTGGGAGGCTCGGGTAGCGGAAAGTCTACTTTGCTGAAGCTCGTCGCTGGGATCCTTCGACCTCAGCGGGGAACCGTGAAGGTTGATGGAAGGCACGATTGGCCGATGGAGCCTTTCCCCCCGCGCGAACGCGTCGCCTTCCTTTCCCAGAACGAGCCGATTTATCCTCTGTCTTTACTGGAAAATCTGGTCATCGGACTGGGCGGCCGGGATAAGATGAATCTCGTCGAGCGTTCGGTCGCTGCTGCAATGAAAGCCACGGGATGTGACCACTTGTTGAAGAGGATGAGCATGGAGACCATCTTGTCTCCGTGTCAGGTTGCTGGACGAAGCATTCAGGGATGTGGGAATGGCCACATTGGAAGGAAGGCCATCGACGAGTGGAGGAAACACGATGCGTCTAGCTTCTCTCAAGACATTACTCCTGAGGATCGACAGAGACTGATTGCGTGAGTTTTGATTCTATTCGCATCTTCAAATACTGATGGACATCATTAGCGCCCGTTACCTCGTAAGGATGCAGCACCTGCCGACCGTGGATCTCGTTGTCCTTGATGAGCCTGGCTCATGTATGGACCCTCTTTCTGAGCGGGAGCTCATCCGACACTTCATCGATCAGCGTAAAGGACATACAGTCATCGTTGTTACTCGTGCATTTGCACATTTTGCGCGACAAGCTGATCGAATCCTGTAAGTGGCCCCTAGGCTAACTTGGCCTTCATCAGCCCAGACAAGCTAATCCATAATGCCTTTGCGCTCAGGTGCATCGAAAACGGGGTTGTGGTCCAGAATGGTAAACATTCCGAACTTCTGTCGCGAGGTGGACCCGCGAACCTGTACAAGAGATTGTACGAAGGGCAGGTGATGTCATAGACATCCAAAGCCCATTCTGCATCTACGTTACTCACTGCGTTTATTCTTACTTATCTTCGATTCTATTTACGACTTCTTTTCTTCTTCTGTACATACGCTAAGAGAATTCTAATCGTGTCGCTGAGAAAGTGGGGACAATGCAAGCTGTAAGCGGATTCCTAGCGCGGAGGGCCGCTCTCGATTCTCAGCCCGCTTCACAGTGGTAGTTACAGTAAGTATGATGTTCGATGTGACGACATATCGGCCTCAGTTAAACATTGTAAATGCAGATTTCCACTATGCTCCAAGAAGCCGAGCTTACATACTATCTCTCGCTATGCGCTTCTCAGTCCTATCTCGTTTCTCATGCAGCTGCGGGCAACGTCAGCACTCCCTCGTTCGATATATAGTCATATAGTCTCCTTTACTGGTTCCTAAAAACCAACCCAAATCTGCCATTCAAGTCGTCGCTTCAGTAACTCAAGGGCTCGGGATCAGCGGCACATATGGAAGACACAGCCCGTGCAGGCAGCTACTCTCCGTTTGGGACATGGGAACCTTCCCCTCGTCACTCGACTGGCAGCAAAGCGTTGCTATCTGAGGCATCAAGCGACGGATCCGTGACCAAGAAACCCCTTCATCGTCGTGTTTGGTTCATCATCTTATTTGCTCTTACGGTCATTGTCGTTCTGTTTCTGGCCATCTTTCTTCCAATATACTTCACCACTATAAAGCACTCTGATGATAGTAGTCCATCCTCTCGAGGAACGGCCCGGGTGCGTACCACTTTGTTTGAAGCACAGGGACTTTGGAACCTGACTATGATAGACTGGAGGGAATGGCTCCGAGATAACGGCGGAAGATGGGACGAAATTCGTATACTTGAATCCATTTGGAGGACACTGTGAGCGCTTCTTGGATCAAGCCTCGCTCTAACCCGCTGATCTTCGTGCCAAGGGGTGGATGATCCTGACGATCCGTTCAACAACGACGCGAGGCCAAACTCCTGGACTCCGCCGCTAAACTCTTCGTGGAAGTGGGGAGAGGACCGCATCTACGGCGTCAACCTCGGTGGTCTCTTCGTTTTGGAGCCCTTCATCTCTCCAGAGATATTTCAGAGGTACCCAGGGACGAAGGACGAGTATGAGCTTTCAGAGGCCATGGCTGCAGACGAGGCCAACGGTGGCTTATCCCAACTCGAAGAGCACTACGCCACCTTCATTGTAAGTCATTCCCACTCTCTTTCAACATGTGAGTTATTAGGAACTAAATGCCGTCTTCCACAGACAGAACAAGACATTGCCGAGATCGCAGGTAAGGGACTGTCCTTGCAATCACGAACCTTGACGTAACCTGTCGATTTGGCTTCCAGGCGCTGGTCTAAATTGGATCAGGGTCCCCATTGGATTTTGGGCGGTTGAGACATGGGAAGGGGAACCATTTTTAGAGAGGACGTCGTGGAAGTAAGCCACTCATCTCGTCAAGCACATGGGACATTGCTGAATACATCGTCTAGATATTTCCTTCGGATAATCAAGTGGGCTAGAAAATACGGCCTGAGAGTGGCCCTGGACCTACACGCAGTCCCTGGATCGCAAAACGGTACGTATCTACTCATTCGTAGATTCCTTTCCCTGAAGTGAGAATGCAGGCTACAATCACTCGGGAAGATTATCTCAAATTAACTTTCTGGCCGGGAACATGGGCATCGCCAATGCTCAGAGGACGCTCTATACCCTCCGCGTGTTTACTGAATTCATCTCCCAACCCGAGTATAGAGACGTGATTCAAGTGATTGAGCTCGTAAATGAGCCTTTGGCTGGGGAGATAGGTGCAGAGGCCCTGTCGAGCTTCTACCTGGAAGCGTACAACATGATTAGGAAGATCACAGGAACGGGAAACGGAAATGGACCGGTAAGCTTCATAATCTCTGAAAGGTCATGGGTGTTTTCTAACGAAGATGCAGTACATTGCTATATCCGACGGTCTTCAACCACTCTCATTGTGGGATGGTCTACTTCCTGGGGGCGACCGGGTTATCATGGACGGCCACCCATATTTCGCCTTCGGTGGCATAAACACTGCGCCCATAACAGAACCTGCCGAAGATGGGAAGGCTGGAGGGACGTGGCCGAAAGCTGCGTGTGATAACTGGGGACCCGCCTTCAACCACAGGTCTGTTCCCTATTATAGTGCGTATACAGCCCTGCAGCTCACTACTATTCCCTCTCAGTCGAAGGGCGATTGGCCCCACTGTCGGAGGAGAATTCTCAGCTGCACCTAATGATTGCGGCTTATTCTTACGGGGTGTTGGTATCGAATCACCGCACCCTCAATGTCAGGAGTACGATGACTGGGAGAATTACAATGCCACCATGAAAGAAGGATTGGAAAGCTTCATCACGGCCAGCTTTGACGCGTTGGGAGATTTCTTCTTCTGGACATGGAAGGTCAGTGACAAGTTTATCCCATTGGCGCATATCTGAGGATTCCCATGTAGATCGGTCCATCGATCGACGGTCGAGTAGGGACCCCCCTCTGGTCCTACAAGCTAGGACTCGAAAATGGTTGGATACCCAGAGATCCTAGAACCTCGATCGGGAAATGTCTAGCTCTTGGGGGAAATCAAGAGCCTTTCGACGGAGCCTACCCACCGTATCGCACGGGGGCTGATCCCTCACCCACCATTCCTGCCTCATACTCCTCACAATACCCCTGGCCACCTGCAGCCATCACGGGAGCCGCTGTTCCTGTAGAACTCCTCCCGACTTACACCAATACAGCATCGATCGTTACCCTGCCAGTAGAGTTACCGACAGGGACCCCCACTCCTCTTCCCAGTGGGCTGGACGGCTGGTTCAATGACGACGATGTGGAAGGAGGCCCAGCTGAGATTAGTGGATGCCAGTACCCCGACCGCTATACGGCAGAGTTCTCTACCATTCCCACTGCACCTTGTACAGGTCCCACTCCCGCCTAAAACCCTCTCTCGCACACGATGTTGGGGTGAACTCTTGAGGGCCGAACCCTTACGGACGACAATTTTAATGAAACAGACCATATTTATTATATTGATAGTCTACTCCAACAATCTTACCTACTAGTTGTATGACAATTGTCTCGCTACAATGTGGATTCAGTTGCGCGAAGGCTCGCATTCCACAAATAGGAGTTTGATGTCCTGAATTGGACAACACATCTCTTGGCGTCTGGTGGCACCTTCGAATCCGCGAGGGTGAACATGATTAAATTATGTACATTGTAAATATCATAGTTCCAAAAAATAATATACACACAAATGTCCCAAACAAAAGCCCTATGCCCAATCGTCTATCGGTTCAACACAACGATGCCACTCCGTACCGTGACAGAAATACGTCAGATCCAACTTCACAGGGTCCTCTGCAATGACTGCAGTATTCCGCGGCCACCACACCTCACTCCGACACCACGGTGGTACCCAAAGTATCAAACAGTCCACATAGTTGTTCCTCGACCGCACGATCCACCCATTCTGGTACCCTGAATCGTCGGCGAATTCCGCGGGTCGAGCATCTGCGAGATCGGACTGGATGTCGGAAGAGGACACGTCCCATACTCGAATCGTCTCGTCTTCTGCACTCGAGGCTAAACGCGTCCCGTCGTTGTTGAAGGCAACGGAGAAGATCGTCCCTGTGTGGCCTTCGAGGGGTCCCAGATGGAGAGTTCCACTCTCGACATTCCAAAGGTTGATGCTCTTATCGACGGAGGCTGATGCGAGGTACTGCCCGTCTCTGGAGATCGATAGACAGAGGATCGACTTGCGATGAGCTTCCTTGAGCACCCACACCACCTCACCAGACTCCGGATTCCAAAGCCGAATCGTACGATCGTTGGAGGCGGAGGCAAGGAACCGACCATCTGGAGAGAAGATGACGCAGTTGACGGACCCACCATGCCCTAACAGAGGCTCGCCGACAGGCTCAAGGGTTTCAGCATCCATAACCTGGATGGAATGATCCCTCGACGCAGACGCCAACCGCGTTCCATCCGCAGTGATAGCCAACGAGGTGACCCAACTGGTATGAGGAGCGTACGGCCCCGCAACCGTTTCCCCAGTCCCAATATTCCAGATCCGGACGGTAGCGTCGTAGGAGCTGCTGGCCAATCTGGTGCTGTCGGGGAACCAAACGAGGGAAGTGATGCCTCCTGCGTGCCCACGAAGGACCGGAATATGAAGCTTGCCGGTTTCGCTGTTCCAGATGCACAGTGTTTCATCATTATAACCGCCACCTGTGGCCATCAGTTGCCCATCCGGAGAATATGAAACGACCTCGACAGCGTGTTTGTGGGTTGGTGGGAGCGGGAAGCGGTACCAATGATGGCCATCCAAATCGTCGCGGTGGAATCCTATGGGCAGCTGGATGCCGGTCTCTGCATCCCACACACGCAGCGTTTCATCGTCCGAGCCTGAGGCAATGTACCTCCCATCCGGAGAGAAGCTGATCGACTTGACGTTGTCCTGGTGGGCGGGGATGTCGAGGAAAGGGGTGAGTGAGTACTCCGAGTCTTCCTTCTCAGATCCATCGGACTCGGTGGCGACTTCTGCATCCCAAACGGCGATCGTTTCGTCGCAGGATCCCGATAAGACGCGTTTGCCATCAGGCGAGAAAGCGACGGAGGTAACGCCATTCCAATGTCCAGTAAACTGGCCAACGATCGCGCCTGTCGATACCTCCCAGAGAAGAAGGATACCATCATACGCTCCCGAAATCAACCGACGTCCATCCTGAGAAAAGGCGATCGAGGTGACAGCGTCTGTATGTCCTTCGAGTGGGGCTCCGATGGGCGAGTTGGTGACAAGGTCCCACAGACGAATGGTCTCGTCTTCAGAAGCAGAGGCAATCGTCGTTTCATCCGGCGAAAACACGACACAGTTGATCGAGTTCGTGTGGCCTTCGAACCTGTTCAACACCTCCCCACTCGCCACATCCCAGACTCGAACGATCCTATCCGAGGACCCAGACGCCAGCCGCGCGCCATGGGAGGAGAACGCCAGGGTGTTCACAGGAGCGGGATGTTCGAGAATCTTGACAGGCCCGTGTTGAGGATCAGTCGCTAGTCGGAGGTGGATGGTGTTGTCGTAGGAGGCTGAAGCGATATAGATGCCTTTAGGGCAGAAAGCGATCGAACTGATGACATTGCGATGACCCGACAAAGGACCAGCGACCTCCTCCCCACTATCCGCATCCCAGACCCTGATGGTATAGTCATCGGACCCGGACACGACGAGCCGTCCATCCGGGGAGAACACAGCGGTGGTGACATAGCCCTCGTGTCCTTCCAGCGGACCAGACTTGGGGTCCCCCGTCTCGGCATCCCAAACGCGCACAGTCTTGTCATTCGAGGCCGAAACGATGAGTTTTCCGTCACGGGAGAAGGCGACAGAGTTGACAGCGTCGTCATGCTCATCCACTGAGAACACAATCCGTGGCCAGTCCACGCATCGACCTCGGGTGATCCTGATGGTTCTGGGGAAGTAAGGGAGGTACTGCCGAGCGACCAACGAGTTGGAGGGGGCGAAGGGGAGGGTGGAGATGTAGATATGGGGAGCACTTTGGGCCATAACGCCCGCGAAGGAACCGAGGTACTTGATAGCATCTTCAATGAAGGCGATGAGCGCTTGGTCTTCGCTCGGTTGAACCCAATCCAACAGCATATCCAGCATCGTAGACGCCGAATACATCTCCTCAATGATACTGAGCACCTCGAACCAATACAGCAGCTTCTCGTGGAGCAACTGTCGGACTAGATCGAGAATCTCTTCGTCAAAGGGAACCATCTGAACGTGGTCCATCCAAAAACAAGAAGCATAGTTGAGGGCCGGGGTGATGAAATGGGCGGCGCGAGCAGGGAGGTCGGGAACGGCGTCGTTGCGTTTGTGGGAGCTGGGGAAGTGGCAGATGTTGAATCGAAGCTCCTGGAGCATAAGCCGGAGGCTGACGATGGCGAGGTTGCGATGATGAGGGCCTTCTCGGATCCTGAATTCTTCTGGGCACGTTTCCGAGTTCAACAGAAACTCGGGGAAAGATTCGTGCTGGAAGCGCAAAAGGTTGCCATCGTCGAGGACGGAACGGAGGCCCTTGCGGATGAACTCGACCATGGAAGCGGAGTAGGGAAGGAGGTGGATGCAGTCTTGTTCAGAGAGTGGGCGTTTGGCGAAGATCATCACTCCGACGAGGTCTTGGAACGCTTGGACGACTTCTGGTGTGGGGTTGCGGAACGACATCTCGAGGACGCGGGAATAAAGATCGTCTACATCGCCCAGGGTTCCGTTCCCCTCCAACAGGAGCTGGAGTTGCGAGGTTGGTTCTCCGAGGTTGACGAATTCGACAGCGGTTTTGGCCCATAGGAAGAGACCGGCCGCCCTGGTTGTCAGGTCCTCAATAGCGACAGGACCTGGCCAATCAGAAGGAAGTGAGTCGTAGTCTTCGGCAATCTTGGAAAAGCGGTATGTGAGGTAGTGTCGAATGTCATCCGATGCCTTCTTCTTGACAGTCACGCCGGTGGAAAGATCAATGATTTCGGAAAAGGGGGTTAAAACCTTGGTTATGTCGTCCTCGATCCGGCTAGTGAGGATGAGTTTGAAGTGGGTTGGGAGCTGCGGCCAGCGCTTGAGGGTTTGGAGCAGGGTGGCACGGTGAATGGAACGTCGACCATCTCGACCCCCACATTCGTCCAGGGCGTCGATAACGATGACAGGCAAGCGCCCGGATGGGATATCCCGGCACTCCCGCAGCGGCTCCTCTATCAGCTCTCGAAACAGCACCCTCACATTGGACGTCTCCACGTCCACATCCTCCTCCCTGATCCTCTCAACAATGATCCTCCGCACCGACGGGTACAGCCTTGCCAAATCATAAGCAACGCTCCTCCACAAAGCGTTCGCTGTCGAAACCGTCTCTTGGTCGCGCTGGAACACGAATCGAGCGCCCAATCGGTTGAGATCGCGGAGCTGGTTGACGATGGTGGATGCGATTGCTGTTTTTCCGGCACCGGGGAAACCCCGAATCCACAGGACGTTCGACGCTTCGAGGTCGTGTACCCATTCGTCGATGGCGGAGAGGACGCTCAACCTCGTGCCCTTCATGCATTCCGAAAATGGATAGGAGGTGAACTCGAGACCTCGAGGTTTGAGATCTTGGAGGATTTGATCGTCTTCATTGGATGCTGATAAAGGGTCAGTGAGAGCGTCCGTGAGTAGGAGGGAGAGCCTACCCACCTAGGCGCTGGAGAAGGTCTTCGATGCCAACTGTCGACTGCACGGCCAGGCCCCGATCAAACTGCTCCTGGAATCTATCATAACGCTTCTTCAGGATGTCAACTTCATCCCTAAAGAAGGACGTTTTGAATGCTTTATCTAGGCGCCTGTTAGCTTATATCTGATGACCGGTGAATTGGATAATCACCTGTACGACTTCTGTTCGTATACTTCAGGATAAAGTTCGTCGTATCCTCCATCAAAGGTCTAATGTCTTCCAAAGCCCGCTTCAACTGAGCCAGGCGCGCAAACTGTTCAACATCCTCAATGTATCCAAGCGTCCGCGCCATACTCTCTGCTAGTCCAACAACGATCCTGTCGCATCTTTCAGATTGTTCCAAATGCTGTGTGGAAATCAAGGATTGTAAAAAAAAAAAAGTAGAACTGACAGGAGAATGGGAGTTACAGACCTTATACGCCACTTTGACAGTGGAAAGAATGGCTTTGGCGATGGGATCAATCTAAATGGAGGACAGATTGGCGCTGGAAGACCTAAAAAAAGCGAGAAAAAGGACATACCTCACTGAAGGCAGCGCCGTAATGAACGAGGTGCTCCAAGAAATGCCTCGATTTCCCGAGATGGTCTAGGGCACTTCTTATCTCCCTCGCCTTATCATGAGCATTCTGCAGATTAGCTTGCAAGGGTTCGACATCCTGGGGGTTCTCCGTGAGCTGGAGCCACTAAAGAGTGTATGTGAACGAACGACTGACCGCCACCACATCGACGATAATTAATGGATCCTCGTGTATGATGAGTTCTGCGAAAAAGGGTTGATTATAAGCGTGTGGTTTCCAACTTTCGAGTCTGACAGATTGGCGCACGGTATGTGGTGATATCGTCGTGAAAAGCAGGGATTACGTCCGCGACTTCGTCATATGAGACTGGGACTTCCACCAGGACTGGGTTCTTCGGCCATCGTCGGCGTTTTCGTACTTGAAGAGAGATATTCGTATCCCCACGTATCGTTCTAAGTAATGGAGACGCGTCAAAGAAAGCAGAATCGTAAACTGGATGCACCGTGACATACAGATGCGGCTTGAGATTCCAGCGCAGAGGGTCCGCCGAATCCCCACGAACGAATGGGAGCTTCAAGAACTCGGATCCGTTCTTGAATAATCGAACTGAAACGGGCTGCTTGCTGGCGGTGCTCAGGAGCACGGTTATACCTGCAAGGGAGACGCATTCAGAAGAGCGTAGTATGCTGTGCATCGACCGACTCACCGGAGATTTGAACGGATCTCAAAGGAGACCTGCCTTCGGGCTCCGCAGTCACTGGTTTAACAAAAGTACCGTATCTGATCTTCTCGTCGTCCAAGTGGTGCAGTTTGAGCGGTGGGCTGGATGGGTTCAACAGGGTCGACGAATCCGAGAATGTAATCGATGGTAGGGTGGTCGATCGAGGAAAGAACTTGTCCTTTCCATCTTTCAGGCGGACAGCTTGCACTGACGGGGTGGGTGACCCCGAGGCTGAAGGCGATGGCGACAACTCAGCCTGCTCAGCATAGACGGACCCGTCGCTGCTCAGCGTCCTACTCTTCACGCGTGGACTCGATCCACTGCGAAAAAACGAAAAGGGTGGCGATTGGAGGAAACTGGGCGATTTTCGCTCGTCTGGGGCGCTTACGGCGGGTCGGTCCTCTCGTTCCATAGTGGACATGGTGGTGGCATGGGAGAGAGTTTGAAGCTGTTAGCGAAGGCGAAGTTTGCAATGTGGTATTGAAACTGGGTATGGCGGTGATGGCTGATGGCGACATGTGGACTTCGCTGTGCGATGAGCCCGGAAATAACCATTGGGTCCGTGATGGAATCAGCTGCGGGGAATAGGGGCCCTGAGTCTGAGAGGTCTATAAGTATCAATGCAAGGCGCAGGCTGCCGCTGATTCAGTCAAACACATTTGCCCTGGAAATGCAGGAGTTGAGCCTCAGCAAAATGCTATAATTCTGGTTCCTAGCATGAAGCACAGCGGGTGTCATAAAACCTGATCAGGGCAAGTCGCATCGATCGCGACATCTTCCTGCCATCCGACGAACGTACTTAGAGGTAGAGGGAGGATAAGGCGAAGGTCGATCTCGCTCCAGTGAAGCTCAAAGTGGGGTTCTGACACGTCTCAATGACATAACCCATCGCTTTGATATAGAACACATTCCCTAGAATTCGACGCTGGATTATATCCATGGGCTCCCCCGTCCGCTTTTAAATTCAGGGAAGGCACCGGCGCCCTAGTCTGAGTCGCGACCTAACAAGCATCACCCACGATATCTACTCTGTTCAAGGAAAGCAAAACTGCATCCAGTGCCCAATAAGCGCCCGTTCCCACGGCCTCTTGCTGTTAAACGAGTCGACCAGAACACTTTTGAAGTTGAAGCCTCGCGGAAACGTTACATAAACGGCGAGAATACACAATTGACATCGGTAGCCCCGAGTCTCAAGAGTCAGACTCGGCCCACCACCCAGAACTCAAATGTCGGGGGTGTGGTATATTTGGGCGCCTTCAACCCGAGGACGCCTGCATTGTGGACGCTCTTTGAAGCAGATCCAGACCCCAGTGCTCGCTGAAAATATATTTTTCAGCTCAGCTTGAGTTGCGTAGTAGCTTTGGTATCATCTTGACTTTACAGTATACTTCAGGGCGGTATCATCATCTATCCAATATTACGGAAAGCTGAAAGAAACGACGATTCAGAAGGCAAACATGACCATATCGAACGATCGAAAACCGGGTTAATGTATACCCATTTTAGGCAGTGGACCTACCAAAATTAGCTTACCATCCCTTTTACTGTCACGGTTTTCTCAAAGGTTTTTTCCCGCGGAATATGTAGTATGTATTCGAGATCACCTGTGCGTATGCAACTCCGTCACCGCCAGTGAACGGATGATTCAGAAGGTAAGCTTGGCCATAACGAATCCTCCGGCACCGGGTCCTATGCATATAAACCACGCACGACCCTTACCGTCTTCAAGTAATCAAGTAGCGCTGACTCATGACGGGCATCAACCTGAAACTGGGTGAGCACTTGGGGCGCCCAATCGACTCCCTACCTACCACCAAGAGAGATAGATGGAATACATAATACATAACCCAGTCTCATCCACATCCACATCCACATCCACAGACAAAAAACACAAACACTGACATTAAGAGAAAGAGAAAGAAATCCGGAAGACAGGAAGGAACCTAGAGATACAGGGAATAAGGGATTAAAGTAAGAAACGACGAACCGATAACAAAGGGGACAACGGGGGGTAAGGTAAGGTAACAAATGGCCCGGGAATCCGACAATGATGAAGAGAGAAAGGAAGAGAGAGAGGGGGGGGAGAGGGGGGGAGACAGAGAGAGGGACGACGATATGTAGTAAGGAAGACAGTGGCAATGGAGGTGAATGACGTCCAGGATTCCGTTAATTGAGAATAGATAGTTACAAAGTGGTTCGTTGCTCTCGTGATGTCGTATTCATGGCGTTTCGGTTTCGTGGTGTTCTGAGCTGCGCCGGGGGTATGATTCTGAAGCAGATCGGGGCCGAGGTTGAAAATAGAATAGAATAGGATACGGAGAGGCCAATGGAAGGCTTCAGGCAACCTCTAGACACAGAAAGAGAGAAAGAGAGAGCGAGTTGGTGTTCTGTGTGCATGCGTGTGGACAATTAGCGGGGTGGTCGTCCATCCGAAGATAGCCCGGCACAATCACGAAGAACAACACCCCCCACTCGAGGCACTATTCTGCTCCAGCGTCAAATCCGTATTGGGTTTCGAGAGCTTCACACCGGGCGACTACAAAAAAACATACACCTCGTCAGTCTCCAGGGCACATCGCACAAAGGGTGGAAAAACGGGGGCAAAAGGAAAGAACTCGTGGTCGCACCAATAGCATTGAAAACAAAAGGAATAAACAGGCAGACAGACGTACCCGGTCGTCATCAAACACCCCTCTCCGGATCTTGCCCAAAATATCCCTGGAAGCTTCCACGAAAGCTAGCTCGACGTTCTGACCCGATTTGGCACTGGCTTCGACGAAGAGCAGGCCTTCCTCCTTGGCCCACTTCTCCCCTTCCTCCCTTGATACCTCCCGCACCTTCGATTGCCCGGATGGTTTACGCGAATGGCCTTTCACGGTACCGCCGGAGCCGGACTTGCGTGAGTTTGTCCCTGTACCGCTTGAGGTTCCTGTGGAATTGGATTGGGATTGGGAGTCGGAGGGTGGGTCGGTCGCGGTGGAGGTGGAGGTGGAGGCGGAGGCGGAGGAAGCGTCGGCTATGTCGTCGTCGCCGCATAAATCGACTTTGTTCCCGACGAGGATGCAGGTTAGGTTTGGATCTGCGTGTTCGCGGACGTCTTTCAGCCAGTTCCGGGCGTTGAGGAAACCTAGTTTGGGAGAGGGTGTCAGGGTTGGGGTATGAAAGAGATTGGGTATGGAATGGGCGCACTCTTCCGCGATGTTACGTCGTAGACCAGTAGGCAACCTGCGGCTCCTCGATAGTAGGACCTCGTTATGGCTCGAAATGATTCGGTGCCTGCTGTATCCCAACCTGGTTCATCGAGAGATTCGAGTAAGTACACGGTCCCAAAATACGTTTGACAGTAGAACTTGTGTGTGTCAGGATGGACAGTCAAGAACGACGTACATTGCAATTTCACCACCTTGTCTTCCTCCGGGATAGTGATAAGTTTCGATCCAAACTCCACTCCAAGCTACACAACAAAGAACACATACTCATCAGTGCTACAAATCCAACACTCGAAAACAAAGGCAACGTACTGTAGGATCAGGGTTGGCCAAAAAGCGTTGGTCCGTGAGCCGTATTAGCAGCGACGACTTGCCCACCGCGGCGTCACCTGGTAATCATGTAGAAAGAGGGGAGAAACGAGAGAAAATGTCAGATGTCAGCGACCTCGCTAACTACCTCTGTGAATGATAGATACTCAACAGATTGAAAGGTGGACTATTGACCATACCTGTGATGATGAACTTCAAAACATAGTGCCATGCGATTCCAGACATCTTCCCAATTCAGAATCCTCTCCACACTGCTCTCAGGCTGCTCGCTGTTCAGAATCGTCTAGATCGTCGTCGGGGTCGTCAATTCCTCCTCAGTGCCTTTCTCCGTCGTCGATGGTGGTTGTAGCCCAGGGTAAACAGGACAAGGGGTCGGTCGTGGTTAGAAACAAAGGGATATAACAGTTGCCTTGGAAGTGGGCGTTTGAGGTTTCCGTCGCGATCATTTCTGGGGAAAACGGATTACATCATCGAAGTTTGCGTGACATGTAGCTCGCGTGACTTTCACGTGGGAGCCGGACTGTTCCGAGGGGTGTCGTTGGCTTTGCTGTCGTCGACGTCGGGACCCAAATTTCGCCAGGTTCACCACTAGACCAACAACGACCATGACCGCCGCCTGGAGGAGCGTTTTCACGTATGTCACAACTGACTCATATTCGCTATACAATCGTTAATTGATTATATTGCGACAGTTACAACAAGTTTGCGCAAATTACTGCTCGTGCAGTGCGCAACTCTCTGAAGGAGGAGCAGCGTGTTCTCGCTGAGAAGCGTGGCCAGACGTCGGTCCGATACCAGCAATGGCAGAACGGAAAGGGTGGTCCTCAGGTGCGTCATCGTTAAATGCGTTCGTTGTGTGACAACTTCTGACTGGACTTGTAATGCTGTGTGTAGGTCACTTTGGGCGAGGAGGCGGCTGCCACCAAGGCATAGAAGAACGAACAGTCGTCGCAAAACACGTTTCATCCGCTACTTTAGAACACCGCACGTATACACTGTAGTTCTGGTGCAATCCAACCGGCTTCTCCCTCGCTACATCCATCCATCCATCCAATTCACCAATTCATACCCGTACCCATATCCGGATTTGTGGTTATGACTTGACTCTTGAAGGTTGACCTTACACCGCGCGCTTGAAGCATAACTGTCCACACGAGATGGAAGGGCGATTGTATTCACCGATCGAGGACACATTGTGTGACCGTGTCAGAGGGTCGTACAACCATTGAAGCGGGCACCCTATCCTGGGGTATTAGGTTTCATGTTTACCGGTTGCCCGCAGGAACTTGCGCTTCGCTCGCCCACCTGGTGCCCACTGCCTACAAGCAAACCTTTTCGCCCTTGACCCTTGCGACCTTGACCCTTGATCTCAGTCGCCCTTTCCCGTTCCCAGACAGGGCCTTGAGGTTGACGCGTAGGGCCCTGCGTCGCCAGGCCATTCGGGACGTGCATAGTTCTCCAGTCGTCAGACTAAATCAAGTAAAACCAACTTGGACAGTGGACTAAGCGATGCAATGTGACGAAAGGATACGAAGACTGCCTTGTTTGTTATTGGCCCCACACCCGGAGCGCCCGGAGGATGCCATTGACAAGGACGCCTCGAGCCTCGAGGCGTCTTACCACTTGATCATCACCACCATCATGCTTACTTACTATCGATATCCATGTTTCTCGCGTTCCCTTTGAGACTTGTTCACGGACTTGACTCACGTCTCTACGGGGCCTGGCCATCCACATCTACCTCTGTCGAAGTCTCACTACATAAATCCCCGCCCTAGCGACACATCGTTACCAACCCATTAATTGACCTGACGCCCAACTTGGATACCTCAGGATCAGGAAGTAGGAGCGGGAGTCGGGGTGGCAGGATTGATAGAGCGCTTGGTCGGATCTCTGGGATCTCGAGAAGAGTCTTCCGCCTATCGAGTTCGGGTTCAAGTTCGAGGGCTAGTGGAACTGCGGATACCATCCAAACGAGTTCAATCTCGAAGGCTTCCCCGGGGTCTACGCCGGGAAAAGGTGATTTGCCTGAAACGACTAGCTCCATCGAAACCACCCTCGAGATCTCCATAACTGAGGGTTTCTCAAACTCGACTGGGTCTACCTTTAGGAGAAGCGCGGATGTAGAACAGGATATTGCGCGGTTACAGCTGGGGTATGTTCTGCAGGAGAACGAGGAGTTGAAGGCGTTGGTTGAGGGGTTAATCGAGCTTTCCGAGATCGTTCGTTCCTCAAAGGTAGCAGAGATCTCCGAGGTACGTCCATTCCATCTCTAAACCGCATCCCAGAGTAGCATTTACTGTAGTACTAACCTCCCTTCAATTCATCCGGTACCACTACTACATCCAGTTGGAGGAAACATTCCAAGCCTCAGCTCGTTTTACGCTCCACTTGGCCGTATTATTGAATGCAGATAGGGAGGAGAGTAGAGCGGTTGGTGTCGTAGCTGCCAAAGCCTTCTCCAAGTAAGTCACTATTTAAGTTTACAAGCTGCCATTCTATTCGAACACACCTCCAAGAGTCATGATCACTGGAGGTTCCTTCGAATGTCTGTATGTCGTCCTTAGCGGAGAGCTGAGATGTTTTTGTTGTACTTGCTAGGACGATCCAGGAAGCCAAGGAGCGGTTAACAACGCAAGTTTCGGAAGATGACAAGGAGGAGGTGAAGAAGGAGGTGAAGAAGGCGCTTGGGGATGGGATGAAGGAACTCGAGGTACTTACTGCCCTACTTGCGGCCAGCTTCCCATTCTCTTGCTCACCTGTGTACTTCTCTCTCTCTCTCTCTTTTCACCCTGGTCTACCAACCGTACTCCCTCCTGTATGTCTGTATGCAGATCTCGCACCCAGAACTCCTCAACGCGGCGCACCAAGGCGATCCCAACCACCCTAATAAGCCACCATCGACTAGCCTCTCGCGCATCTTCCATCCCCTTCTAGCATCCAGCATAACCGTCCTAGACACGCTCAAAGATGTCAGCCAGGTTACACCTGAACCGGCTCTGAAACCTGTGTTTGGGAGTGTGGTGGTACTGTTGAAAGCTGTCGAGGTGAGTAACCTTCAAACGCTCCGCCATGTTGACTACTTACCCCTCTTTAGCAAACTCGAGCAAACGCAGAAGAAATCCGCCAAATCTGTAGGATGGCGGGAAGTTTTGCGGTTTCCCTCGCCCCAGTTTGCATGGACAAGAGCCTCGTGAATGCGAAACTTTCTCCTCGATTTTACAGGTGTTTGGAAATATTCGAGAGGTGCGTTGTTCGAACTTCGAATTTCTTGTGGGCAGCTTCTCTGAATTTTGTTGATTAAATAAAATGCTTTTCTCTCTCTCTCCGATGGTGCGTCGATGGATACCTAGCTCTCTGTCAAATATCAGCCACAGATGTTTCGAGCTCAGCAAGAAGAATGTCGCGCTCAGGTTCCTGCAGAACTCGGCGGACAAGGGCGAGATAGATTCGTTGCGGTTGGAATTAGAACATTCCATTCAGAAGTTCCAGGTGCGTGCCTACGCCCATGACATCCCTTCGAGGTCAAAGAACTGAGACTGACATTCGACTTTCGCAGATCGAAAACCAAGTCCTGATGCAATTCGACTTGAAAGCGTTCTCGGATACTATCCACGAGAAATTAGGTACACTCCCTTCAATCTAAGGCTCCACTCCCCCTCTAATCTACCTTTTAGACCAAGACGCAGTCACAGCCCTCCCCACACCACCCACGCACGTCGGGCTCACCGACGACTACCTCGAACACAGCCGCACCCCAACCCTCCAATCTATCCTCCAATGGCTCGACTCCACCGCCTCCCCTTCTCTCGTCCTCTGGCTCCACGGCGGCCCCGGACTCGGCAAATCCACGCTCACCCACAAACTCGTCGACACCCTCCGCGGCGGCGGGCGCCTCGCCTCCTTCGCCTTCTTCACCCGGGGGAAGAACAGAGATGTCATAACGACGATTAGGATGATGGGGCGGGAGCTGGCTGGGATGCACCCACGGGCGTATGCGTGTGTGGCGAAGGCTGCGAGGGGGTGTAGCTCGGGGCATGGAAGTGTGCTGGAGTATTTGCAGGCGTATATCCTTGATCCGGTGAGGGAGCTTAATCTCCCTTACTCCCTCCTTGTCGTGCTGGATGCGTTGGATGAGTGGGAGCACTGTGAAGCGCTCCTTAAGCAACTCGAGAACCTCTCTTCGTCTCCTTCACCATCTACTTCCTCTTCTTCTTCCCCCAACGCACGTCCGAGTCCCACCCACCACCCAGTCAAATTCCTCCTCACAAGCCGGCGCACCCAAACGATCACACGAGCCCTGCGCAACGTCCCCGCCCACACACTCGAGCTTCCTCCACTCTCTCAAACAGTAATGCAAGTCTATTTCGAGAAAAGGTTCCAAGAGATAGACTGGGACGGGCGGAACCCGCCTTCGAGTGCGGCCGAGAGGCTTGCGGAGCTTTCGAATGGATTACCGGTGTGGGGTGCGACAGTCTGCGCGATCCTGTCGTCCGACTCGTTCAATCGTCCACCTGCGTACGTCCTACTGGAGGAGATCCTCGCTTCTGGCAGTCGAGTAAGCGCGGATAAGCGTCTGTGGACTTTATATCACACTGGACTTTCGGGGCTGCTCACACCGGATTCGAATACCGAGGAGGATCGGGAGATCCTAATGAAGGTTCTATCGCATATGTTTGTTTTACAGGAATCCGTGAGTGTCTCGGCGTTTGCGAACTTGGTGCAGCTACCGGAGATGACGGTTCGGAGGGTGCACGAGAGGCTGCAGGCGCTGCAGACGAGGGGTACGTTCTCCAAGGACACGATCGAACCCATGTCTAGCCGGTTCCATGCGTCGTTTATGGACTTTCTCACCGCCCCTTCCACTCCCTCTCCACCGCTCGCTTCCCCGTATTCCGTCTCGAATTCGAATTCCTCTGCCACCAGCTTCAGACTGGATGTGGCTGAAGCCCATCGTCGCGCAGCAGAGAGGTGCCTCGCATTGGTTATTCAAGTTGGCACCTCCGATTCTTCTTTATCGGCCACTGGTACACCGCTTCCTCGCCGCGGTCTGCATCGCTATGCGATCAAGTATTGGCCGTACCATGTGGCCAATGGGACAGATAGGTTTCAACCTCTGCCAGAAACTTTGGAGGCCCTGTTGGAGAAGTTTACGCCAGCCGTTGCGGAGTGGTGGATGGAGAAGCTGGTACAGGAGAAGGTCGTCGCCCAATCAGTCGACTATGTGGAGAGCGAGGGCGAGGATGGGGATGGGGATGGGGAGGACGAATCAGAAGAGGGCGAACCTGACGATGCAGTGGAGGACGATGCCCAAGCCGTAGTGGACCGTCTGGCAGAAGTCGCCGATATGGCCAACGACGAGTACTCCATCGGGGATCCAGGCTGGTGGTGGTGGAACGTCCACTGTCTCGAAGTCGCTGTGCGCATCCAAGTCCACAAACCCGACATTGACAACTGGGTAGACCTTGGCTGGTGCTACGCCAACGCGCACCAATCAACGGCTTCGTCCAAGTACCTCGACGACGCACTCGCCATCTTCCGACACGCAGTGGGGATGAAGCGCAGCTGGAGGACGCTCGACAGTCTAGGCCAAACGCTCTCCTCCATCTTCGAAGATCGGAACGACATGAACGCGCTCGAAGAATCCATCTCCCTCCATCGGGAATCTCTCGCCGACACTTCCTCGTTGAAGCACAGCGAACACGCAACCTCGTTGGTGAACGTCGGCACCGCTCTGCAATGGCGGTTCGACAGATTAGGGAGGAGTGAGGATTTGGACTCTGCGATCCAGCTGTACCGCCAGTCACTCACACTCGTCGCGGACGACGACCCCGAGAAACCGATCTCCATCATCAACCTTGGCAATGCACTTTGCGCTCGCTTTGTTCGGCAGAGTATTGTCGAGGACCTCGACGAGGCTATACGACTCCTCCGATACGGGCTCGAGATCTGCCAAAGCGACGAAGGAGGTGACACCAAACCGAGGCTACTCACGAACCTCGTGCAGATCTTGCGCTTCAGCTACTACAAACGAGGCAACATTGGTGACTTGGAGGAGGCTATCCGGATAAACCGAGAAGCGCTGACCCTGGATCGCGGCCAGGGTCGACGCCACTCCCTCATTTGCCTTGTTGGCTGTTTGACAGCCTGGTTCGAGCGCTCCGGGGATCTGCAAGACATCGACGAGGCGATTCGAATTTCGAGGGAAGCCCTGGCCATGTGTCCTGGCAAACACTCCGAGCGGTATGGGGCATTATTGGATCTAGGGAGCAGCCTCAAGGCTCGGTTCTTATCGCAGGGAGGAACGGAAGAGCTCGAAGAAGCGGTATTGGTGAACAGGGAAGCGCTGGAGCTTTGCGCGGGGAATCACTCATTTCGTTACCTCGCGTTGACGAACCTCAGCATCACGCTACGGTTGCGATTCGACTTGCTGGGTGATGGAGACGACTTGGACGAGGCGATCTCCCTTGCTTCGGAGGCGTTGTGTCTCTGTCCTCACCCTCATAGTGGTCGTTCCTCTGCACTGGTGGCCTTGGCTGAAGCTTTTCAAACTCGATTCATCCAGGAGGTGTCAGAGGAAGACATCGAACAGGCCATCAAACTCGGTCATGAGGCGCTGGAATTACGGCTAGGTGCTGATCCTGAACGCTGGGAGGCACTCACCAGCCTGGCGAAAGCGCTCGAAATGCGGTTCATCCACCAAAATGACGAAGGCGAGGACGATGACAGGGAGGAAGCGATATCGCTGAACCGAGAAGCTGCTGCCTTGTGCCCGCCTCCACATCCAGGTCGATGGAGGACGCTGACCAACCTTGCTAGCTCTCTCCTCCAAGGTCGGGACGAAGAGGGTCTGCTACTGGAACGGGTCGAGGAATCTGTGAACCTGAATCTGGAAGCGCTCTCCCTATGCCACCGTCACCACCCATATCGGCGTCTTGTCTTGGCCAATCTGGGGAGGGCACTGAGAAGGCGTTTCCAGCTTACACAATCCTCGGAGGACATCGGAGCGGCGATCCCATACTCAATGGCTGACTGCAAGCTAGGGTAGTTTACACATACTAATAGTGCCAAGTCGAACGGCGAACGGTAACGTGACCCTAGTCGCGTGAAATTAAGCGCGCGCGTTGGACTTTGAAATTTGATCATCGACCAAGATCACAGCGCCCGAGACGTCGACCACTCCAGCCTGCTCTCCAGGTGCAGAGCACATCCGATGTCGTTACTCAGGTGAGCTGGCCAACAACGAGTCTAGACAAAAAACAAAGGACAAAAAAGATCAGCGGAGATGAAATCTTTGACATCTGTCACAACGCGTGTTCCTCGTAGGTGGATCATCCCGCTCATTGAGGCATCTGTGGGCGTCGACACACGTCTTCTCCGAGTAAAGCTTGTCAAGGAGAAAAAGTTTTTTGTCGCCTTTCTTGGGACAAGAAGAGGCGCTTTGACCTGATGGATACATTCAGGCCCGTTAGGTAGGGATAGCGTAATGTAGGGTGCGGGAATCCTTGGAGAGGAATGAATGGGAGAGTAACTCCAGGGTGACTAGTAGATAGAGCTCTGATGAGAGGAATTACAAAAAATCGGACATTGGGAGTGTAGGGGAAGGGCACGGATCGGTGGGCCCCTCCAACACTGTCGCTTCTATTCTGTTCCCACCGAGACCGCGTGTTTCGCCATCAGTTCCTCTTCAACCAAGTCTGCGCGGCCAGCGTAAAACAAAATTCAACACAGCGGCGAATAGTTTTTTGGATTGATTTGAAAAGATGGAATGTCCCTCAATGGTCGCTTGCGCAGTGGGAAAGGAACAGGAGGGTAATTAAGACATGCCCTCGATAACGATGATTAAAAGCACCTGTCGGTGAAGAAGCGTAGCGACATCCCCTTATCGAGCCATCCTATCCTGTCCCTTTTGCGGTAATGTGAACTGCAGAACAGGCTTTACCCAAGGGATCCGGCTTTAGAGAGTAAAACACGCACGCCTGTAATTATCGGCAAACAAGCGAGGCTATTTAAGGGAACGAGGGACGGAACGCCACTCCAAGGTATTACAGCAAACATGTTGGATCCCTGAGGCGAGTCATACAGCTCTACGTTCGGCGGGAAAGAACCTGTGATGAAAGTGAAGAAACGTGGAGGTAAAGGCTGTGATAGGCGCACCATTGGACCTTATGTTCCCCACGGGAAAAAGCGAGAAAGTACTGTGCCGTTAGTATTTAGGGCAGGGGAAATAAAGTTGAATCTCCATGTCTCCGCCCCATTTATTAAACCCCCGAACAAACATCAGTCATCGTTCACCCTTCCTCCATTGTTGCCACTCCGTTCGAATTTCGAACTTTAGTCCTTCCCATCAATATTGAACAAACACTTCCCGCAAAGCGAACATTCGAGTCTGCGTCTTCCTGAACAAGATGGTAAAGGTTAGTGTAAAGCGCTCATATCTATGCGATAGCACGAGGCTTATACCTTTCGACAGGCATGTACCAAGGGCCAGAAGAAGGGCGCAGTGTCCAGGCAGAAGCCCGTGAAGTCGGTGCGTTAATCCGCCACATCCCATCCCCAGCACGGGCTTCTTATAGCCATCGACGTCCTTTTATAGGGCACGGCTAGCGTTCCCCGCAGCATTAAAAGGCGTGCACCTTCCGTGAGTCCATCCCATTTAGCGCCTCTCGATATTTCTATAAAAGCGATTCAGGAGAAATTGCCACCGGATACGGTGTTTCCACCTATCGATCGCCCGAGCGATGCAAGCGCGGATTACACCATCCCGGTAGACCTGAAGGGGGAGGAGACAGGCAAGCGCGCCACTCAAACTGCTGAAAGCAAGCTGAGATGGATCCTTGCGATCCTCTTCCTCTGGGTCGACTTCACAGAAGAGCCCAAGGTTTTTGGAACGCAAGTGTATTGCATGGCGTGCCGCCTGAAAATAGCCCTCGACAGCAGGACAAAAGTGGACACACCGGCCGAATGGTACCTCAACAACCTGTACAAGCATTTGAGGACCGAGGGACACAAGAGGATGGAGAAGAGGTGGCGCAGAGAAAACCTGGGTAGACCCTGCGATAAGGTGAGTAACGAGCGTTGCATTGATCTGCGACGGACCTTGCTGACGAGCCTGATTGACTTGTAGGAGCAGCCAGTGCCGCAGGCTCCGCGTCCCATACATCCCACAGGCTCTGTGGTCCAAAGGTGTCGCTTCGGGAAGGTGAGCGATCAGAATCGGGGTACGACGACTTACTGAACCCCGTCCTGTAGCCCATCTCGCCATTGCTGTCGCCATCTACGCCTCATCCCTCCGCACAACCCACCTACCGGTGTTCGACCCTCATCGAAGTGAGTTTCCAACGCTGCAATCGCTCCGATGAGCTGGGATCTGACCAAAAACCGTCTAGTTGTTGTCCTACGGGTACACGACTAACGGACAAGAAACAGCAACACTACAAATCCGTCCAGGCCCCGAGCTCAGACGAGATCATTATCCCGCCCTTCGTAGACCAGACGATATGCAGGTTGGTTTCGTTGCCCGTTACCAGCCGCTCTGTACGTATGGAACTGCGTCTGCGATGTGGAGGTGATTTGGCCTCTGGACAATCGATTCACTCGACGATTTGTCGCTTGAATCCATTACATAAGAAACGCGGTTTGATCCCCCCTATGCCTATATCTTCCTTTGCAAATACGCTCTCGTTAAGCTTCACTTCCTTCCGCATTTCGAATGCTTTCATTTGTATCGTATGCTTTCCGACAGCCTTCGCATGTTTAGTATATTTATCAAGAATCTAGATGTTCCTCATCGTAAACACGAAATTCCGGCATCGTTGCCAGATCTGATGAAGGATCATCGGACTTTGAAACCATCACTCGCAACTTGGTGAGCGAACGCCCGGCTCTAACAAAGCTTCTGTTCTGCTCCCCGTTTTGGCAAGGTTCTATCGCCAAGTGACTATTCTGTATAGAGCTATATCGGAAAAGGAACCAAGGTAGAAAAATCATCGCCAAGTTCCCAAACTGTGTTGCTAGGCTTCTACTCCACCGGCGAAATGAGGATACAAATGGACACTCCGTCGAATTTTAGCCACCGGAACAACGCTACTGAGGTCACCTTCCCCTATTTTACATCTCTATTCTTGTTTTGTGTACAGTTCTATCGTCGTGTGAATTCACATTCCACCCTCGTTCGATACCTACCTGAAACGGGATCCAACTCCAAGTTCTTCCCGGTTGTGATTATGATCAAGCCCTGGGCTCTGATCATGAGTCTGTGAACGAATTCTTAGTGCTTATATTACCCACATCGCATGACTTGTCGAGAAGGTCACGGTGGGATGTGAGAGGGCGATTATATTTATCATCAAAGATGGACGATATTACCGGGCGTGATAACGAAGTAGTTGGACTCGGTGGCAGAAGCTGCATTAGGCGTAGGACCTCACGTAGTGACTTACAAATACCTCTTCCACGATGTCAGATTCAGGCTTCGGGCTGAGTGATACTGCTTGGAAGTATACCGTGTCAAGTCAGTCACAGTGACGCTGAGATCCTATTTTGACGCTGAGAAGCGGGAGGGGAAGTTCTGGTAGGATCCCAATCAGAGCCCTTTTGCACTTGGAATAATCATTGAATGATCATCATGATCGCCCATGCGCCACTTCGGATCCTTCCAAATTCCTTCTGTTATATCCCCCTGGCCATAGATATATGGTGAACATCTTAGAAAGTGGATAACTGATTCATCGACATCACGCAGGCAATGATAGCAGGTCAGACCTCAGGCGAGGAGCAGGCCGAGGGAGGCCTCGAGCCGTAAGGCAAGGCGGTACCTACGGTACGTATATACTTACGAAATATATATAGTACAGATATCTGCCAGACTCCAAATTATGCATGTACTGGCGAATTGCGGGCTGAACTCAAGTGGGCTATGTTTTTAGAGTTTAATAATGATTTTGAGATCGCTTCTGCCAGCTGGAGTGGTGATAGCCTCCCACGCCGTATTCATTGCTGGTTTTCGCAGTCGTCGATTTCTAATAATTTCCAGGGAGGTCGTCTGACCTACGAAGGTACAGATGTATCAAGATGAATCAACTCTGACCTCATTCTCGGGGGAACGTTCTCTCCGATCAGCACTACAGAAACTTCTCAGCTATTGTCAGTGGGATTGGGAAAGATTGGTGAGGCGATTCAGCCGGAAAGTGAGAATAGATAGGAAAGAAGTGACTATGTACCAATCGCCGTGAGGGTGGTGGTTTTATCTGGAAAGAAAGGCAGTCATGGTCTAGATGTCAGTCGAACTTGAATGTCACTATCAAAGCCCAAGAGCATAAATCGCCCCAACTCTTGGATCCTTCTGGCTCCTCCGAACAGAGAGGTATCCAGAGAGAGCCACCTTTCGTGGACTGCGTTGGCCGCAATAAACCTGGAAGAAACCGCCCGGATTGAATGCTTTCGCCGAACCTCTTGAGTGATGGATCGACCACACACCGCATTTCAAGTGAATTCGTCGCCCATTCGAGCAGAGTCGAATGATCCTAGCTCCGTGACTTACTCCTTATGACGGGCTCGAATAGAGTCGAACTTGCTAAGCACAGGTCAAAAGCACCACGGGGGGTTGTTTAGAACGCGTTCAAATAAGTGGCGATCATGATGATCATTCAGTTATGTATTGTTCTGCGTAGTACTTACCTACATTTAATTCCTACGTTCTAGAAGAGGTCTTCAATCCGTACGGTATCCTTCGCCGAACTGGTTCCACAATTAATGCACAGACACAGGTCTGTATCAACTTTGTGTCGCGAGGATATATGTGGAATAAATCGTGATGAGGAATTCGAAAGGTGCCGACGGTGATCCACATCCGCTGGGGAAAGGAGGATCAAGGGGAAAGGCTGGATCAAGGAAAGAGTGGATCAGGAGACAACGAGCACGAACAAATGAACAATGACCAAATGGAACTTTCGCTGCCGCTCCGTCAACGGGGAGATTTTGAAGTTTAAAGTTCTGATGATCTATTGGTTTTACTTACGATGATGACGGAGCAGCAACTTGAACACAACGCGAATCAGTCAAAGTATCTGGAATGGGGGATCAGTCAAAGTACATATTTAGAATGGGAGATCAGTTAGTTATTTAGAACGGGGGATCAGTTACTTGGTTATTTAGAATGGGAGATCAGAGGACGCAGTGGGCGAAGAAGTCGATGATAGCTTTAAGGTCTGGTTTAGACGACGGTATCAATCAGAAGATCAGGAGCTTTTTTGCGTGATTCTGGAGATTGGAACTCGAGAGTGACTTCAAGGTTGGAAGTTGGGAGAAACGGGGGTGGTATAAAATGTGAATGTGGAGGTGGTATGAATTGGGAAGGAATGAGAAGTGGAGGGTGGAATAAATCGGTAAGGAACAAGAACTTGTGGAGGCGGGATGCTGGAAATTCGAGGATGAGGATGAGGTTGAGTCGAGAGGCGCACTTACTTACCTTGGATGGATCAAGTATGGATATTTCTATGCTTCGAGCAGATGATATCTCTTGAGGCTCGGTGGGGAGAACAGGAGAACAACCAGAGGATGAGAGCGCGTGCACGAGCACGGGCGCTTGCAAGCATCTCCACCCACGTGCACGCGGACTCAATTCGATCTCGTTTTGATGCACAGGCAATGTCCAGTTGCGCGGGTCCACCAAAGGAGCCCGGTAAGCCTGAGGGAAGAGGAGAGGAGGGGAAGAAAGCTGTGCAAGCAGACGCTCGACCCAGAACGACGACACGACGGAGCACAAAACACGAAGAGAACCCTGCCCGAGGGGGTCTCGAGTCTCGAGTTCTGGTTCTGGTTCGACGACGTAGGGTTCCCTCCCATTCTGGTTCGACACTATGTGCATGTGGGATTCCGAATTCTCGTGTCGACGCTGGCTGGTTCCCACTTCCACTTCCCCCAATCGACGAGGCCAAAGAGAAAGGCACGAGGCCAGAGAGAGAGGCTTCGATCGCTGCAGAGCCTGATGCACGAGGCCGCAGTGGAACGTCGATGGTACATAATTATAAGTAGAATGTCCGACCGGCCATCTGGATTCTGGATTCTCCCCCTTTGACAAAGTGTTTCAGGGAGACGAATGCGGGTGTTGATAGAAGACGGATGTGGATAGAAGGGATGGAGAGGGATGGAGAAGAATACGTATGTGGACGGGAATACACGCATACATGGACGGGGATCGATACGTATATGGGTGTGCAAGGGATGGGCGTTTAGATAGCGTCCAGGGTATGGATGGAAGGCCCCAAAGAAGTCAGGTGCGAACCAGGGAGCGCTCGAGAGTCACCAGGCTGCGTGGTGGTGTGCATAGTGGCTGCCAGCCTAACTGAATGACCGTTTGACTGACTGACGCCCTGGGTGCTTTATGGAGGTAAGGTATCGCCTTCAAGCTGACGTCGTTGTTGAATAGAGACGGGATGTATCAATTCACGGGGCAGGGTTCCTTAGGCGACTTCTGTTGAGTCCTTATCGCCAGGCAGTCCCGAGTCAAGCCTGTCGGTAGGCAACAACGAGTGGTCTAGTGTACCATCTGTGTGTCACTGTACAATTAGGGTTATTGTCGGGCGAAACACAAGGCCACAGCCTGGCTGTGAGAAGTGATAAGCTGGGACCGTTGAATTCGCTGATGACTGTCTTTGGGAGTGCGACGAGTATGGGCAATAAAAAATCCTAGTCACAACCGACGCAAGTAGAGTCAAACTGAAGAGAAAGAGGAGGAAAGAGGCGTCGAGTCGGCACCGGTTGTGGCGGGGCTGAGTTTATAAAAGGGACGGGGAATGCCGAGCGGCGGGCTCGCAAAAAATTGAGCGCGATCAGACCCGTCCTTTGCTCTTCAGCACACCGCTAGGTCGATATCGATCCAACACAACCGCAGTCAAACCTCGAATACCAAGCACACCCCCATTTTCTCAAGTTTTTGTCGACAAATCTAGTCGGCACTTGGGAATAAGAACAACAAATACTTGAATATGTCAGCGTGAGTTTGTAGATTTTTTCGCGCCTCCAGATTTATCGCGGGATTGACTGATCTTGGGTTCGGTTGGGATTTATAGAGAGGATACGCTTCAGGATGTCGCCGGCGAGGAGATTGAGTCCAACTGGGACCAGGTCGTCGATAAGTAAGTTTGGATCCCCTTCCGATGTTGGCCGACCGTGATTTTGATATCCTCCTCCAGCTTCGACAACATGGATTTGAAGCCGGACTTGCTCCGTGGTATCTACGCCTATGGGTGCGTCATTCTCCTTGAAATCACCTTTCAAGGCGTTTAATCGAGCGCTATGACAGTTTCGAGCGACCCTCCGCCATCCAGCAACGAGCTATCGTCCCCGTCGTCAAAGGCCACGACGTTATCGCGCAAGCCCAGTCTGGAACTGGCAAGACCGCCACCTTCTCCATCTCTATCCTCCAACAGGTGTGTGCCTCCCGCCCTCAGACTACCAGCGCCCTTGACTGAACGGATTTTCGCAGTTGGATATGTCCATCAAGGGCACCCAGGCCCTTATCCTCGCCCCAACCCGTGAGTTGGCCCAGCAAATTCAAAAGGTCGTCATCGCTCTCGGTGACTACATGAACATCGAGTGCCACGCTTGCGTTGGTGGTACCAACGTCCGCGAGGACATGGCCAAGCTCCAGGAGGGCGTCCACGTCGTCGTCGGCACCCCCGGTCGTGTATACGACATGATCAACCGCCGTGCCTTCAGGACCGACCACATCAAGATCTTCTGCTTGGACGAGGCCGACGAGATGTTGTCCCGTGGTTTCAAGGACCAGATCTACGATGGTGAGTAGTGCCTTTATCGCCTGTGTTTCAGTTTGACTGATGGTGCTTCCTCAGTCTTCCAACTCCTCCCCCAGGACACCCAGGTCGTCCTCCTCTCCGCCACCATGCCCGCCGAAGTCTTGGAAGTCACCAAGAAGTTCATGCGTGACCCCGTCCGGATTCTCGTCAAGCGTGACGAGTTGACCCTCGAAGGTATCAAGCAGTTCTACATCGCCGTCGAGAAGGAGGAATGGAAGCTCGATACCCTTTGCGATCTCTACGAGACCGTCACCATCACCCAGGCTGTCATCTTCTGCAACACTCGACGGAAGGTCGACTGGCTCACCGAGAAGATGCACGCTCGTGAATTCACTGTCTCCGCCATGGTCAGTCGACGTCGTTCGTTTGTGTACCCGCCCGTTTACTCATACAGGCATCGCTTCACAGCACGGTGATATGGAGCAGAAGCAGCGTGAAGTCCTGATGAAGGAGTTCCGCTCTGGCTCTTCCCGAGTCCTCATCACCACTGATCTCCTCGCCCGTGGTATCGACGTTCAACAGGTCTCGCTCGTCATCAACTACGATCTCCCCACCAACCGCGAAAACTACATCCATCGTATCGGTCGTGGCGGTCGTTTCGGTCGTAAGGGTGTTGCCATCAACTTTGTCACCACCGAGGATGTGAGGATGTTGCGGGATATCGAACGTGAGTATTCCTCCACATCGTCTCGTGGGCTCTATCTGACTGTCTCTCTGCAGAGTTCTACAACACCCAGATTGACGAGATGCCTCTCAACGTCGCGTGAGTATCTTATTTTGACTTTGGGCCTTGCGGCAGGGTCACTGATGACATCTTTCGATAGCGATCTTATCTAAGCGCGGCCATGCCTTTCACGATCTTGACGCACGACCCAACCTCTGTACCACTCACTCTTTCCCTTCTTGTACTGTACATTCATCCATCCCCCAAAAGTGTCGAGCCCATCTCCCATCATTAGTTTCCTTGTTTTTGTTTCTGATCGTATAATAGTTTCACTCGAAGTTGAATGTACAAGTAGTGATGTGGTGGATGCTTTTCTTATACCGACCTCCCTTGCGAATTCCGCTCTCTCTTTTTTACACCTGCGTTTTGAATGTCCGCAGACTCTTTTGAATCGGTGTGATATAGCTGTTGTTGCCACTACTGACTAATTTTTATTCTCGTTCGTTCAGCTTCTTTTTCTTCTCTCGCTGGTGGTTTCATTACTACCCGTTTGCAGTCGATCTCGCTAACCCAGAGTCATGCAGATGCAGGTGTTGTGAATTTGCAATGGAGTCGGGTGTGTAATAGTCCGACTCTGCGAAGCCGTTGGTTTTTTGATTCTGGACCTTCGTCTATTCGTCTTCGACCCCCCTGCCATTACGTCTTCGCTACGTCATACTTAGTGCATACACCCTCCGGTAATCTGTTTGGTCGTTCTTCGTAAGAGGATCCTCGTTTTCTTTTTTGGTCATTGGTAAGATTGAGAAACTTGGAAAGGAACGTGGGCGTGGGCTGACGATGACATCGCTTGAGCCAAGGCTCCGTGTTTCGATTGCAATGGCAGGCAATGGGCCCGGGGGGAGGATTTGACCTCGCGCGCACAGCCATTCGGATTCGCCCATCAGTTGTTGGAGTAACCGCAGGCTTGAAGCTTAAAGGATGTTCATTATTCTCATGGACCACTGCCTTTCGAGCTGGCATTATTCTTTGTCGAGCGGACGGAGCCTGAGGGTGCCAGTGGTGCCACCACCCTCCGAAGGTGTTTGAACACTGCCCTTTCCCTTTGATTCGGTGTGTAGAGTCAGGGTGCGAATGGATCGTCCAAGGAGTCTTTGTACGGTCACGGTTCTGGAGGCTGAGCGGTGGGGTGAGCAGTGCCTCGAGGCACCACCGGCACGCCCCTTTGCCTGCCTGCCTGTCTGAAACTCGTTGGTGATCTTCTTCCGCGTGCCAGTAGGGTTTGGTAAGGTAAGGTAAAACGGAAGAAGGAGAAGGAAGAAAGGAAGCCTATGCTGCGGGTGTTCGCAGCAGCATATCGGAGTCGGAAGGGCTCGCGGCTCGCGTCATACCCTTCGGTTGGAATTATGCGACCCGTTTCGAATTCGGCAAGGGGGTGCCAGTTTACAGTTTGATCATCCTCTACATAGTCCATCCAACCCCGATTTCAGGCTCCGGTCGTGCAACCAGTGCAAGGCTGATGCGTTTTTAGCCATGGGCTAACTCGTCTAAACGGAAATCTTTGTCCATTAATGAGGCGGTGAACGTGGCCCTTGGCCTTTGTGGAGGGGCTGGGGCACCGGCGGGCACGGCTGATCATGACGCGACATGGCATTTCATTGGGTGAAACGCGAACCGCGGTTCAACGTTCGGGTTTTATAAAGGGTGTGGCTTTCGGGCAAGGTGACCCTGGTATTTCATTTCGTTCTGTTTCCGTTCTAGTTCATCCCCCTCCCCTTTGCCCTCGAGGTCTACCCTCGACCCCTTCGACCGCCCCTACTCCCGTTCGAATTGTTCATTTTGTTCCCCCTCGACGACGACTGGAACCTCGACACTGCATCTCGGTTGGTGTGACAGCGAGAACTGTAACTCTATTGCTTAATAGGCACGAAGAGTTCAACGTTCATACGAATCATACCGTACCCGGCCGACACACGACATACAGTGTTCTCAATTCATTTCTGATCATTCACCCCACCACACTCCCAGTTGTTCCTGGAATTCTCCCTTTGGGCAGGAGTAGTTTTCCACATCATCATCTCGCGTTAACGTTACGGTTCTGATCAAAGAGATCTATCATCCATACATATCAAACTCTCCCCCCGGCCTTTCCAGCTTTCTAGATTCTCCTCTCCTCTCCCCTTTTTTTCCCTTTTTGTGCTGCCGCTCGCCCCCCTCTCTCGCCGTTCGGACAGGCAGGTACATAGACGGACAGACAGACGCCCTGGTGACTGCACCTTTTGTGGACGACGGCTGTACAGAAGACGGTTTTCCCGGGCGCTACATATCCGAATCAAACCCCGGTCACGACTTGTGATATATTTCCCCCCCCCCCCCCCCCCCCCCTTGTCGATAAGTAACTCCATTCAAGGCCCCTCGACTGTTCGAAGACTCGTCACGTCGTCGGAAGTTTCAACCGTCCCCTCCTCTCGGCTCTGCTGTACTACAATCATATCAAGTGCTGTTTAGGGTAAGAGGTTATCTATCCTTCTGGCGTTACGTTCTTGGAGCAATTTGTTCACCATCCATTTCCATTCCGTCAGAACCTTCGAACGCGTTTCCGAATCCGAATCCATTCGACGTAACCTTCCCTCATCCCTCCCATCAAACAAGAACTCGTGTGCGTGCGTCAAACCAACGCAGCGCAAAACCCAACGTGGAATCTCAAATCTCAATCATCTTTACTCTCTTCTCCTCTCGGGGCTATCAAAGAACGTTACCCAAATCTATCTTTATGTCCTGCGTGAAGATTGCTACTATTATGGTACGTCAATCTCCTGCCTTGCTTGTGTGTGGTGCTTTTTTGTTACGGTGTGTCGGCGTGACATTTTGTTTGGTTCCTTCTCCCCCTTGGGGAGTCAGGGTCACCGGTGACCTATGTATCCCATCGATTCGATTTCCCGTTGTTTCGCGTTTTTTTCCCATCATGTTCTGCGTTAACTCCGTTGGTGGGATTGGTGTACTTAAGACGCTGTTGGTGTGGGTTGGAAAATCAAGCGCCCGTTTGGTCTCTCTTTTCCCCCTCTCCACCCGCATTCTGAGGCCTTCCCCCTTCCTTCACCGGACGCGATCATTCCTCCCTTCACCTTCTTCTTCCCGTTATTACGCCTCTTTTTACTCTCTTACTCGCTCCTTCCTCCGTCATGAACTAGAAATAGTTGCGACTAACACTGCCTTTTCAACTTTTTCCCCTTGCGTAGCCTTCGCATTACACGACCATCGGGGCCGTTCCCACCAAGGATTTAAAGCTACACGTCCACCCTGCATCATCATCGAGTCCAATGGCGTTCCCTACCGCTGCCCGCACGAAGCCACGCCGGCCCTCCCTGCAGCAGAGCACCTGGCCGCTCATGACCAACACGATCGCCGTCTCCGGGCCCCCCTCCGCATCGCCCTTCTCCCCCTCCTCCAACGCCCCAAACCTGCGCAACGTATCGGAAATCATCCCCCGGCTCTACATCTCTGACCTCGCGTTCGCCGAGAACCCCTCGGCTCTGTCGAGTTACAGGATCACACACGTCCTCTCGACCCTACCTGATACCATCTTCTGTCCCCCGCCGACGCTCCTACCGCTCCAGCCCGCGCGCCTCCAGATCCGGGTGGACGACCTCCCATTCGCAGAGCTCGCTGCCCACCTGCCGACGACGACCGCCTTCATCCGGGACGCATTGGCGCACAACCCCGAAGCGCGCGTGCTCGTGCACTGCGTGGAGGGGATCAGCCGGAGCGTGAGCGTGGTCGCTGCGTACCTGATGGCGCAGTACGGGTGGACGCCGGTGGAAGCTGTGCAGTTTGTGAAGAGCAAGAGGGTGGTGGCGGACCCGAATTTTGGGTTTGTGCAGCAGTTGCATGAGTATGCGAGGACGGCGCTTGGGAGGCAGCAGTGTGTGGCGCCGGGGGTGCCGCAGTATTGTGGAGGGAGTACGACGTAGGAGGGTGTGTTTGGAGGTTGTACTCCTTCGATTCGTTTGACCCACACTCCGCTACTGCCCGTTGCACGTCTGCCGCTGCGTCCCCGCCAATCTTGCGATTCGAGATTCCCGACTTTGGGACCCCGACATACGACACGCGGGCACGCACTGCACCCCTATCTTCCACCCCCTTCAAACACCATACCCTTCCGGCGTCCCACATCCATCATCGTACCAGGGTTCTCGTATGTAATACCCCGACCCGTCGAACACATTACGCGACCCAACACACACCCTACACGACGCACATGTTACATACGCGAACCACCCACAACCAAAGGGCTATACGCGAACCACAATCAACACGTTACACGAACCACACCCAAAAGGTTACGCGACCTCAATCCAACAGGTTACGCGACCCCCTCAATCAACAGGTTACGCGAGCCCTCCCTCAATCAACAACGTTACGCGACTCGCAGCATGCGTCATGCGCCTCTCCGACCCGAGCTCAGGGCGCCACCTTGACTTATTCGTCTTACAGCAACACTTTTTTCTAATCGGTTTTTATGATGATGGATGGAGGAAGAGAGGGAGGAGGAAGGGTTTCGTGATTGTCGAGTTGGGTTTAGGGTGTCGGGTCTCGTGTGTTCAGACAGGACAGGTGCACTGCACCAGCGGTCCTCAGCTTCTACGTACTACACCCTCGGCGTTATCCTTTCCGGATCCCATCCTTGGATGGACGGGATGGGAGGGGGATTGAATACATACATTCATCCATCCGTCGTCCGTCGTCGCCTTGGTACCTCCACAGCAACTACCCGGCGCGATACAGAATGTATGGATAGACATCTATCAGTCATCGGGTCCCTTACGTGGCTACGCCCATCCAGCTTCCAAACGTCCGACGTCCATGCTTCGCGTTGTACTATTATATTGTGGCTTTATGGAGTTTTCGTGGAGTTGTCGTGGTCGCTTCTCGGGTTTGTTGTTGGGCGGGATGACGGCTGGCTGGCTGGGTTGAGGCGGCGGCGGGATTCGGTGGGGTCTGGGTGGCGCTTTTCTTTTTCCGTGACGGGTGGTTTTGATGTTGGAGTTTTGGCGCGCTGCCGCTGCATGTAATTTGTGCACTGGTATCGTGGACTGCGCCCTCCCAACGGATTGATCGTATAGGCCCCCGTGTTTTTAATTCAGTTGGGTTTTGGCGACGTATGCTATCGTTGTAGTTTAATCACGCTACTTATCTACGCAGAAACGATCTCACTTCGTTATCAGCAGAAGGGTTACTTACATACTGTGTTCGTACTGGTAGAATCAATTGTATTTGTATTCAGACGATTCATTTCTTGTTTTTCTCCTGAGGAGTCGCAATTGCATAACACGTACAGAGGATTAACTTTCCCTCTCTCGGTTCCTTCAGTGACAATCATCTATTCCATTCTATTTATGGAGCCGTTTCTACGTTCCGAAGTCCTCTACTATGGTTATAATACCCCATTCTCCGGTGGTTAACTGGAAACTACTATATCACGGACTATGACACTCCCGTTTCCTCTCTCATACGTTTTGGCAGTGCACAGGGTACCGATTTACTACAACTACTACTGAAGTTTGACAGGTCCCTGGGCTTACCATAGTCCGTAGGCGTACCTAGATGCCAATCAAATATATTGCTTACAATATGACTTGAATTTATCTGACGCTCAGATGATCATGACAGACGAGACTCGGTCTCGGACGCGCAGGGTCCGTAAGTTTTTGTGAAGCTAGGCCTTTCATGGGACGTTTTGAAGTTGACGTATACTTCAACTGGATGTCATGGATCAGGTCCGGGTCAACGTCGCTATCACACAATTCGACGCCATTATATTACAAGTAGGAGTGAGGATGAACATATGCATGCGTCCCAGTGAACAACAGTCTTCAAGACGACATTGCAACATTGAGCCCCGAACTTCGAACTTCAAACTGTCTGTCCTCGGATGCCGTACCTGAATAAGATGCATCCCGTCGCGGAGTTGGACATCTGTACATCTATATTGTATGCGTAGGGAGTTGTAGTCCATGTGCCTATTGCAGCCAATTCCAAAACCCTAGACGTTTTCCATTTTTTGGATACATGTCTCCTCGGGTTATATAATCGCTGTAAATGGCAAGGCGACGCGTAGGAGAGCGGTCGCATGCTCGGCTCCTGCCAGTGGGGAGTTGGAGGTACTGATAAATATGGTGGTGGTTGGCTAGGGTTGGCTCTGTGTCGATGGTAAGGGCGGGGCGGGGCGGACGGTGTTGCGTCACCTTTGCTCAAAATGGTATACTTTGGGTATGTATCGAAAAAATGGAAAACGTCTAGGGTTTTGGAGTTAGCTGTGATATACATACAAGTAACAAGTCCGAGCCCAACTGAGGTCTTGAACGGATTCGAAGTGATGGAGGTCACTCGACCACGGAGGTCTCGGGCTTGTTGGTGATGTCGGTGTTGCGCCGTACGAATGGAGGGAAAGGCTTTAGCGCGAGCGTATCATGAGGCTTTGGGGGCTTGGAGGTTACCATATCGCTTTCGTTTCGTGTATGATGAAATATGAGTACCGTGGAGCGCTTAGTACCAGTCCGATCCACTCGACACGGTTGCTTACCAGACTACAAGCCAGAACTCAGTCCGCCTCTCTGGAGTTCCGGCATATCGTACTTCCCTGAAACAGTCCAGATCAACCCCGTAGAAGTAGCCTTCAGAGACTTTCGTATGACGTAGGCTTACGCTTAGGCATTTTTTTGACGGAACTTCTCTGAATGCATCGAGTAAAAGCTGAAATTGTCATGTTGACCTCCGTCCGACTCGGAGATCGGAAGGTATGCTTTGTGGATGAGATTGAGGCAGTGGAATGGAGCTGTTCAGGATATACATGGCGTTTATGGGTAGTATAACGGTAGCCTTCATGCTAAAAGATATTACTAACTCTATCCATCTCTCTCGAAGTGAGTTCAACCACCATAAGTTCAATGGAATTTGGAATCTGATGAGGTTTCGCCATTCAAATTGTGGGACGTGCAGTACACGCTGAAAAGGGTAAGCCGAGTTCCAATAATTCGTTATGTCAAGTTGCATCCTTTGAGTACATATCGTTATTGTGAATAGGAGGTGTTCACATAGACGCCTCCTTGAAACACCGCTCATACAGATGTGGGCGTCCACGATGGAACCTGCTTCGATAGTACGGGCCGTTCTTGAGATCCGAAACACACCTTCTGTCATCTCCGCTATCTCTTCTCTACCCTGGCCTCGACATCCGAATTGAACAGGAGTCAGAGTCCAATGCTCTTCTTGGGCGCGCATTCTTTGTCCTACGGTGGTATCTCAGTTCGCTGGGGAGACGATTTCTGACCGCGTCTGATGGCAATCCAATGGACATGTTTACGCTCCTCGAGGAGTGATTTATGGCCATGGAGTTAGACCTTCTGCTCCGCCGTGAGCGGATTCAACAGAAATATGCGATTGGATTGATGAATGCTCACCTCGAGTCTGAAGGATGGCCCGCCAGTTGGAGTAAATTCGCGTTGATTATCTACATCCCCGCGGAGCTCGACTCTTTGGTGTGCGTTTACTCCATTCCTCCTCCTTTGATGAATACTAAGTCCTGCCGTTGGATCAAAAACCTAAAGTTGTTTTTGGTGAAACGATTTCTCAACTTGGAATGTTCCAACGAATGGAAGGTAGGGTGTATGGACTCCTCGGGTTTCACGCCTGAGGCCTGAAGGGCCCGTCTTTTTCGCTGCATTACCTGTTATGTCTGAGGGATACCCATCGAGCATCGAGGGAGTCCACAGCCGTGTCCTTCCCTTTGAGGCCGCAAGAATTCATCAAAAATTCAGTCTTCAAACCTGCTGCCACCAATGGTCGAACCCGAAGTTTCTTCGAGTGATGCCCGGTACGAACTTAATGGAAGTTTCTGTCGGATAATTATTATCAAACAAAAGAGCGATGGCCGCTTTCTATACTTCGTAGAAATATTTCAACGCCAAATTGAAAAATCGCAAGAACCTCCGAGGACCTCGCACTACATAGCATCGCAGTCCTGAATGCCAATGGCTGTAGAAATGTTTGGATATGACTGTTTGATTCCTCTGCGGATCCAAACCCGGACGTGTAGTGCGGCCGTTGCATCTGGGAGTCAGCCTGATTGACGCAAACTCCAGGCCAAACAGGTCAGTCAGAGGACAGCTAGCCCTTTCTTTGATTCAGATGCGGGCACGTCCATCGACCGGACCATTCCTCAGTGATAAAGCAATCTTATTCTGGTCTAATGCTATGTTGCCCCCTGATGACCTTCCGTTTGACGGGCAACTGCCTCTGTTTCTGTTGACCTCTGGATGCGTGCCTTAGTAGGTTTCGGAGCTCCGAGTAGATTCAAATCTCGTCCAGATAATCATGCCATTTCGATGGCAGCACACCTCATCTACCAGAAGTCAGTCTGCCCTCAGACGACGATAACAGCCTCATCACTTTGTTATCTAGCCGATTCCGGCCGAATTGGGGACCTATTGTGATAAGCGCCCCAGACACTCATCAATCACTCGTATAAGAACCGGCGGTCACAAAGCGAGCGCCCAACGTCCCGTTTCGTAACACGGGACGTCAGAAATTATCATGATAGTTCATCTCCTCGAAGATAGGCCTTCCCCAGCAGTAGTTATACAGGGCTGGAATTGATAAATTAAACGGGCGCTTATGTAGATCAGTTCCCCGGTGAATCGGAAATTCTAAAACCCAAGTTCTTGGGGTCTCTGATTTACCGGTAAAGATAATCAGAACAGAGATATGAGCGTCCTTCCACCTCCTCGAAGTCCAGAAGCAATCAAGAGCGTGCGAAGTTCGTTCGTTCATTCAATCCACAGCACTCATGAAGTAGGCGGGAAAAGAGGAAACGAAATGACCCAAGAATATAATAACCTGCATCCTATCTATAAAAATCAAATGATAGATTCAGAGAAAATCAATACGAGTGCAGTTCCTAACCGCAAGCCCAATGACCACTCCAACATCTACCACTTCCCCTTCAAAGTCCCACCATAAAACAAATACTTCGCATAAAGCATCATAGAACACCCCAAAATAATCGCTCCGCCTGTTGGATCAATAAATGTCACAACTAGTCCCCAGCGGGCGGTGGAAGGACGACGTACCAGCATAGTAACTAACAGCATGCATCCCCCCAGTCTTATCATACAAAGCGCCCGAAATAGGCGGACCAACAAGCGCCCCGATAGACGTGAAGAACATCACGATGCCTACCCGGCGGCCTACGTCCCCCATGTCGCCTAGTGTGTACAAGGGGAGGTTGAACACTGAGGCGAAAGCGGAGTTGCACATCCTTGAATTGGAAAAACACGAAGTGGGAATTAACTGTGGGATGCGAGGAGGGAAGGCGATGAGGAGTACTCACCCATAAAGAACAGCTAACGCAATCAGCGACCCCTTCGTCGTCGCATACGGCCAAGCGAATGTGAGAATCGCAGCCGAGAGCGTGAAGGGTACGATCACATTCACCGCGCCTAAATTCGTCCGTTTCAAGGTTCGGTCATTCCCCAACCATAACAGCCAAAAGAAACTCGGTAGTGAATGGGACCAAACTCACCAAACCGATCAGCCAAAAGCCCGATAGCAACACGCGTAGGCGCAGCACTCGCATTGGCGATGCTAACGAGATAGAAAGAGAATTCAGGTGAGATGCCCGCTCGAGTCGCTCCGATGTCGATATAGGTCAGAACTGTAAGAAGGTTCAAGAGAGTCATAAGGTTCCCGAATCCTCCGTCGGTTAAGAGTAGGTAATGCGTACCAGTATAGATCCCCAGGAAAATAACCAACGTCGACCCACAATAAACCGAAAAAGTCTTGTTCTTGAACACGGCAAGGTTGAAGATTCCACCGGGCATATTCTTAGGAGGTAGCCTCCTCGAAACGAGGATACTAGCCGAACCTAAGGCGAACGCGGAGAAGAAGCCCATGATGCGCATTGTCCATGGGAACCTGGAGAGAAAGATTTTCGATGAACGCGGTTGATATCGAGCAGAGGTGATTGAGTACAAAGGGAGAAAGATACACACCCTACGAGAGGAATAAGTTCCCGGGCAGCAATAGGATACACCGCTCCTCCGGCTGAAGCACCCACAGCCGCCAGACCAAACACCAACCCCCGTCGTTTATACCACCAATGCGCAACAACAGGGAAAAGAGCCCCGTCACATATACCCGCCCCGAGCTAGAAAGCAACAACCCAAAGTATCAGCATAGCAAGACAGAGGACAGCTGGTCCGAGAATCAGGAAGTAAAGACACGTACACCAAGCATGATACCCTGGGTCACCAACAGCTGCCAGTACTTTGTCGACTCGGCGATGAGAAAGATAGCCAAGACAGCGATCGAGGCGCCTGTTATGAAGGGTACTTTGAAGTAGCCGAGGTCACATAATCGACCAGCGAAGACTCCAGGGATGTAGACGAGGGAGTACTGCATCGAACCTATCCATGCGCTGTATAGGTAAAGGAGACATAGAGAATGAACCGTTGGGTGAGTTTGAGGTGATTTAAAGGAGAGAAGCGGATACCCCAGACGCACATAGCAGAAGGGGAGGTCGTCGGTAACATCGTCGTCTCATAGTAAGCCTGGAATACACCCCAAGAATTGGCAAAACCAAAGCTACCAGTCGTAGGCTTGAATCAGTTCGAAGTTTATCGGGAAAGAAGGGTCCCCAGAGAACCCCGCTTACGTCGAGAACGTCACCAAAGTTCCCTGTACACAAAAGATCCCAAAGTAAACTTTTCCTGAAAATGCTTGGCAAGAGCTGAACGTACCCCAATGACGACCATCCAAGCTCTCAAGCCTCCATCTGGATATACGATATCCTCGTCCTTCCAATCCGAACCTAAGCTCGCCTGACTTGCGTCGCTCGCCAGCTTCAATACGCCTTTCACTTTTTCCAATACCCCCACTTTCTCCTCCTCCATCTTCCCATTTTCATTCCCATTCCCATTCGCCTTTTCGTCAGGACAAGATTTCTCGCATGACTGCCTGTTTGAATCGTTCAAAGCCGCCAACTGCAGAGACTCCTGGTGGTGGTTCGTTGTCAAGTCCGACCGACCCGGGATTGCATATTGACTTACCGGAGTCGACGTCGGTTCGCGGGGTGCAGTTTGATCTGGTGTCGTCGGTTCATTCGTATTTCCTGACAACGTCTCCATGATGTATGAGATATGCGGGGTATTTGAAACGGCGCGACAAGAGCTGCTCCGAAAGCCAGAGAAGGGGAAGGAAAAGCAAGGAGATTTCCAGGACCGCACGAAATGAACGAGTTGAGGCTCGAAAGCCCCGAGGGCCGATGATATAAGTATGTAGCGTACCACCAGTGCATGAATTCAGGGGGCAACTTGTGGAGAAAGGGTCGTCTGACTCGATGTCCTTAGTCGCCTATAAAAGAGGGTTTTTACTTCCGGTTGCCGGAATCAAGTACCCGTTCGACCAATCGGAACATGGTTGGACTGGCAAGGGCGCCGTGAGGTTTGCGCTGTGTATCGAGGGCTTGGAATCAGAATTCATCCCTGTCTAAAGTCAATATTGGATAGTTCCATAAAGCGAGAAAGCCCAAGTGAAGTGATACAGAATTCTATATAGTACGAGTAGATTTTATGATACGGAGTATGCGATGGATGTTCCATCGCGGTCTATGTCTAATCAAAAGCCCTGTTCCAATCACCATTTGCCCCACCACCTTCCAAGATACATGTATCTCGCAGTAAGCATCAGAACCGTCGAAAGGATGATTGCGCTCCCTAAACCCTCGGATGAGTATGGCCTTTAAGCGAGGTTAGAGTGAAAGACTTACCAGCGTAATAACTGACCGCATGGAACCCTCCACTCGCGTTATAGATCGCGCCAGAGATAGGGGGTCCAACAAGTGCACCAATCGCAGTGAACATACACACAGTGCCCACCCGTCTTCCAATATCGCCCATCTCGCCCAAGAAATACAGCGGCAAGTTAAACGCCGATACAAAAGCCGAGTTCGAAAACCTGAAATCATACTCAGCGACTCTGTCCTCCGTCAGCATCCAAGAAATCGAGAGACATACCCATAGAGAATCGCGAGCGCAACCAAGGCACCCTTCGTCTTTGCATAAGGCCAGGCAAAGGTCAAGGCAGCCGCTATCCATGTCATTGGAACAATGACATTAACCGCGCCTATAAGCCTGTCAGCTCTTCTACTGGTCGAGAAAAGTGACGAAATGACACCCACCCAGTTGATCGGCAAGGAAACCGGTGAACACACGGCTCACAGCAGCACTACCATTGGCAATGCTGACGAGGTAGAAGGTAAATTCTGGTGAGACACCAACCCGGGTTGCTCCAACGTCGATGTAGGTCAGTACTAGAAGGGGAGTGACAGCCTGCATCAGAAGAGACGTCAATTAACAAATTAAAGGGGAACTTACCGGTGTAAATCCCCAAGAAGCACGAGAACACAGAGGCACAATAGATCGAAAAGATCGGATTTTTGAACACCCTGACGTTGAAGATACCTCCAGGCATATTCTTTGGAGGAAGTCTTCGTGCAAGCACTATGCTAGCGAAGCCAAGCGTCGTCACAATCATGAAGGCCATGATACGCATGGTCCATGGGAACCTATACGAAGAAAGGTAAGTGAAGGAAATGGTTTCTAAATGCGAGCGGGAGAACCTTCCCTACGAGTGGTATTAGCTGCCTCGCAGCGATGGGATACACCGTTCCTCCAGCTGAGGCTCCAAGGGCAGTTAGGCCCATAGCCAACCCCCGTCTTTTTAAAAACCAGTGGCCGATGATGGGAAGCGTCGCACCAAACGCTATCCCTGATCCCAGCTACGACTAAATTAGGATGGACAGATGAGCGAAAGGGACAGGAAGCTCACCCCCAAGAACAACCCCTGGCACAACAAGAAATGCCAGTACTGCGTACATTCGGCCAGTAGAAATGCAGCGACAACGGCAAAGGTTATTCCGATGGTGAAGGGAACCCGGAAGTAACCCAGGTCACATAGGCGTCCCATGAAGATACCTGGGGAGAATACTAATGCATACTAAAGTGGAGTTAGCAACGTTCGAGCGGAGCAACGTGCGCCTTCAAATTTCAAGTGTCACACTTGCCTGTAGGGAACCAATCCAAGCACTAAGGGGACCGGCGAGCAACGGTTAGATCGGCGAGAGCGTAGTGGGGCTTACACCTACATCGTAGAAGGCGAGGTCGTTGGTAAGATGTCTGTTTCGTAATAAGATTGGAATACCTGTTCAAGGGAGAGGGTCAGCTATGACCGGAGAACATGAGCAAGATATTCAACGTACACCCCAAGCGTTCGCAAATCCGAACCTGCAGAGTCGTGTAGTCAATTATGTCCCAAAGAAGTGACAGAGAACGTACGTCGAAAAATTGGTCAACATCGCCTAACCAATAGTTAAAGATACCAAGGAGGTGAAAGAAAAGCGCCAAATGGAAAGAAGACGTACCCCTACAACCACCAACCACGCCCTCAGCCCCCCGTCAGGGTACTCGATGTCCTCGTCCCGCCATTCGCCTTCCACTTTGACGTCACCGCCCTTTTCTTTTTCTCGGGACAACGAGCTCCTCGAGGATTCAGGATCTTGCACCCTCGAAACCCCGCCGTCTTCCAGTCGCGTACTCGCTACAGAACATTGCGCCGTTGATATCCTTGAGCTGGCAGGAGGAAAGCAGTCCATTATGTGCCCGAAGCCGAGAGGAAACGCGGAAAGAAGAAGCGGAAGAGGGCAATAAATGGGATCAACGGTCGACGTTGATGCTCACACCTTGATATAATCAGACGTGCAATGCTTTAGGGGCCCGGTGGGAGCTGTTGATGACAAACAACGCGACCGCCTGATCACAAACCATCCCCATTTGGGTCCGTTCCTGCCTGGAAAGGGACGGAGCAATCTCCGCGCCGCGTGGCGGGCAAAGAAGACGCCGAATGCCGGATCCTGCCAGCGAAGTGGAAGGAGGGAAGGTTTTATTTATGTACTTCGACGCCCGACCAGGCCTGGAAGTGGAAAGCGACAAAGATGCATATATCGCATTTGAAACCGATACCCAGTGCACCCTATTACTGTCTACAATTCAACCGATTCAGCAATTTGACATTCATATATAGTATGTGGACCACTCGAGTCAAATCCCAAACAGATGGGGAAAGCGAGCATTCACCAAATTCCAATAGTGACAATATTTAGTCTGAACAAATGTAAGAGGTTAGCCAGGCAATCAACTCGACCTCAAAGTCACCCTACCTTGTACGCGCAACCATCAAACGGCGTCATAGGCCGCAAGAGCCTGCCAATCCCCATTCTCGTACAAACCCGCAATGACCTCTGCAGCGCCGGGCTCATCTGGTACCAAAATGTCATGGGCCACACCGTCGGCGTCCTCGTAGCTGAAACTATCAGGCACAGCGCACTCATCCGTGCCCTCCGCCGAGTCGACGTCGTCTCCAGGAGCGAACCATGCGACTGCATCCACGTTGGTACCACTACCAGTCCAGCATTGGGTGCCTGGACCGCTGACGAGGACGGGACTGACTCTGTTGCTCCAAGTGAAGCCACGGGGCCCATTAGACACCCGATTGCTCCAAGTAAAGCCGCGTGGGCTATTAGGCACCCTATTGCTCCAGGTAAAGCCGCGCGGGCTATTGGGCACCCTATTGCTCCAGGTAAAACCTCGAGGGCCATTGGCTACCCTGTTGCTCCAGGTATAGTCACTCCGGTCGAGCTCCCTGTTACTCCAAGTAAACCCAAGGCCTTGAGCATCGCCCGGGAGGTTATCGTATTGGACAGAATATCCGTAGTCTGCTGGGATCGGCCCACAGCAGACATTGCTGGCCGTGTTGCAGTTAAAGCTGGCGCCACTGCAGCTGATTTGATCTTTGTAGGCTCGTAGGGTGAGAGCTGTAGCCTTGTCTGCGATTGTGATAAAGTACGCAGCGACGAAGAAAGATACAAGTTGAACTAGCTTCATGGGGTGATTTTCGCGATAGTGATGGGGGTTATCCAGAAGAGGAAGAGGAAAACAGATTGCAGAGCTGATAAACTGAGGGCAATCTCATTTATCATCCCCTGTAGAGCGTAAGTTTGCGAGAACCGCTGTCACACTCACAGGACGAAGACTACGATCTTGAACCTAACGTTCATCCCGCAGATAATCGTGTTTGGACAAAGAAGCCTTGGCTGGAGTAAGCATCGTAGCTATGTACGGACAAAGTCGATTGACTGGGTAGACAGGTCTCACGAGGTGTCGAAAAAAATGCCAGAAAGCTGTTTGACAGATCGTTGGGTACAGGCGAACGTGCTTCTCGTGCCTCGCTCTATCAACCTACTCACGCAGTAGCCTCGCTCTAGCCCCACCAGTATTGCCCTAAAGCAAGCTTAATACACCGGTGACCTTCGAGACCGCAACACTGGACTCTTGTCACCCTAAATCGCTATACCATTAACCAATCGAACATACCATACTAAATTCTACCATTAAATTACTCTATCATTCCAAATCTGTATCACTACCCTCATTATCCGTCTCAACATCCGTCTCCCCATCGATCTCCCTCTCGGCCCTCCCCGATCCCCAAGCCTGAAGATCTCCACCCCCACCCCCACCACTACCCACCACCGAGCCACCAAAGGGAGACGCAGCGAGTCCCAAAGACGACGTCGACGGAGGAACCTGGTTCGAAGCAGCTCTAGGTCTCGTAGGACCACCCACCCCCGCAAACGCACCTCCCCTCGCACTCGCACCGCCCAAACCAAGCATATACATATTGCTGATCGCCCTCGCCCTCGGTGCAGTCCCAATCGGCGACATCCCGGGCCTCGAACCCAGATCGAACGTCCTAAATGCACCCACACCGACCCCATCGCCCAAAGGCGAGGGACCGGGACTTGCACTAGTAGCCGGCGTCGTCGAATTCGTAGGGGCACTCGGCTCAATCCTAGGCATCGGAACCTTCAGCTCTAGACTTGCCAAAACGTCAGCCGATGAATTCGAATTCGACCCTGACGCCGACGTAGCCTGTGACGAAGGCGCGGCGCTGGAGGGTGTCCTCAACCCACTCTGCAAAGACGGGGAGTGTCGCAACCTCGGGCTGGTCATAATATCTCCAAACGTCGCAGGGGGTGTCGGTGGAGTGGCCGTTGTTGGTGAACTGGCGTTGCGAATCCAAGATTTCCAAGACGAGGTGGAGGTTGATGGGGTCTTCGTCGACGAGGGTAAAGGTGAGGAAGTAGAGTGTGCCAGGGGTATAGCCTGATGGCGAGGCGTGGTGTTCAACAATTCGGAAAAGCTGGATTTGGGACTCGTCTTGGGGGTGCGAGGTGTCGATGGCCATGCCGCAGGTGGTGCAGGGTCGGAGTCGGGACCATGAATAGCGCGCTTGATCGCAGCGATATCGTGTTGGGCATCGTCCAACTTGCGCTGGAAGGTTTCTCGAGCTTTACGAACATTTGCATCCGTCCCCGATACGAAAGCTTGCACCTGCTCTTCTACATCCGAACGTCGTCTGGGTCCTGGAGGTATCGATGGAGAGTCCAGGTTAAATGTTGCTGATGAAGGTGTGCCGGGGGCGGAGATAGCACCAGGTACGACAAGCAGAGTCTCGTAACCTCTGGCGAGCAACTCTTCATCCGAGACCTGAATCTCCAGTTCGACGCGAGCATCTTCGATGAAGTCGTTGAGGCGGTCGAGGACGACCTGCAGAACCTCGGTCGGGATTGGGGTCGGCGTCCGCGAAGCTGATGCTTGCACGACAGATTCCCTGAGAGACTCCAGGCCAAGCTGACAGTCCCTAAACCCGCGCTGAAGGTCGTCGTATCGCCGGCCAATTCTTTTGAGCCCGTGCAATAATTGCACTGCCAATGCAGATTCGGAGGTCGAACCGTCAGGTAGAGATTGGGTCAGGGTCAGCAAAGGTGTCGACGGCGAGGATGGCTGGGATGGAGTCGGAGAAGTGTTATGCAGTTCTTTGGGTCGCATGGTCGGCGTGAGTTCAACCACGGAATGCACCGTCGCTGTACGCCTGGGGGAAATCTTGGGCGATGACGGGGCTGACTGGGATACAGGGAATGGCACTGGCGTATTTTCCAACACCGAGGTGTCGTCAGTGTGTATGGGTGTCTCCCATGGGTTGGGAACTTCAGGTGGGAGCGACGATGTCCGCTGTAACGTCTTCGGAGATTCAGGAGGCTGAACAACGATGTCGATTGTCGATTTCAATTCAGAGTCGGCGAGGAGAACTGGTGAAACCGGAGAGTTAGATCGAGTCGATGTGCGTGTTTGGGGTGATCGTGGCGTGGGTGAAAGGGAAATGGGAGCTGGTCTATGAGGGGACCGTCGTTTGACGGGAGGTTGCGATGTGGGGGCGACATCCCCGGACATCCAACCCTCAGGGGGTATCCATTCGTCCTCCGGTTGAATGTCGTTCGGAACCTGTCCCCCGAGCTCTACGACAAGCCTCCTTAGCTGCAACTGCCTTGACTTCTCCACCTGGAATTCCTTCTTCAACTCCTGCACCAACCAGTCCGCCACCAGCAGTCGACCCATCGAACCCGATACCGACGTCTCTTGACGACCATCGGGCGATGGTATACTCGGGGGATGCAGGCCCGAAAGGATGGTGTGGGCCTCTCGGTTAATCCTCGCCAACGCGTCATGCTCGGGGGTGTCTGTCGGAAGACGCAGAAGAGCTTCTTCAGAACGAAGGAGCCACCGCTGAATATTCTCGTGCAGTCGCTCCTCCCGAGAGAGCATTCGGATACGGGTAGCGACCTCGTGTCGTCGACCGAATGATTCTTTCATGAGATCGCCTCCGAGTTCATCGAGGGCATTTCGGAAACGTTCGACTTGGGCCTGAGATGCTTCGAGCTGTGCTGTCAGATTGTAGGCTTTCGAGGTGAGAGTATTGACTGTCGCAGAATGGCGGGTTTTGAGCGAGGCGATGTTGGTTTGCAGGGTATCCGTCTGCGCTTGCGAGAACTTCCTGCAGTAAAGTTCATATCTGAAGTCGAAGACAAGGAAAAGCGACGTACATGTATCGAGAAACCATCTTTGCTGCAGTTCTATCTTCCACCTGTAGTCGCTCTACTTCAGCTTCAGCTTGAGATCGAGCTTCGCGGTCCAATTCTGCGCCCTTCCGCTCTTCGTCAAGTCTGGCCTCCAAAATCGCGAATTCTGCCTGTAGCTTGTCGATCTGCTGCTCGAGCCGTTCGGCTTCTTCCCTACGCTCCCGCATCAACTGGGCGAGCATACCCTTTCCCTCCACGAACCCGTTCGCGAGGCTGGCCGCTGCTGTCTTCACTGGCCCGTCTGATGACTTGTCTGTCATCGACCGAACCAGGTTAGCGTACTCGCTCACAGCGAGGTCTGCCATCTTCGCCTTCTCCTCTGCAAGTCGTACTTCATGTTCCAATTGCCGTTCGCGTTGCTTGAGGGCCTCCTCCCGACCTCGAATACGCGCTGCAAGCTCGTATGCCCTCTCTTCCGCCATCTTGGCCTTGACAGCCTCGCTCTTGACATTGTTGAGTTGGTTGGTGAGGGAAAGGACTACGTTTTCCGTTTGAGACAGCTTCTCGGAGAGTTTGCGAAGCGACAAGGTCAATTCCTGGACCTGGGTAGGCTGTGGTATCGAATCTGGATGAGGAACAGTCCGTAGAACCTCGATTTCTTCCCGAAGGTAGTTGTTCTCCTGCTCCAACTGCTGAATCCTTTCATTGGCCTGAGAGGTCTGAAAGACAGCGTTCTGAAGCTTCACAGAATTCCTCTGGTATTCATCCTAATTCAAATTGTCAGAACAACGCAGAGAAATACTGATTAGAACGTGGGCTTGCCTGGAGACGATCTAGGGCCGACTTGAGTCCATTCAATTGGGCGACCACCGGGTGGTCGTTTACCATCGCTGTTTTCGTGAACTGTTCACCGCAACCAGAACCATTAGGCGCCCAGCTGCTGGATCATCGAGGCTAAAAGCGAAAAAGGAGAAGCACCCGCGACGTGGAGATTTGGACACGTGGGAAATAGCGGCCCGTCTCCTCCGCGGGCGTCTAAACGTTTCTGGCCCCTGGGGGACCCGGGTTCAAGGAGGAAGCTCCGTTTCACAGTCGCACGTATTGAATGCGGGCGGTTATGTAGTCCTGGGAGCAGCAATACTCTTCTCTGGGGTATGGTCCGTATGGGCGCTCGACTGAAACCACAGGATACATGTGACGCGGCGTTCTAAGCGTTCCTTGAACGGCGAAGAGTTGAGTCACCGCAATCTTTACACATTACTTGTTGGGTAGGGATCAGGGTGTATCTCAATACACAATCAATAAGCGTGGGCTCTGGGCTCGATCACTCTGTCAGCTCTCACTCTGATTGGCCAACAGAACTTAAAGTTTGTAGGGCCACCATCCACAGGGGTCTGCCTCAGCTCATCCCCATCGACAGAAATTCAAAACTCACACACTATGTATTCTCGTTCCTACTAATGTTCTTCGGATCCTTACTTGGCTGTTCCCAGCCGCAATTCCATATGGATGCCGAAATCGAAATCGAACTCCTACGACCCTTGCATTGAGCTGGCAGTTGCCAGCAACCCACATACCTTTTCTCGAATTGCATCCACTCAGACCGGTTGGCAGCGAAGTTGGCGCACCTTCTCCCAGCCAAACAGCAGGTGATGTTAGGCGTCGAGACACGCTATTCTCTACTTTATGAGGAATGCTTGCGCCGCTAGACTTGGTCATTGCGTCCAGTTTCTCGATTCTGGTGCGTTCCATAATGACTTTCATTCATGGCTCTCCCCTCTAATTAAGCTGCGCTCTAGGCGTACGATTATCTCTGTACATTCTATAGGGAGGCAAGTCGATTATGAAAGTCCGAGAACCGATATCCTCATCGCCGGTGCGGCGGAATGAAACAGGTCCTTTACGCTTGGTCTTCAAGAAGGTGTCTGGGCCTCGTCCTGTTCTACGTCAACCGTTATATCCCAATAGTCGACACGCTCATTCTTTTTCATAGTCAGTCGCACAATAACTCACAGCTTCATCGATATTGACTCTGATACCCAGTTCGCAATGCCTACTTTCGTACATCCGAGGCAAGTCCTTTCGACGTGATCACCGACGTGCTCGCTGATGACCGAAATTACAGCTTTGCCACGCAGTCTCCATTGTTAGAATTCGTATGTCTGCCCACATCTTCAAAGAACCACGATGATGAGACTGACGGTTTGCTCGAAGTGCTGGTGATAATTAGTTCCAACGCTGCTCACTGTGAGTTCGAGCTCCTGCCCTTCGTCGTTCCTTACAAACTTCTACCCAGTTATCATCTACCTTCAAACCCGGGCAATATGGGGAAACAATCGGACAGTCAACACGGTACTGCTGAGCTTGCTCATGGTGAGATCGATTAATGAGTTGTCCGACTACTCCCTAACGCCCATGACAACGTAAACAGATAAAATTCGCCGCCACCCTCGCATTGTGCCATTTCCAAATGTCAACAACGATTTGTCAGTCATCCTCTATCCCGACAAGCTCGCTTATTTGAACTCGCTTTAAAATTTAGGGATCGTAAGACCTGGACTGCGAGGATGTGACGCCGAACCGACAACGGCATATTCTTCTTACCTCCACATCACTGTCTTCTTAAACGAAGTTGGCAAGTGAACTTTCGCACTCTCCCTTTGCCGGACATTCGAAATGACCAGGTTCATAGTGACGATCGGGTTGACTTTGACAAAGGCTTTCGAGCATAGTGTGTTTTATTTCATTTGTACGAGGATCGTGTCTGACCATTCGACGCAGTACGAAGGTCTCGATCGGCTTGGCTTATGCAAATCTACCGCAACGGTGCGCACACTCACTTTCCCCTCCCGCTCACCCTATGCCGTGACTGAGGAATGGACAGGAATTCTGTACTCTGTTTTCGTCCTTGGTTAGTAGCCACTTCTCTGCCATCCGGAGTCTGGTCGGATACGATTGACTTCCCCTTCCAAAGTTCTCGCTCTTTCGAACGCAATCGTTATCCATATCAAATCCTTCGTGAGCAGCGCTTTGTTCCTTAACTTCGAATGAATGCTAATGACGCTCCACCCCGTGCTCCTAGGACCAACCTCCTCTGGGATTACTCGTCCCGTACGTTTCCATTCGCCACTACTTCCTTCTCCGCTCGCCTTTGACTAATCCAACACCCATTTAAGCGCGCAGCATGCTCTTGAATCTGTCCTCTGCAGCAGAATAATCCTCCTCATCCTCAAAGGACAGCGACGCTCAAACTCTCAAGACATCGGCGGCTCCAGCGCATTTACCTTGACAGAAACCGAAAGTATGGAACTTTCGACTTCTCCCCAGAACGAATCGTTGCCGAATTGGAGAATAGGAACTCGAGCCTGAGTAGTGCGTATGAGGTGTGAAGAGTAGATCCTATCATCCTAAGTAGTACATCGGGCGAGGTACCATTCGCTCCGCCTTGCCCTTTTGGTATCGAAATGCTATCCGGTTGGACGTCGGGATGTCGTCCCGAGATGTTGACCAAGGTCACCAATTATGAAGGAGGCCAGAAAATTCCAGTGTAACTTTAGTGAATTTCCTTCGTGCCGACTCAAACAACTGACCTCGTCATTTACGAGTGACACGCGCTACCAACTGAGCTACTTAAAAAGGAGAGTTTGAAGGACCAAATTCTATGCCGAGTCGGGCCTGAACACGATCTACAATCTGAACTGGAGACTTCGACAAATCGCAGCTGGTAACCTGCCAGCCGCATTTATTCATGGTAGCCAATACATATAAAAGTACAGGGATTTGGCCAGCCCTAAATAGATGCAACCAGTGAATCTACGATACAATCACAGGTAATGTACAAATACAGGAGATAATCAAACCAATGCGTAAATCAGCACTATGAATACGTGTCTATTGAAATTCGAAGCAATATAGAGCAGGCAATAGTAAAGGTGAAGAGCAGGCCATTCAACCCCGCCAACCGAAGCCACGGTCTTCCAAGTCTCGTCGCTCCAAAACATTCTTCACGGGAATGCTGGAATCACCGTGACTCCCGTAGTAGCTGGTCAAATATTCGATTTCATACCACATCGACAGGTCGGAGAGGTCGAGAAGACTCCTCGCCCTCCGAGCAAGGCTGACAACGACTTCTTCCAACGGCGAAACTCGTACATCTCGATAGACGCTCTTCTCAGAACGGGAACGCATGAAGTCGAGAAGCACGGTGTCGCTCAAGTCCGTAGCCTTGTTCCCGTCCCAGCGGAAGAAGCGGAGCTTAGGCCAGAGGGAGTGAATTATGAGCTTTCCCAAGAAGATGTTGCGGGTCCTCGTCACAATCCCAGCCCAAGCGCACCCTAGATCGTTGGAGGGAAGTGTGGTGGCAAGAAGGTCCAGCCCGAGCTCAAGCGGCTTTGATAGAGTAGCACATTTCAATTGGAATTGAACAAGGTTTGGTGTGGCGCATGCGATGTCTTCAAGGGTCGAGTTAAGGAAAGGATTGAGCATATCGGGATACGGTGCAGCCTCTTCCAAGAACAGTATCTCCAATTGTTGGCCAAAGCGAGAGATGAATGTCGGCAAGAAAGTCTGGCGAGCAATTACGCTGCAGTTTGCATATACGCCGGCGGGTGGTTGTGTGATAAAAAGTCCGAGGGACTTTAAAGCAGGTAACTCCAGATTAGCGCTGAAAACGAGTGCATCGGGATGGAGATCACCGAATAGTAAATGGAAAGTTTGAAGTTTGGGATGCTTGACGGTTCCCCGAGCGATGATATAGGGGGCTGTCCCGGCGATTGGTGCTACCCAGATGTTGAGATATACCAAGTTAGGTGAAAGAGTGAGGATGTCGCCGACGTGCAAGAATGAAACGTTCATGGTGCGAAGGTGGAGGTGAGTCAAATCGGGCCAAGTGATCACGTTTCTCAGGTAGAGGGGGCAAGGAAGTGACGGCAGCGCTGGAAGATCAAGGTAAAGCCTCGGGGTCGAACGAAGAAACGCTTTCATGCCTTCTAAAATCATTCTCTGGGTGTCCAAGGGGTGCCAAAGGCCTCTATAGTCCGGTAGCTTCAAAGTAAACTTCAACGCCTTGAGGTTCATCCCGATGGTCTCTGAACTCATGGCAGAAAGGTAGTCGACCAAGTAGAGAGTGGAAATGGTGAGGGTAATGTCGAGTTCTTCCCATTGCCCAGCAGTGGAGAAGATTCGTGGATCAATCGTCTCGGTCCCAGATGTGCCAGTTTTGAGATCCATCGTCACGGATAGAGGGAGACCAGGCCCAGTACGTTGAAAGAGCTGTTCAGATTTGTGGACCCAACGATCAAAACGGTCATCCCGATGCCAATAAAGCTCTCCAGGGTATCTCGCAAATCGGCGCAGGTAAATGGCATTCCAAAAGGTGGGAGTGGTGGTCACCAGCATCCTCCATCGTCGACAGACACGACTCAAGGAAAGCAAGATTTTAAGTTTCTCCTTCGGTTCTCCGTCTCTGAGGGTGAGGCAATATTCAAAAACACTCAACAGGATCTCGTTAGCCAAATTGTCAATGGGCGTAGACCGTACGTCCGGGATGAGGTGGAGTAGGGGATGGATCCTATGGCTTTGTTGGTTGCCGTTCTGGTCACTAAGCTCGACAGCAACAGGTGGGATCTGAAGGTAGGTGGCGGGCGGGACAGGGATATCGGGCAATTGCAACAGGACAGCACTTGGCCAGACGGGGGTGTTGGTGGGGGCTTGAAGCAGAATACCGGCCGGGAGCGAGTTCATCGTAGTATGTACTATTTGAATGTGAGCATACAACGTCAAGGTCTCGATGGGCGATGGGAAATACGCACAACAGTGATGTTCTTAGACGTTCTGAAAATGGGCAAGAAATTTGAAGATGAAGTACAGCGACGGGTTTATATAGGTTTTCGGAGCATCTCGCGCCACGGGAAACTTCACGAAGTTAAAGACCGTGTTTGGGTACTCCCAGCGGGATATTTGATCGCTGAGAAGGAGAGATCAATTTCCCTTGGACGCGTCGGACAAAGTTGAAAGGGGCCCATTGTCAAACCTGGACCTTAGCCGACGCTGAGGACACGCGACGGCATTGGGCAATGGGTCAGTGGGGTGGAGCGTCCGTGGTCGTCATGAGATACTGTCCTCTTCACGGTGACAGACATCTTCCGAAAGGATTTGAGAATTCACGACCATCGCGCAGGTGTACATACCATTGTTCGACGGCGCCTAACATGCAAGGTATGAGATTGAGAGTCGAAGGAAAGTTCTCGCGGTTGGTGTGATATTATTGGTATCTAACCCACTTCCCTCAACCTCCGATGACCCGATTAATGGTCTGTCTAATCACAGCAATTGAAATAGTTGGAAACTGTGGGTAGCAGAGCTTTCTCGAGTGGCGCGGCGGTGTGGCACAGGGCCATCTACCCAGCTGAAATCCCCGTTCTCACGTAGTGGCTCGCCACTCGCCGGCTTAGATTAGAGCAACGAAACAAAGGTATCCAACTTTCGCCCATTGTCCGCCTTTTCGGGAGCAAATGCAGACGCTGACAAATCCTTATCCAGTTCACTCGAGCGCTTTGGTTGATCTTTCCTTACTACCACGACCTCGACTTTGCCTGCCAACCCACATTTGGACGCGTTCGAACCATTATACCCCTCCTACAGATGCCAGTTGCTACGCGGCAGTTTGTGGCGCTCCTTGGAGTAGCCATTATTGCCTCTTTACTCTACTTCTACTTCATGAAGGCGACTTCGTCGCGTAGCTCGGTAAATCTTTCGAATTTGAGGCTTCGACATATTCCTGATCGTCTCTCACAATGCGATTAGGTCTCTAACTATATGGGTCCTCTGGCTATTAAAGTTTCTGTCCTGGAAGACGTAGAGACTCAGACCGATAAGGCAGTCACCTCTCCTTGCACCGAACTCGATGAGAAGGTATATCTATCATTGTCCATTCTCCTTGGAGCTCGTGTGGCTAACCTTTACATACAGACTACATATCAATACATTAAAAGCGTTGACGTATTGTCTCTCGAAGTCGCTTTGAGCTCTGAGCAGTCCGCCGTCGACAACGATAACTTAACCTTGAACGCGTTTGCCATCAACGCGACGGTGCCTGCAACTCCCGCGGTCCCAACCTCTCTGACCTGCACAGTTATCCCCTCTCTATCGTCCAAGCGGTGTCAGTCAACCACAATGCCTATTGAAAGAATTTCCTGCAATTCCCCACCAAAGTTCCGTCGAAACCCAAGCCCCTGCCCGAGCCCTCTAGTACCAAAGTGGAACCGACGCCGCCGGGCGATTGTTTACGCCCCAATGACACCCGAACGCAGCCCCCGGAAATGGCGACGCCTCAACTCCAATCGAATCTACCGACACTCGAGCAACGCCGTTTACGACCTCTTCTACTATGGCACCGTTCATCATCCTCGGGTCGTCCGCCTCAACCCGTCTGCGCGTCGGGTGGTCGACTCACCGCCGGATCCCGCTTTGATCGAGATGTTCATGAGCTTCCGCAAAGCTGCCAAAGCTGAAGGTCGGGACTTTATCCTGCCCAAGCCGAGAGTGTAAGGCATCACCCTACGAGAGCCACTCCCATTTCCACCACTTCACGCTCATTACGATGTTCTTTTTGATTTTCTCAGTCTGTTGTTTTAGTATCCCACGTTCCTTTTGCTTCATCTCCCATGCATTTTATCACTCATTTCACATTTTCATGATCATCCAGTAATTACTAGACGCATATACACTGTAGATACATGTACCATAGAAAAAGCATCCTCCATCATCGCCGTTTCAGCATCTTCTTTAGCACACTCGTTAGTATCACTTCCCATCACATTCCTTCGCTGTATCTCACCTCGCATTACACACTCATTCACTCCGTTTTCGCATGTCTTTCTTCAATCTAACATAAAGTAGATATACTGTAGAGTCCTGTAGAACAGAAGAAAATCCACCCAGATCTTTTCCCTAAGTTCTTTTCGAGGTCAAAGCGCCAGCGCGAGCGCCTGGCTGAACGCCCGATTTGGACAACGATCGACTCTGCGCATGGCGCCAGGCACTCGCGGCGCGTGAACGCGTGACGTCATACATATGGTCACTCAAGATAAGGTGATTGATTTTGGTCAAGCTCAAGGTCGACGAAGTAGTAGAATCAGAGGCTGGTAGTACAAGTTCAAATCGTACATATATAGTACTTCTACATCATTCGAAGCTGTAGCTCGGAGAGATCTGTGCATAGTGATCTATCGAGATTCACTCTGGGAAGGCAACGAATTACACATCGTCCCGCGTGGAGTACAAGGTAATAGTGGCGGTAGTCTCTGTTTGTGCAATCGTTTTCCTGAACTGGACGAGTTCGATCTCTCTTGTCGCGAGTGCGGAGACACCAACATCGGGGTCCTTGGCTGCCAGGCGACGGAGGTTGAGGAACATCCGAGTTGTTAGAGTACTGTCGAGGGTGCCCTGGAGACTGTTAAGGGACGGGCGCATGTCTCAGTGTACGCTCATCAGAGGGAAGTGGGAAGGGCGACTCACGATCCGAGGATGAGCTGACCGCCGTTCTGGGGGACAGAATGTTAGAAAATATATACGAACGACGTCTAGATGGAACTCACGGGAGTGCGGGTTAATACTATCATATTCGCAAGTGCCAGTGCTGCCAGTAGAGCAAACGAAATGAGTGAACCACGAACATCCAGATGTAAAATGTTCACGCACCAGCCACAGCAACAAAGTATATCCCTCCATCGACGAAGAAGGTTCTTATCAGTGGGCTCTTCGCTCCCCAGTGCCGCTTGATTCCTAGGTAGAGGCATACGGCCATCACGACTGAGGGTTGTCGGGTCAGTGCTGATGTATGACTCGAGGGCATTGCGACGGAGAGTCACCTATCTGTTCACTGAGAATCAATGCAAAGCAAGCAGTCATGAACTTGTACTCTGCCCTCAATGCTATGCACCCAATTATCGAGGGTATGGGGGAGAGCGCGTCTATAGCATCGTCGCCGTGAGCTCCCTTGCTCGAAGGGAAAGAAACGTGAGGCCCACATACACTCCATGGACCGAAAGAAGAAAATGTAGCAGATAAGACCACAGTTCGTGTTAACCTACAAGCGTTGGTCAGTATATGCACGACTTGCCCTCCGACTCCGAGTTGGACGAACCATCATATACGCCATCAAGAATATCATCATCTTCTTGTTTCTGTCCGCCAGCGCCCATACTCTGATGAATAGAAGAGCTGTCGTCATTGAGATTATACGTCTTTGTTACGTTCGAAAGACGACACTTGGGCAGAGTGCTGCTTACCTTGCGAGGTTCCAACCGAGATCATCATAAGCACTGGGTTCCGCCTCGTATCAGTCCCATCCTCTTCAGAATAGCCCACTGGTAAAGAAGGCCATGTGACCTTCTTGCACTCACCACAGGCAGTGATAAACACAGCATGGCATCTACTCGGCTGAAAGCAGGCGAGTTCATAGAGTGAAGAACAAGAATAACCACAGCAGGACTTACGTCCGCAACATTCTTAACTGCACAACGTTACCCCCACAAAGGCAGTCAGTCCGAGAAGCACGTAAGCGCCCAACGTCTTCCAAAGGTCTGTGACAGAGGGAGCCACATACAGTACATGGACACCCCAATCGTGAAGAAAATAGCATAGCGATTGATGTAGAAGATGGCTTTGACTACGTTGGTTGGGCCGGGCCAGATGTATCTGATCTAGTGTCGCAGGGATACCTGGGTGTGAGAGTTGCGTCGGCTCGATAACTCGATGGGAAGCGAACCTCGAGCTCGAGTGTCTGGAAGTACTCCGCTATCTATCGCACATCCCAAGATACGTGAGCAAATCCCCTAACGCGCATTGTGGGAGGGTAGGTACGCACCAGGATCGCGAGACTCGAAGCTAGAGCATAGAAGCACACAGGTTGCAGTCAGCCAAGTGGTCGAAAGAGAGGAATAGCGATAGCTGGGAAAAGAAGTCGCGTACCGGTGATGTACTGCTCGCAGAAGCCCATAGTCCATCATCACGATCAGTTCAAGTTCCTCGTCCTCGGAATTCCACGACCAAGCGGAACGGAATTGAACGCACGTTGAACAGACTCAGCCGCTTTGTGATGAGAACCTGCTCCTCCCACGACACCGCGCTCCCGACCATCGCTGCCACGGGCTAAGACTAGGAGGAATCCAGTGTGTATTATCGAGCGCCTGCGAGGGCGGTTAGGACGAGTTCTGAATGGGTCTTTCGTCGAGTTGGTGGTGGCGACGGAATGCGAGTGCGGGAACTCGAAGCTGGAGTCGGAGGAGACTGTAACGGGCGGAAACCAAAGCCGAAGAGGATTATTGGACGTCGACGAGGTAGCAACTTTGAGCGGTGACGCTAGCGGTAGACTGGTGGTCAAGTCTCAGGAGGCTAGGATGTCATCTGTACACAGGAACGGGAGAGGAAAGGACTTCCGACAGCAGGGAAGGGACCGGAAGCGAAACAGTATCCTCCTCATCACACACTACCTATATGTTATATGTATTCTCGCAAACCATATCTCCATTGACCAAGGAAGCGGACTAGTGCCCCAGATTCCAACCTGATTCCGACATTTTCGATCGCAGTAAAACGTTCCACGGGGCTTTTTACCTCCCATTGGGAAACTGAATGACTTTCACATATTTCGACGAACACGCAGTTGTGATTGAATTGTGATGTGGGTGATGTCTGTGATGTCGGGGTTTTCCTCAAGCTTCAAGTCTCGAGGTGGGGTCTCAGATGGCCAATAACGATATGTACGTAGTTCGAGTCCAGAACAGATACGAAACCATATGGTAAGTGCGGCATACCCTAAACATAAGTGTGACCTCTACCTTTCACATACAAAGCCTCCAGAACGCTATTACCCCGACGGTCGTGTCAAAACGCGATCCTCGCGACCATTGAATGTATACCCACAATGAATGGATGATCATCATCACCGACACTCCAATAGAATGGAGCTGTAAACATTCCCTTGCTCTGTGGGGAGATTCTGTCGCAACGGAAATGAATCTCGGGGGCATGCGTTCTGGCGCTTGCACTTGCGCTGATCGCACTGCCTGACAGTGTTTGTCGGTGGGTGAGTGAAATAGAGGTGAGAAAGTAAATAGATTCAGTGCTGAAGACTCTGGGCAACGTCGTAAGGGTAATGTAGAGGAAGGATTAATACGCACGCGATGCAAACGCTCAATTCAAAGTACGTAGTGGGATTGATCGTTGGGCGGAGGACTCCTACCACCGACTTTCGGCTAAGTTCAACTTGTCAACCTGTTCTTGGCTGAGCTGCTTTTGGGTGAGTAATTTATATTGGCTGGTCCAGGAACCGCTTGAGCTTCGAGTCTAGTCTGGTGTAGAGGTCAAGCAATATCCACGAGTGGCAGAAGTACTATGTATGGGCTAGAATCTGACCACCTTCCTACATCACCTTCGGGATTGACGGGAAGGCTTTGGTAGGTTTTGTTCACGCAGGGCAAGAAAACCTTTGCTTCCCGGTTTATTTCAAGCACAGCATGGTAGCACTTAGTCCTTACACACCGGTGGTCTGTCTGTCGTCGATTCTTTTCTCCATACGTTTGAAACGCATATGATATTATCACGCAATCGTTGATTGACTGGCGGCGCTTCGAGAAGGTGCTTCATGTATATATAAGTCTGTTCCGAGAGCCTTAAGCTGTACATTACTTCTTCTGTGTCTACTTCGTCGAACTTCGGCCGCTCGTCCAATTCGAACTTGTCCCCCAGAGCACTCGATCCCGCCCGACTCGGACAACGAGAACCACCTCCACAGTCTTCCCCCAGTGCCCACCGAGGTGTATACCACGCTACTAGTATTAGTCGCCGAACGGCTTACATACTATCCACTCATCAGCTCGACCACAAGAGTAAATGAGAGAGACGCATAAGGATAAGCAAGAAGAATCGAAAAGGACCGCAAGGGTGACCGTACCGTATGGGTTCGAATTCTTGAACCCGCGCAGTCATCCCGGGAGTATAAAAGCTAGCGTGCTCAGAGGAAGAGTAGTTTTCTTCTATTTCGTTTCTCTTCTCCGTATTCCTACTCAGAGCGCAATGCCAGCCCCTTTCGCTCCCTCCAGTCGTCGATCTCCATTTATTAAGGGCAGGACGGCCTGATCGCCATTGTCGTTGAACACCACAAGGCTCTCGGGATTGATGTTAGCGCTTCCGTTCAATACAATCCATTGTCGGTCAACTTCCTCATCCATGTCCATCCATGTCCACCTCCTTGGTCAAACTTCTTCCATCCTTTCACCCCTTTCACGCAATGCCTTCCCCGCTCTCAACTTGCCTCGCGGGTGGCTGACCAAGCTCATCTCCGCGCCTCAACGAAGACCACTGACGAACAGGCAGCTTAGTCATTCCCCCAGGCTGGGCGTGTGGATAATTTTTGTTGCAGCCTCGTTGCCGCCTCGCCTCGCAACACAACACAACACGCCCAAACTCAAAAACTCACAAACCCTTTCTCGAACCACCACCTAGTTTCTCTCGACGACCCCGTTTGAACCCTTTCCCAACCTCAAAAAACACCCACGCAGTTTCTTCGAAAGTTTATACACACACAAAAAGTTCGTTATACCTCCAAAGGCCTGTGGTGAACTGAAAAAGATTGAAAAATTTTTTTTTCTTCTCTCTGTGTCGAATTTTTTGACCTACGTCCTCCCCTCTACATCGTATCGTGACGATGCGTTGAACAAATCTCGTCGTCGTCGTCGTTGTCGGTTGTCGACGGTTGTCGGTGCGCGTTGTCGGTTGTCGGTTGTCGATTGTCGATTGTCGTCGTCGTTCGTGAAGATGTCTGGTGCTCGTGGATGCTTCAACTGTGGTGGATGTGCGTGGTTGATTCTTTTTCGATTGTCGTTGTCGTTTTTTCTTCCCCTTTCTCTTATCGAGAGGTCTTCTGACCTCTCTTTCCTTCTCGCCTTTCCTTTTTTTTTTTCTTTCTTTTTTTCGCAAATTCTGCTTTGCGGATCCTCGTTTCAATTTCGCTCGCAAGGCGGTATCTTCCTTCATCTTGGAGGATCATCGAGGACAGAGAGCCCCGTGGAACCGTCGCCTGGAGTCAGGAAACCCGCCCCCTCCAAACCGAAGGATCGCGTACCATCTATATCGATCGCGATCCCCTATCCTCCCGACCTCCCTTTCCACCTCCTCTTCCCCCTTGTCGAGGCGCGATCGGTCGTAATCCGTGGTCTCTTGATTCCCGAGGTTATTCGAACAACTGTTCTTGGCAATGGATGGCCTCGTGTCACCCACCCTCCACCTCCCTGTACCTCGTTCGATCCCTTTGATCAATATATCTATCGTCGTTCGAGTCCTCTATTATCCCACTTCATCTATCATCTATCATCTCATCTCATTCCTTGTGTTTTTGTGGTCTAAACGGTTTTTTTGTTTGGTTTTTTTGTCATCTAGTCGGCCACCAAGCTGCCAACTGCCCCAAGGCTGGTACCCCAACATGGTGAATACTCCCCCGAGTCTTTCTTTTGTGGGACGATCCGTGCATGGATCGTTCCCGTTCGTGCGCTTTTATACGTTGCAAGAACACCGAGAAGTCAAGGAAGAAAGAACGAAGAACCGTTTGGGAGGAGAAAGGGAAGATCGGCGGCTACTGTCTCTGGAGATGATGCCGGCATGCGCGTTGATTTGGTCAACCCCTCGGAGTCCTCCGCTCCCTTGGCTGCCCATCGTGGTCGTCGTACGCCTGCCTCCTTGTAACGGCCCCGACCTCGATTTCTTTTTTACCCCTACCCCTACTGTCGTGGTTGCCTCGTGGCGAGTTGTTGTGATGCTGATGTCGATCTCTCATCGTTCTTTAGCTATAACTGTACGTTCTACTTCTCTCTCCCGCTCTCGATTGCGTACTGGATGTTGACGATGCTCGTTAGGCGGAGGAGAAGGCCACGTTTCCCGCGATTGCACTCAAGCTGCCAAGCCCAAGTCCTGCTACCGATGCGGTGAGGAGGGCCACCTCGTATGTTCTCGTTCTCTCCATCCGTTCATGGACTTGATCGTTTAATACCGCGAATTTGTAGTCCCGCGACTGCACCTCTGATAACGCTGCTGCTGGCGGTGTGAGCCGTGGAGGCGAGTGCTACCGCTGCGGCAAGACCGGCCACTTGGCTCGCTCCTGCCCTGATAGCGGCTACGGCTCCTTCGGTGGTTCGCAAAAGACCTGGTGAGCTCTCGTTAACCCAGTGTTTATTTTTGATGATGCTAACGAGGCACTTTAGCTATACCTGCGGTGGTGTCGGTCACTTGTCCCGCGACTGTGTCCAGGGATCCAAGTGCTACAACTGCTCTAGTATTGTAAGTCTTCGATTCTCGTATGTTGATTATCGTGCCCTCGGCTCACGGGCATTTGTAGGGCCACATCAGCAGGGACTGCCCTCAACCACAAAAACGCGCTTGCTACCAGTGCGGACAGGAAGGGTAAGCCGCCCGTCTGTTGTCTTTTCCTTGGATGTGTCCTGATGCGCATCACGTAGCCATATCTCCCGAGACTGCCCTGGAACTGGCGCGGCCGGCGATGCTACCGCTGCTGCCTAAACGCGTTGGAGCTCATCCATTGTTGTAATTTGTATCGCGACGTCGTTTCTTGCAGATCGTTTCTTGCTGTCGAATTTACCGAACATGTACAACTTCTTCTCTTTTTTATCCTCTGTGATTTTTAACATCGAATATCGAAATCTCTTGTGGATCTGATAATTAGGAATTGAGCTGAGAGGGAGGGAATCTAGGCGGGACCTGGCCCTGTGCTAATTGACGGCGTGTAATTGGTGAGGTGAGGAAAAAGCCGGCAGGGGCCGGAATGACAGGCGTTGTTTGTCCTCGTTTTTCCGTTCTCCCACATCACACATTTGCCCGCTTGCACCTCGTCGCCCTCCTCTCAACCTTTTCTCCACCCACACCTCTCTCGCCCCCCTTTTTCTCTTCTCTTTCTTTCTTCTCCACGCTACCACCGTCGCGACCGACGACAAGGACTTGGACGAAGACATACCAAAAAGCCAAAGAGCATACCAACAACTCTTCGATTAATTTTCCACCCCGACCCTTTTAGAGAAGAAAGAAAATGCAGTCCACCGCGTTGAGAATTGCGGCGCGTTCATTGGCGGCTGGGAGCCAGCGAGCTGTTGTGAAACGCTCGTTGGCTACTGCTGCTGCGACGCACGCTGAAGCTGCGGCCACGGCTACCTCGTCACCCGCTCGCAACGTCGCCCCCGTCCCGCTGTCGAACATTGAGGCTTCGTGGGCCAAGCTTTCGGAGGCGGAGCAGGCTGCTGTGCATGAGCAGCTTGAGGCTATCCAGGTGAAGGATTGGAAGGAGCTGTCTATTGATGAGAAGAAGGCTGGTGAGTGCTTGTTTTTGGTTTTCGGGTGGAGGAGCGAGCGGGTCGGTTTATTGAACATGTTGTGTAGCGTACTATGTTGCGTTTGGCCCTCATGGACCTCGCGCCCCCACCCACAAGTCGGGTGATACCGCCAAGATCTTGTTGGGCGTCGCTGCTCTCCTCGGTGTCTCCCTCACCGTCAACTTTGCTGTCAGGTCATCTGGTATGCTTATTTTATTGTACGCGTTATCCGTTGTGGTTTACTTATTTCCGCGCGTTTTCAGCTCCTCCACCCCCCAAGTCTATGTCGACCGAATGGCAAGAGGCTTCGAACGAGCGCGCCAAGGAGATGAAGATCGACCCTATTTCCGGTGCGTACTCCACCCCTCCTTCCTTCTTCCAAACATTCCGTTCGTATACTGAAGCGTTATCACGTATACAGGTATCTCCGCAGAAGACTACAAGGGCAAGGGCTTCGTTTCCAGCCTCTAGAGACGGACGCTGTTTGCTACACCCCGCTGTTGACGCTGACCACCCCGCTCGCGCATGGTTTTTCCCTTGCATTCTTCTTCGTACATCCTGCCTACAACAATACAAACGGTTTAGTTGCATTCAAATAGAACGCTCCTTTTTTCTTATCATTATTTTTGCTCTCTTTGACAATGCTGGTGTGTGTCGCTAAGGAGTGCGGGTATCAGCGTGGATGTAGTGTTCGTGGTTGGGGGCAGACGCTACCCGACGGACGTGTGAACAATTTTTTTGGAATGATTGGGTTGTCATTGGTTCGTATTTCATCCCGTTTTTTGCAGCGAAATTGGCGCGCACAGTGATTGGCGGTCCCTTCAATATGCCTCATAATTGGTGAAATTGCCTCACTTTATCTATAGCGTCCCTCAGAAGCGTCGTTCTACACGTCACTCGGGACGTAGGAACGTCTCTTCACATCCTCCCGAGTCCTCCGACGTTTGATCGCGTTGACGGTCTATGGAGGTCCGGAGCCCCAAGTCCGATGCGCGGTCATGTGATTGCGGGCTCCGTTTGGAAGCCGGACTTGGGGCTTTGGCCTCGTTCCTTGCTCGACGCTCGTGTTGGGATTGTTGGTGAATGGTCGGAAGGTCGGATGGCGTGGTAGTCTTGATCATAGAAGAACGATCCTTGAAGAGGACGAACCACTGGACCAGGGTTGGTGTGTTGCGGTTGGGTTGGCTGGTGGATTTGCGCGATTTTGGCCGCTGGACTTCGAACTGTCGTAGGGCAAGTAAGCTCCACTTTGCAGATAACGACTTCTCTTTAGGTCTCGAGCGCTTAATGGCATCTCTCTTCAAGTATATGTGGTTGTCAACAGATAGGTGAGCCTCCGCTTTGTGCGGTACCGAGGTTTTGGTTGGGAACGTCAGTGCCTACTATGTACTGCATTCTTCCTATTTCCACCGTAAGTTCAAGTTCCATTTGCGCGTGGGCGCTCAGCACTTTACCCAATGTGACTTCTTCATCTCGCTCGTTCTATCCCTCACTTTAATCGTTGATGAAATTGTGTAGGTGGCACTGATTTGGTCTATGACTTGGGAGCTGGGGTTAAATGACTCTATGTGCTGGATCGTGTAACGGTTCTTGCACTCTGCTCGTTTCCTAGAGCCTGGGATTCAATTTCTTCCGCCACTGCCACTTTGTTAACAATTTACTGACGAAACTGGTATGGTCTGGCTGAACACCAATCCAACGTGCGTGAATCCGACCGCATTAGCGCAGCTCTCGAGGTGACCGACTTTGATACTTTGGTGGTCTGCAGTACTGGTCTTGACGAACGTCGTATGTACCGCTCTCCATACCCCAAACGCGTGAAACGACTTTAGTACTGTGCGTCTCAGTTGCCTCCTCCCCATCCTTCCTCCCTCGCTCCTCCTCCCAAGACTCATGTCCATCACTCCGGCTGATCATCCATCCTGACCTGTCGTGGAATGCAGATTACAAGGTAGATGATTACAGTGTATTAATCGCCACCCGAATGCTCCTCAACCTCGGGCAATTGGGAGATGAAGGCCCTGTGGGAGGGAGGTATTCCTCACCGAAAGTTTCGCGTGGGATTGCATAAGTTTTGGAGTGGGATGTAGTGGGATGGGGACGGGGATGACGGGGATGTTGGGAGTGACGGGCGGTCTCTCGCGTGATCTACTTACTTACTTATGTACCGCCTGTGTGCTTTGTGATCATGGTTACTGCAACATGCCGTCACCTGACTGATGAATACTGAAGTTTATGTTAACGGTTTACGTTGGTGTGAGCTCGGTGTTGAGAGCGACTTTTCTTTCTTACTCTCAACGCTCGCATTAGACTCTAGATTCTAGAGTTATCCATTTATACCCCGCATTTCACTTGATACCTTTTATTATTCGGGAAGTATACCTTCGATTTCGAGGAGGATACCTACGATGGATTCTGAGCTCATCGAAACGCTGGGTGGTTTGGCGGGGCAGACTCGGGCGCGGAATGTGAGTTTCGACATTATAATGTCTTTTGGATGAGCGCTACCCCGAATTCTGGGGGGTAACTGACGCATAATTCTTGTTATGCATTTAGTATATAACGAGTGAGTTCAATGCCCGGATGATCTCAGTAATCAGTACTTTTCTTCCAATTCAATGGCTAACGCGGATATGATTATCTTTAGCGGTTGGGTTCACGATATTTGTGAGTTGATACATGTTCTACTAGGCCTACCCCCGGCTTTGAAAGGTTTCTGACGTTTACGACGAAGGTTATGGACTTCCTGGAAACCCTCGAACGAGAGGTAAGTACGACGTACTTCTAACCAACTCGCGATCGCTGTCATCCAGCACGGGCGCTTACGTACTTCCTTCATCTTCACCTTCCCTGCCACACCCACACCAGATCACGCTTATATGGTCTATGAACTGGAACTGGGTTAAGTGCCTCTATGCTGTAAACCGTACAACCGCCTTTGCGGCGTTGGTAGTTTCTGTGTATGGTGCGTGAAGGCCCTTTAGCGGGGCATTTTCATACTTCCGACGGGGATGCTGAGAGCGCTCATCGCCGGCCAACCCGCGATTTTTGTGTTAATGATTTAGCTCAGCAGCAGTCAAAGGTGTGTCCCGAGTTCTACGCATAATCGAAGCTGACGCTTCAATGAAAGAAATAGTGGCAGATGTGTAAACCGCTCGCTATGGCCATTGCGGTGCTCATGGCGATTTCGATTGCCGCCTCTGAAGGTGTGTCTTGTCTGTCCGTCTGTTCCACGGACCATGGTTTACTTGGCTTGCTCACTTTGTTCGGCCATGTCCGCAATCTACTAGCCTTGCTGTTCCTTCGCGTATGGGCGTTCGCTTTGCGCTCTAGAGGAGTAATGGTGTTTTTGACTTTGTTCTTGGTGGTACGTCATTACGCGCACATCATCCTATAGCCTTGAATCCAGTTACTAATTCATTGAAACCGTTTGGTGGTCGTGTTCACAGACGATGATCACCGGTTCTGTGACCTGCAGTATAGCATTCAGTCAGACGTTACGCTGTGAGTCCTCGATGCCATCCCTTCCGCCATTCTCAAGTTTCAACTTTCAAATTGCATTGGCGATCATTCGGATGATGTGACAACCCTTCTGAACGTCGTATCCTATCTCCCACAGTTATCCCATCCCCCGTCCCTTCGATTACGGGAGTATGTCTCGCCATCGAAGCAAAGCTTAAATATATCATCGCTTGTTTTGCGTTGATTTTTGCTGAGCAGTTTGGTGAGTCCGCGTTCTTTCTCTGGTTGTCCCTCAACAGCGCACTGATAGACTCGGATTATTCTCCCTACTCCATGTTAGTGGTGATGATAACGTGCATAATAGTGGGAATGCGACGGCACCACCACGGGTGGGGCGTGAAGAGTCCGCTGGTGAGGACCTTGTTTATAGATGGGGTGGTTTACTTTGTCGTTCTTTCCGGTATGTCTATCGCGTCCCGTCTTTACCTGGTCCTGTAGATCTTCGTGCAAGTTCTGGAATACTGACCGACTCTTTGGCTTTGAATTAGCCCTCGCTTTAACCAACGTCATCCTCTTCTCCACACCCAACACTCGAGAATTCTCAACAGCAACGTACGTCCCCACCACCCGTCCCTGGTTCAACTCATGGGCTAATTCTATACCCTACACACAGAATACAAGGCGTACTACACAGCCTCCTCGCCACCCGTATGCTGCTCAACCTTCGGCAACTTGGCCTTGAAGGACCCGATTCTACCACTGCTGGGAGGTCGTTACCAAAAGTCTCGCATGCGATCAAGTTTTTGAGTATCAGAACGATGTCGAGTCGCGATCGGACGGGGAAGGGGAGTGAGAGTAGTAGTTGGAGTTTGGGTAGTAGAAATGTGTGTGGCGATGGGGAAGCGACGACGGTGGGGTAGAGGGATGAGATCGTGGAAGGTGATCAGATGGGAGGTGGAATAGAGGATCTCCTGCCACATACATGGAATAGAATACTACTACATATCTCGTCCAAAAGTACAATACTAATTATTCGATATGATTACGCCCAGATAACATGAGAACCATGCTGTAATGTTTACTATCCAATGTACCAAGCTCGGAGTCGACTTCCTCAGAGTCCAAACGCTGAGTATGGCAAACTACAAGATGAGTGGATTCCTACCACCACCTCACCGCCTCTCACGCGCAAAGTTAAACAAAGTTCCCAACCTTGCAAGACCTTGCACCAATTCCGCTCGGCGCGGAATCAAATCCCACATCACGGAACCAATTCCAAATTTAGCGCCTCGAGGCTTGTGCAGTGCAGTGCCAAGAGGGATTTCTGCTGACGAGCGTACGCGATGTCGATGCGCAGTGACAACCACCAAATCGTTTCGCGTTGTTCTTTTTGTTACCACCACCACCACCACCGCCTGCGATTTTTCGTTTCGTTTCTCTCTCTATCTCTCTCTCTTTGCTCGACTGTCGACTTATAGGCAGCCACTTGACCAGAAGAAACCCAGAGGAGGGGGTTGAAACAGTCCGAAGACTCGGAGCACCGTTGGACAGTGTCGTTGAAGGATCGAATTTGGATCAGGCGACCCGGGTGGTTGTGGTCGACGTTTTAGCTGCGGGAACTGGGATCTCTGTAGCGGCGACCAGACTGAATCGAGCCTTTTCCTTCAACTGGGAGCTCACCCACCTCCACACTCTCCTTAGACTGAACATCGACTAAGACGCAAGAGTCGGCGGCTTGAAGAACTACAAAACAAACCTACACCCGCGAGGAAAAGGGATAGGAGCACGTAGAAGATGCCCTGTGAAGCATTGCATAATAAAGTCGAGATCGACGAGAGCAAGTTTTGGGATGAGAATGGGATACATTGGGAGCCGCATCGGATTGGGTGGGCGGTTGCTGGGGGGTGTACTGTCATCGTGAGTCGTTGTTCTTGTTCCCCCGATTTCTTGTTCTCCCGATTTCGATTGGGAAGTTGTTGGAGGCGGTGTGGGTTCGAACCTGATTCGGCATGAGGACGGGGTAGTGTCGGGCAAAGGAAGAGGGAGGAAGCGGTGGATGGGCTGCGGTGGGGATGGGGATGAGAGTTCTGACGATTGGTTTCGTTCCCATGTAGACTGTGATAATCTCGACGTATACAGTTCTCAAACACTGTCGGTGCGTCCCTCACCATTCTATTCCTCCAGTTTTCCCAATACTCAATACGAAATGTGGCGTTGGTAGGAACTACACCAATCGAGCTCAACAACGGCAAATGTGCGTTCGGCTTACCATTTCCAACGCCAAGCTTGGGACGACTATGGACTGACGGAATTACAACGACTAGATTGCGAATTCTCTACATGCCGCCTCTATACGCTATCATCTCGTGGCTATCATACCGGTTCTTCCGGTACTACACATACTACCAGCTCGTTTACATCGGTGTGTCCTCCCTACCCTCTTGATCCCCCTTTTTCGACTAACGGAAGGCGTGGTAGCTTACGAGGTCCGTCTCGTTGCATCCTTGTGTTCATTGTTCTCAGAACTTATCACGAAACGCGGCCGTTAGGCTATCGCGCTGAGCGCTTTCCTGTTAGTCTTTTTTCTTTCTCTCGCTAGTCACTGTTGGAGGAAAGGATAACTGATGGAGTGGATGCAGACTGCTGATCATTGAATATGTAGCTGCGACTGCTACTGGCAACTCGGCTCATAAAGCGATTGAGAGGAAGGATAAGAGGCCGTTGCCTATACCCGTACGTCTTCCCTCTCAAGTTCTCCTTGACATGTTGGTATGCTGATGTTTGGCGAATTGGAAAATGTAGTTTTGTTGTTGGAGGTATCGTCCTACAAAGGTATGCACACCATTAGATTAACGTCACGCTGGGATGGTATTGAGCCGCTGATCTCGACCTCGTGTTTTTAGGCATACTTCATGTACACCGTCAAGGTCCGTCCGTCTGTCCTCCACTCATCAATCCTCGAAGAGTCCTCGTGCTGACTTGCAGCTGATGGGGTTTAGTGGTCGGTTTTGCAATATGTTATCGTTCGACCGGCGGCGTCGATCACAGCGATGATCTGTGAAGCGTTCAACGTGCTCTGCCATGCTGAAGGGTTCACGTATAAATATGCGAGTGTGTATATCGAGTGTATTAATTTCGTTAGTATCAGGTGAGTTTTTAGGTTCTGCCAGTGACAATCATCGGATCGGACACTGACGTTGTGCCTTTCTTCCCTTTTTTCTTCCACACTGGAGTTTAGTATCGCCCTCTACGGCCTCTTGGTATTCCACGGCCTCATGTCCGAAGAACTTAAAGGCAAACGACCTGGAGCCAAGTTTTTGGCGATCAAGTTGATTGTGATGTTCACGTTTTATCAGGCGTTTGTGGTGCGTATTCTCATCCTATTATCCTTCATGTCCGAGTCGTTCCCTTGATCCATGCGCCCTGTCTGGCTCTTGCGGATGTCGCGGTCTTTGGGCTCCCGTACGAGATGGTTGATACTGACGCTTTGTTATAGTTCAGTTGGTTGCAAGGGCGGGTTATTCATGGTGCGTTCTTTCATTTCACTTTGGTTAGACGGCGGAGAAGGTTTCAGAGGCTGATGGGGTTACACAGAAACGAAGTATTGGACGGAGACCAATATCGCGAATGGGTTGAACGCGTTGGCTATATGCATTGAGGTGCGTATCTGCCTACAGCGAGCCTCCCGGCAACTCGCACTCTCTCTCGAAGGGTACCGTGATTCTGACACTGACGACGCTTCGAATCGGAATTCAGATGGTCTTCTTCGCGATCCTGATGTGGTGGGCCTACACTCCCAACGAGTACCTCCGTCCACGCGACACGAAACCAACGAACGTATGGAAAGCCCTCTGGGATTCTATAAATTACTCGGATTTTGCGCGGGAGATCGCAGAATCGTTCCGGTTCTATTTTTCGCAAGTTGGGCGTTCGTCTAAATCCAAAGCTAAATCGAGGTCGGCGCCGACGACGTACTCGGAGAGGTCGATGAAGAGGAGGAGTGCGTGGGGTGGTGGTGGTGGTGGAGATGGAGAGGAGAGGAGGATGGATTTTGGAGAGGCGTTTGGTGTTTATAGGAGGGTTAGTTCGAGGGGGGAGGGGGAGTTTGAGATGGAGGTTGGGAGGGGTGGGAGTGGGAGTGGGTCTAGTTCCAGTGGTGGACATGATGTGAGTGGGTACAAGGGAACGAATACGTCTACTCAGGGTGCTCCGGGGGCGTACCAACCAGCTGGGTACCACCAACCGACGGGGGGATACCACCAACCGACGGCATACCACCAACCGACGGCGACGGGTTATTCAGATCCGTACCAGAAAGAGGAGTCGAAGGAGGATGGTGGTGGTGGTGGTGGTGGTGTGGATTTGGGGTATTATGAGCATCATGTTGTGCCGAGTGTTGGGTATCAGCCTCAGGGACAGAGTGAGAGTCAGAGTCGGCTAGGGGGGTATCAAGGGCATGGAGGAGGAGGGTATCAGGGGAATCATGGAGGAGGAGGATATGATCAGCGCGTATATGGAAGTGGGGTTGCGGGTGGGGGGTATGAGGGACCGACAGCTGTTTAGAGTTTGGTCGCTTGTGTTGCGTGCTTACTACTGCTACTAGTCGTACTTCTGTTGGTCGTCTCTGCTGTTGGTGCTACTCCCGTGGTGCAGTTGGTACTAAGGACTAGCTACTTATTCGTAGTTTGATCCGCTGTGTTTTCTTCCCTCCGCATTTTTTGGTGTTTTTCGTCACTTCCAGTACTGGGATATTGGGATTTTTTGATGCTTTTTTTATGCAACTCGTTCATTAGTTTTTGGTTCTGACATATATTGCATACGTTCTTATCGCGTGTTCGAGTCGAATTTTGGCACGATGGAGGTGCTGTTACGATCCTGAGGGGAATCGAACTCGCCACCCTCCAGGTAGAGATAAGATAAGATAAACACCCAATCTAAAAATCTAAACGCTTCTCGATTTGAATTCTATTCCCACGCCCAGCCCAAGCGCACGACCAGAAAAATTGTTGTGGTTTGGACGGACACAAACCCATCAAAAAACGCTCATCTCCTCCTCCTTACTTTTTCGAAGCCCTGAACATACCGACGTTCTAGAGGGTCTTTTCTTTGAAGGGAGAGTGTTATAAATAATAATGGCTTTCGGTGCGTCTTTGTTGTTTGATGGAAGGAGGGAAGGAAAAGGGCTAACGGCGGGATTGTTTTTGATTTTTTTGCATGTCTTGTTCGTTCGTTCCTTTTACACCCCCTTGGGCTGGTGCATTTGGATTTTTTCGACTCGCATTTGGGATTGGATTGTGGATCCTATTGGATTGGTGACAACTCGAACATGAACTCGAACTCGAAATCGACTCGACCATCTCTGTGAATAGGACAATCTGGTGGACGTGGTGGATTTGGAGGACGGGGTGGTGGTGATCGTGGTGGACGAGGTGGTGGACGAGGTGGGAGGGGTGGTGGACGAGGTGGTGCGTATTTCTTTCTTTTCTTTGGGGTTTTAGTGGAGAGGGCTCAACACTCGTTTTTTGTCTTTTTTATGGCCTTGTTCTACGACTGCGGTTTATCACTTGCGGTTGCTTCTCACCCTGGACCTGGATCATCTTCACTGGACCTGGACGATTTACCCTCGAATTCGATACTCGATACCCGACGCTCCCCCTCATCCTAAACTTGACATGGTCCTCCAAAATCCTCGCGAATGACGATCGACTCTCCCCGCGATTCGGCCAACAGGTCCTCCAGGCCGTGGCGGACGAGGCGGCGGACGGGGCGCACCCGGTGGTCGCGGTGGTCGGGGCGGTAGGGGCGGCGCTCGAGGCGGGCGCGGCGGGGCAAAGGGCGGTGCCAAGGGCGGGTCGAACGTGATCCTCGAGCCTCACCGTCACCCGGGCGTCTTCATCGCCAAAGGCAAAGAACACATGCTCGTGACCAAGAACTTGGTTCCTGGTGAGAGTGTGTATGGGGAGAAGAGGATTAGTGTTGAAGGGGGTGTTGAGGGTACGAAGGTTGAGTATAGGGTGTGGAATCCGTTTAGGAGTAAGCTTGCGGCTGGTGTGCTTGGTGGGTTGGATGATATTTTTGTTAAGCCTGGTGCGAAGGTTTTGTACCTTGGTGCGGCGAGTGGGACGAGTGTTAGTCATGTTGCTGATATTGTTGGGCCGGTGAGTCGCCTTTTATAGCGTATTTTCTTTTGTTGTGCGGTTGGAGAGGGATGGGTTGCTGATGGGTTTTGCTTTTGTAGGAGGGAATTGTATATGCCGTCGAGTTCTCTCCTCGTTCGGGACGAGATTTGATCAACATGGCTAAAAAGAGGACTAATGTCATCCGTACGTTCTTCCTCTCCCTCCTCCTCTAACTCTCTATGCACCTTCTAACCTCCCTCCTCCAGCCATCGTCGAAGACGCCCGCCTGCCCAACCGCTACCGCATGCTCCTCTCAATAGTCGACGTCGTCTTCGCCGACGTGGCCCAACCCGACCAAGCGCGTATCGTCATGCACAACGCGGCGCAGTTCCTCAAAGACGGCGGGCACGTCTTGATTTCGATCAAGGCCTCGTGTATCGATTCGACTATCCCGCCTGAGACGGTCTTTGCGAGCGAGGTTGCTAAGTTGAGGGAAGGCAATTTCAAGCCGCTTGAGCAGGTTACGCTTGAGCCGTATGAGAGGGATCACGCCATGGTTTCTGGTGGGTGTTTCTTTTTTCTTCTTATGTATTTGGCGTGCAGGAGAACTGACGATGATTTGTTGGAACAGCTGTGTATCAGCGACATGCCAAAAAGAACTAGGTTTCTTTCTTTGTAGGACCTGGTTTTGATTGTTTCTTCCGTTTGGGATTCGTTGACTGCTACATGTATCCCATATCACGTCGTTGTACTATCTCGTTTTTTCGTTGGGTTTGCAGTCGGAAAAAAAGTATCTTTGATAACTTGTGTACTTACATACTTGGCAACCCTGTGTATAGTTTTTCCTTTCTCTCTCTTCTAACGTCTCGTAATGATATTTCTTTCTCTCTCTCCAACTTTCAAGCAAGTCGAAGGGAGTGAAAAGCCCGAGAGATTGATGGACGGAGAGAATTAGCCGAGCCGAGTGGGTGAGCGACGTGGCGATCACACGCGGGCCGCTGGAAAGCATCATCATCATCTCGCCTTCCACGACATTCTCAACTCGTAACTTCCACAGCCAACAGCGCTCACGACGCAACGCGGCGACCACTAGGCCGCGCCTCGGTAACCTTTGAAACCAAAAAAGCCGACACGTAGCAGTTTCCGAACACTACTACGGCTTTTAAAAACGGGGCTGATGAAACCGCCAGCCATTGCGGTTGACTTTAGCAGCAGCACCGACGCTCATTCCGACTTTGAAGACCTTGGATATTCGACGAACCAGTACGGTGTCCATCGCCAGCACCATAACCAGGACCAGCTGCCGTTGCATTATAGTAGTAGTGGGAGTATGATGAGTACGGAGGAGAAGGCGCGCAGGCGGGTTGTGCCTGGGAGGCCGCAGATGGGTGAGGATGATGGGTTGGGTGGGTTAGGTGGTGGTGTTGGGTATGGGGAGAAGGAGACGTTGTTCTCGTATGATGATGATGAAGGGAAGGATGTGTATAGCAAACCGCGCCCTGTGCAGAGTCGGATAGCGAGTGGGAGGCTTCCAGCGCCGCCTCTTCCTCCTCCTACCTCCTTCGTACGCCCTTCCCTTTTCTCTATTGAAAGCTCAGGAAACTAATAGACAATACAGAAAGAATTCCTCTGGCAAAACGCCGAACACATCCCACCGATCATCTACACACTCCTCTCCTGCTGGACACGCTACCACAAAATCGGCGCCTCCAATATCGTCGTCTGGGACGAAGCCCATTTCGGCAAATTCGGGTCGCATTACCTCAAGCGCGAGTTTTACTTTGATGTGCACCCGCCGTTGGGCAAGATGTTGGTTGGCCTGGCGGGACTGTTGGCGGGGTATAATGGCGGTTTCGAGTTTAAGAGTGGGGAGACGTACCCCGAGACTGTGCCGTATGTTGCGATGAGGGTTATGCTTGCGACGTTTGGGGTGTTGATGGTCCCCCTTGCTTGGTATACCTCGTTGGAGTTGGGTATGAGTTTGTGGGCTAGTCATTTGACTACGCTTATGGTTTTGCTTGGTAAGTCCCCGCCTTGCTAGCCTGTAATATGAGGATGGAACTGATTGGTGTTATGATAGATGTCGGCTGGCTGGTTATCTCTCGTTTCATTCTCTTGGATTCGATGTTGCTCTTCTTCACGTTCCTTACTGTTTTCTGTTTAACTCGGTTCCATAACGAGCAGTATGAGTGAGTGTCTTTGCTGGCGCTTTTTCGGGTGACGTGGATGGTAGCTGACGTTCTTTGCGTAGCCCGTTCTCCATTGATTGGTGGGCGTGGTTGCTCTTTACTGGTATTTCTATCGGTTGCGTTACGAGGTGGGTGTCCTTCGCATGATATGAGATATTCGATCTAATGCTTTTTTAGCGTCAAGATGATTGGCCTGTTCGTTACCGCTCTTGTTGGTATCTACACTATTGAAGACCTCTGGGACAAATTCGGCGATACGCGACTCACAGTCGTAAGTACCTCCTGCCATCCGTTTATACGACAAACTCATCCTCCGAAACAGAGAGAGCAAGCCAAACACTGGGGAGCTCGGATTCTCTGCTTGATCGTCGTCCCCATCCTCGTCTTCATGGCCTCGTTCAAGGCTCACTTTATGGTTCTCAACCGCTCTGGACCAGGTGATGCCCAGATGAGCTCGCTCTTCCAGGCTAACCTTGTCGGTAACGATTTCTACAAGAATCCTCTCGGTGCGTCTCTCCTCCATCTTCTGTCTACCCGCCTCGTCGTCTAACGAAATACGATCCCCTACAGAAATCGCGTACGGCTCCAAAGTGACCTTGAAGAACATGGGTTGGGGCGGTGGCCTCCTTCACTCGCACGTCCAAACCTACCCGGTCGGGTCGAACCAACAACAAGTCACCTGCTACCACTACAAGGACAACAACAACGATTGGGTCATCCTGCCTCGTTGGGAGGAATCCAAATTCGACCCCGTCGAAGGCGAACTTCGGTACCTCAAGCACGGTGATATCGTCCGCCTCAACCACGCGCCTACGACCCGCAACCTGCACTCGCACACCGTCACTGCGCCCGTCACGAAACTCAACTACGAAGTTTCGTGTTACGGCAACAGCACTGTCGGTGATCGTCATGATTATTGGCAAGTTGAGGTCGTTGATGATATTAAGAGGGGGAAGCTTGGACCTGGGGAGAGGATTCATTCGTTGACGACGAGGTTGAGGTTTAGGCATAAGGTGCTTGGGTGTTATTTGAGAGCTGCGAATGCTGTTTTGCCGCAGTGGGGGTTCAAGCAGATTGAGGTTAGTTGTGATAAGGAGAATAATCCGAGGGATGCGCATACGCATTGGAATGTGGAGAGTCATTGGAATGAGAGGCGTACGTTTTCTTTTTCTTTCTTTGCATTTTTGGTGATGTTGGTCGCTGATTCCTTGTTTGTTTGCGTTCGTCTTCCTTTCGTCCCCCCACTCCCCTCTGCCTCCACATCCAACTCGACTACGACTACAACAACTACTACCCATAATCAACCGCATACAGTCCCAGCCGGCAACATGAAACTCTACAAATCCCCCTTCCTACGCGACTTTTGGCATTTGAACGTGGCGATGATGACGTCCAACAATGCTTTGATCCCCGACCCTGACAAGGAGGATATCCTCGCTTCCAAACCGTTTGATTGGCCTTTGTTGCATTTGGGCTTGAGGATGTGTGGGTGGGGTGATAATCAGTTGAAGTTTTATTTGCTTGGTGCGTTTAGTTTCGCGGGGTTCGGTTTGAGGCTTCCTTACGCTGACGACTACCTCTACTTAACTCTCCAGGTACCCCCGTGATCTGGTGGGCGAGTACAATCAGTCTTGTGGTTGGGTTGATGACATTTGGCGTGTACATGTTGAGGTGGCAGCGCAAGTATGTGGATATGGATCAGAGGGAGTGGGATCATTTTATGTATGTGGGCAAGATTGCGTTTTTTGGATGGGTTTTCCATTATGGTGAGTGGTCTATCGCGTTTGTGTCTGTGAGTGGTGTGCTAAGTGGATTATTTGTGTAGTCCCGTTCTTGATCATGGGTCGCGTTACCTATCTGCATCACTACGTACGTACCTCCCTCCCCTTCCCATCCACTCACTCCCTCTAAATGTTAATACTGCCCTTTCGTACAGCTCCCAACCCTCTACTTTGCCGTCCTCATGCTCTCCCACGTCCTGGACCACTTCATTTTCAGCTCGCGCCGTTTCTCGACCAAGACTAAATCGATTGTGTTTGGTGTTATTGCGGGTATCATCGTGTTTACGTTTTGGTGGTTCAAGGGTGTTGCGTTTGGGATCCAGGGTCCGATTAATGAGCATTGGGGGTTGCAGTGGCGGAAGGTGAGTTTTAGAGTTCGGTTATGTTCTTCTTGAGTTTGGTTATGGCTGCGATTGGTGAGAGGGATTGGGGCGTGGATGCTGACTGGACTTTGTTTTGTAGACGTGGAATATCTATAACAACTAAATCCGAAGACGGCTTTCACTATGTACTAGGCTTGTGGCGAGTCGTTGCTTTCTCTATTCTTTCCTCGCCCATTCAAGTGTCCCTTTTTTTGAGAGTTTTGTGTTTCTTTTTGCCCCCGCCTTATAGCTTTCTTTTTTTCTTTTTTGCATGTCGAGACTGTAGTTCTTTTTTTACACGTCGAGACTTGTAGGTTTGAGTTGAGTGAGCTGCAGTATGCACCTGATGTTGTTTTTGATATCGCGTGTTCTTTATCTCGTTGAGGGGTGTTTTATTTTGGGTACCCCCAGCGTCGCTTTTGTCAACGCCCTACATAGCTACTACCAGGCTTTGCGCTCGCTCACTCGCCAGTACGTGTCCGACTAGTACTCGAGCACTCGGTGTGTTCTCGCCTTTTTTTTTCGTTTGCTTAAGTTTGAAGTTTGAACGGACGTTTCGACCAAAAATGCGATTAGTATTTGTTTTTAGCTTTTTTTTTCTTAATTTTTCTTTAAATAAGCTTTTTTTTTAGCTCTCGTTGAGCTGTTTAATTTATTGGCTTGGTTCTCTCGATCACGTTGAAGGTTGCAGTGGGTGTTAGCTACTTAATAGGTAGGAGAGGGACGATGTTGGCTCCTGACCTCGCGCTGCGTCCTCGTCTCGCTCGTCTTCGTCCTTGCCTTTTTCTTGGTTCTCGTCTCTGGAGTCTGTATTCGTCCTTCAGGCCTTGGTGGAGAGTGTGTCAATGGCCCACGCTGAACTATACGTACGGTTCCCTGCAAGGTGAAAGCAGCGGGCGCCCATGGGGCAATCAGTACTAATCAGTGGTTGGGCCACGGTGTTCTCGATGGAATCATCCATGATTGGCACTCTCGCATGCTCACCATGGGCCATGGCGTAACGATATATCATATACAACGTCCCAATTAAAATCGACGTGGCTTTCCTTCACCTTTGGATGCGAAATCACGTTGGATGTCGACAAGGACTTGGGACGGACCTCGAACGAATTTGAATAGAGGACGGAACGAATAGAGGACGGTTAGGTTTGGCTTCCTGCGAAGGCTCTACTTACTCTGACCCACGCACGGAAATTTCTTCACTGCCCTACTTTTTAGTGACCGAAACCAGGCGTTGTCCCAATCCGTTACCGACGTGTCATAGTAGCACTTGTAATTGGCTATGTCAGGTGTCTATCCCGGAGTCTCCCAGATCAACACCTGGCTCGCTCGCTGAGCCTTTACGGTGGACTTGCTCGAGATATACGGCAAGGGAGGGAAGGCGGCGTGTTACATGTAACATCGGGGACCTAGAGATTCGTGCTTACTGCTCGCCATCTGGAGGACTTGATTGAAACCTCGACAAAATCGCAAGTTTCAAGTTCATCAGGGCGATCGTCGAGCTACTAGTACGACTAGGAAATCATGAGAAGTGGAGCGTTGGTCGATCTTTGTTGTCGTTTGCCGAAGTTGATTGTCAGTGGCAGCGATTGTAGATCATTAGACAATGTACTACCGATGACGCTATCTGTCATGGTATGTACTCGAGTCGCGATTGACCTGTGAAGGACGAGTATGAAAAGGGTAGGTAGGCGTGAAGGATGACGGGGCCGCGGAATTCGGGAGCGAGACTTGGATTGAGGCGTACAAGATACACGGGACCGCACCTATCGGCCCAGGCACGGATGTAAAGCGACTGGAGCTCGAGGGAGGTGTGGGTGGAGGCCCCGAGTAAATGTTGTTGGGAAATCGAAAGCGAGAAAAAGAGGTCGACGAGGGAATTGTTGAATCTTGGGCTTCCAAGACTTGGATGTAGATTATTATCACTTTGATGGGGTGATGCCGAGAGGGATTTTCGGACCTCGTACATAGTCCTGGTCCTGGGAGACGGAGGACGATGAAGAGTGCGAGAATAGTGGAAAGGGAACATCTCCCCATGTGTCCGGCGATCTACGCGTATAGGTTATTCCATTTGCTTGTGCGAGTGGTTAGGTGGTTGGGCACCCGCATATCCCCGAAAGCGGTTGGTAGGTTGTCTTTTATGGAAGTGGACGATCAACGAGTTGGTCCAGCCATCAGTGCTCAAAGACATAGCATCGAGGAATATGTATGCTCCATCGACGCGTCCATAAATTATGGCAGGAGCAGTTTCTGAGTCGCATGGTTCAAGCTCCTAGAAGTGTCTCCCTTGTCTGTTGCATTAAATTCAGGGCTTAGCTGGGCGCAGACCAGCATTCTCTCGCTCGAGTCTTTCCGGAATGGCTATTCCGTCTTTCAAAGGGAAGAGGGTCTGAAACACGGAGCCTTTCGCGGTCACTCTCGCCTGATATTGAGAGCTGAGGAACGGTAATTGTCTGCCTCAGCCGCTACAACAGACTCGAGCTCGGATAAACCCAAGGTGAGCTTCGTCGTACCTCTGACCTGTGTGGGTAGAAAGGTACATGTATCGTCGATCACCATGCGTGCATAGGCTCGCTACGCCTTTCAGATGTTTCAGATAGACATATTGGGAGAGTGATAGACCTTCATGCCGTAATCGATTTGCGAGTAATACGATGACCCTGAGTGTACTCTACTAGTCGACCCTGGTCAGCACTCTTTGGCTCACAGGAGCGTCATGGTTTTAACGATTCAGATATGTCGCTAAGACCTGGTGCAACTCGAGTTCCTATCGCACCTACTGGCATACCTCACAGTCAGCTTTGACGAGTGACCGTGGAACCTTGGATATTATGTTACAGAGCCCCATCAATGCCCGCCAAAGGTTCCTTGTTTCATCGAATACCTCCTTGTCCTCATGGCCCTCAGCACCATGCTCGCTGTACACTCTACATGTCATTCTCAGACTCTGCCCACATGCTCTTCAAGGTACGTGTAGGCTCGACCGTTCTGAAAAGGACTTGGCGCACGTCGTGAAAAGGTATATAAGAACCTCCCTGTCGATTCGATATCTGTACCAAAACAAACCACCAACACCCAGATCGATCAGCCTCTCCCAACTATCGAAGCTATGAAGCCCGGCCGCTGCTCTCCTTCTCTCCATTGCCATGGTCATCGGTGGCGTCGCCGCCCAGGCCGGCATCTTCGAACGCTGCAACATCGCTCATGTTGGGGAGGGTCTTTGCATGGACGCTAGCAGCTGTACCTATGGAGGAGGAACTGCCTATGGCCAGGGCTGCAAGAACTCTGAAAACGGTGTTGCCTGCTGCTACAAGCGATGCCCCAACCCGGTCACTGGCCAGGGCAGGTGTGTCCATCGATCCTCGTGCGCGACTGGAAAGGTTTTCATCGCCGGTGAGTCCACCTTCAATGTTTTCTTGTTGTCAAGTCGCTCACCCTGCCGCGCCCCGCATGCAGATTATTGCCCTGGTCCTTCCAACTTCGGATGCTGCCTCTCGGATTAATGGTTTTTGCCCATCGAATTCGTGTCAGAGGTAAGTCATCGCATGCGTTTTTAGCCAGAGACTGTGGGCCTAATCGTTCGTTTCAGACCCTCTTTGTACATACTACATACTCATTGCGTCTCTGTATCACCGAGTAGCATTCCCAACGTTACGCAGTGGAATAAATATCAGATTTGCTTTAAAACCAGCGCCGAGGTTGAACGTTGCATTTGGATAAGTTGCTTTAGCATGCTATGCTAGTACGGTTCTCCATTACTGAGTATGTAAGTACATAATCGACTTCGCCTCGAGGCTGCTGATTTATTAGCTTGGCATGCAGCACCTGTTGATCGCTGGGCCAGGGCAGTAGCCTGCATCGAACAGTGTCAGCTGCAATCCCCCCACGAAACACGACTGGGCTCATACCTGTTAGGGTTCGTCCACTGGAGCAAGTCAAAGCGTTGCGACAAGTTCCGGGGCCCGTGGGGCCAGGGCATCTCTTGAAGCAGCACTTGATGTGGGAGGGATCGTTGGGGCAATAGCCCGACCAGAATCCTCCACCTCCTTCAGTACACTTATTGGTAGGAAGACAGGTTCCCACTCCGATGCCAGGGATGTTGCAAGGACCGTTCTCGGCGGCATAGGCGCCCAAGCTGAAGGCGAGGATGAGGAGAGAGGCCAAAGACTTCATCATGGGTCACTTTGGCGCTTTGAGTGTAGGGGTAGGCTTGATCTGATGAACTCGGTTCGGATGGCTGCGTTTTATAGAGAGTTATCAAGGCGTCCGATCCGAAAAAACCGCTCGATGCAGGACCTATGTACCGATGTTCGGTAGGTCGCAGGCGAGTTTTTTCGTCGTACAGCATCGCTATCTCCACGCTATCGGCTCTCATTTTAGCGACAGATTTGGTACTCTCTGGGCTAGGCGGTGACTGTGAATATTCCAACAGGACTAGGCACAAAAAGAAGAAAGACCTGGGTTAATGAGACTAGGGAATACGACCACGGTCAATCTCGAATTTGACAAAAATCATCGATAGTTGCCCGTTGAGCTCAATTCACAAGCGTAGATATCCGAAGATATAGCGTTACTACACTCACTCGCGCTCTAGGATGGTCCAGTGCAATTACTAGTACCTACACAAGTCCATTTCGTAGTCTCATGACATGGAAAATCGAGATTTCAGGGTCGTAATATGTGATTTTGGAACAACGATCGAATGAAATGGACAGTTGCATCAAATGATAAACATCAAGAAGCAGGGAGGCGCGCTTCTCGAGCGCTGAGAGCGGGGAGATAAGCGCCCTCAATTGTCGGAATCCAATATCATCATAGACTGGGGTCGATCAAAGCTCACAAGTTGCAGGGAGCCGTAAAACGTCCTTTTCTTGATAGATAACTCATTCGAAGAGTCTAAGATGACTTTTTTCAACGAAGTCGTCAAGCGTTCTGACACTCCCGAGGGCGTCGATGCAGATAGCAAGGTAAAGTCAGGTTAGACATGATACGCTCCCATCTTACCTTTAGTGGACATCCACCTACCATATGAGAATCAATTTTCGTAGAGCTTCTCGAAGAACGGCGATTCAGGAGCGTTTTGGGAAGATCATCACGGATACGAGCGTGCTTCTTCGATGTCTATCATTAACTAGACGTAGCGAAGGGCACAGGTTGAGACTACATAATTCCCAGGAAGCCCCGTAACGACGAGACCATACGAGGTCCAGTGACCATTTTACGTAGAGAGTGTTTAATATTGTACCGCCAGAAAGACATTTACATACATGCAACGAAGCGCGATTTTCAATTTCGTCCGTTCTAGGAGCCGCTCTTAGGCCTCGAAAGCGATGATAATCATCTCTTCGAGGCTCAGCTGGGTTGTGCAATCACTGCTCGAGATCTGAAGAATATACGCTGAGTGAAGTTACCGCCTGTACTTTTAATCCTTTTATTATTGAATACACAAGCTTCCATTTCACCTTGTCAACGATTTCAAGACGGGAGTCGGGAGAAAAGCGGCGAACCTTTCGTCTTTCCTAGCGATCGCGTGTTCTCGCATCTCTCTGTTCGTTGCTCTAGGACATCCGATTTCGGTTGAGACTGAAATATTAAAAGATATAAAAAGGGCACTCACACAGACTCTGACACACCAAACAAACCCCATACCAAACTCGCCATCCCACCAGTCTATCTCATCGCCAATGAAGTTGCTCACCTCTGTGTTGGCTTTCTCTCTCTCCCTGGGCGTCGCTCAAGCCGCCCTTAACGGTCCTTGCACCATTCCTGGTGTCGGACCTGGAACTTGCCTCCGTACAGCGGATTGCGCAGCCGGTGGAGGAGGAAGCTTCACCGGCTATTGCCCCAGAGACCCTGCAGACGTCAAGTGCTGCTTCAAGCGATGCCCTGGCGCAAACGGCACTGGACGATGCCGTCCCATCATCGACTGTGTCAGCGGTCGAACCCTCACTGGTAAGTCGCGGGCTCTTAAACTGGGAGGGTCGTCTTTACTTACGATGTTGTGTGTAGGCTATTGCCCAGGCCCTGCCACAGTCAAGTGCTGTATGCCTCTGCTGTTGCGCAAGGACGACGGCGCATCTGAGGAGCTACCTTTGCCGGAGGCAGAAGAGTCAGAGTGAAGGAAGAAATAGCTATAAGGACCACCGGAACCGCCATTTGTCTATTAATAAAATGTCTCTGTGTCATTGCCCGAAGCACCTTACTCACCCCAATGATGTTTGCTGTGTCACACTGGGTGTGTACGCTTCACCGTCGAGCTTCTATCCTGAGCAATATCAGTCCAATGTAATAGCCTATTGTCGCAATATAGGGCCTTAGTAAATGACACCCCTATCTTTTGCACCGCAGGTAAGCCTGCTTGAACCATGAACGAACCCTCGCTTCTTCAAGCGCCCAAATGGGCGTGGGAGCGTCTTTGCCGTGGGTGCCGGCCGATATGCCCTGGTTCTGCGAAGTGATCCGCTTTCAGCGGCACCCCACTTCTGCACACAACCACGACACGGCCTGCGATGTCTATCACCTGGCTTTGGCGTCGACTCTCCAACAGCAGCTGCGATCCGAGCGCTTGAAGAGGCACCAAATTCGACTGTTTGACCCAGGCGATGGATTTCTTTCAGCTTGAAGTTCCTTGGGCCCCTCGCCACCAGCCTACGGCACCAGAGCAATTAAGTAGCTCCCGCAGAGAACGCCTCACCTGGCCATGGTGCAAGTACTGGTACTAGTATGCGGGCTCCTCAAGTTATCCTGGAGATCAGGCGGCCGACAGTACTTTACCTACGGGGGTATTCATTGGAGTCGAAACCTTTGCCTTCCGAGTTTATCTTGTTGGACCATGCCGAATCAACTGACTAAGCGAGCAGAAGGCACATCAACCATATGTCGTCGAGCTTTAAAAGCACACCATGACCTTCATTTCCATGGATCCATTCCCCTCGCTTGCCTAGGTCTCTGGATATCGCCTTCATCTCGTTGACCGGCCTGTTATACGTCAAGATCTCGACGAGTGCGGACACTGCCACGTCTGTCCAACGACGAGGCTGAACACTGGCAGAAATAATGTCTTCCGAAACTAGTCTCCAGGGCGCTCCGAGAGATGCTGAAAGCGGAAACATCGAAAAGGGCTCAGCTACACCTCAGATCCTTGACTCGGCGGCACCGACGCTCAACGCTGTAGGCGATGACGTGCAACAGAAAGATCTCGCAGAGACCGGGGACCAAGCCGAGAATCCGAAGGACGATGAAGACAGCTATCCCGACGGAGGTCTTCAAGCATGGCTAGTTGTTGTTGGGGTGAGTCAATTCTTGTTCTAGTACACTTATTTCTGTGTGCTCTGAGGGCTGACTAGAACTGAACCTTTCTGCTTGTCCCAGGGAATGTGTACGACGTTCTCGACGTGAGTATCGGCCCCTCAATGTCGACGGCCCCCTCCACTTCTCCTTCTCCCGAGATTTCATATCACGGGGATCATGAAAGTGAACCTGTGATCAACTTTGCATCTTCCTTGCCGCCGGTCCGAGAAGGCTTTGAACGGCATTGTGGAACGAAACGTCATCTCTGCCCCTTGTTCAAGTTAACGTTCCTTCCATATTCCGAGCTGACGAAATGCCGTGGCTATCTATAGGTTCGGCTATGTCAATTCGTGGGGTGTACGTGGTCATCTGGGCTTCTAGTATGATTGCTTAGGAGGATCTGAGGGCCTGACGGATCGTACGATTAGATCTTCCAGGGATATTATCAAGAGACTGTCTTGAAAGATGAGCCAACATCCGCGATGTACGTTGAACCATTCTTTGATGATTCGGTGCCTTTGGTCTGAACGCGGACTGCTAGTGCGTGGATAGGCTCGATTCAGGTAAGGAACCCTTCAATTCAGATGTGGTCTGAATCCAAGCTCATGCGACCTTTTGACAGTATGCCCTCATCTTCGTACCGGGTTTGGTCATTGGAAGATTATTCGACCTCGGGTACTTCAAAAGTATCTTCACCTTCTTTAGCATCATCCTCGTCGGATCGACCTTCCTCATCCCCCTATGCACAAAGTACTGGCACTTTCTCCTATGTCAAGGGTTCGCAGTCGGGGTACGTTTTGTTTTCTCTCGTCCAGTTCATCCCCCCGCACCCGGTTTATTGATCATGAGGTACATACTATGCTTGCTGCATCTATCTTGCTGCATGTAGCTTGCGTGTGGTTGTCTGTTCGGACCGACGCCTGCGATTATAGCGCATTGGTTTAAGAAACGGCGCGGGATTTCGATGGGTATTATGGCGGTGGGCTCGTCGATAGGTGGAACTGTTATGCCTATTGCCGCACGGAGTCTGCTCCCAACCGTAGGGTAAGTTACCCCTGTTTTTGTAGGAGTTGGTCCTCGACTTGGTGTATCGAACTCACGAAGGGGATGCTTTTAGCTTCGCTTGGACAATGCGGATTTTCGGATTCATATTCCTCGGAACGATGGGACTGGCCAACGTGGTGAGTACTAGGCATTTCGTTCCTTCATGACCTGTCCCGCTGAATCGAGTTGTGACATTGCAGCTACTCAGAAGGAGGCTTCCTCCACGGAACGTCCCAGGAGGACTGTTCAATTGGGCAGTTTTCAAGTCGGCCGCGTTCTCTGTTTACTGCGTGTCTGGCCTTGTCACGTACTTGGGCGTTTATACCAGTAGGCTCAACCGCTCTTCCCCAATGCATTCGACGCTAACCTCAATAATAGTGCTGACCTATGTCAGCGTAAGCGCCACAAGAATAGGAATCTCGAACGACTTCTCATTCTATTTTGTCGCCATTGCCAACGCTAGTTCTTTGTTCGGTCGGTATACGGCTGGATACCTCTGCGACATTATCGGTACGTATCCTGTTTCCACGTGTTACTTATGTCCGCGTTTTGACATCTGGCTTGCGCCTGAAATTAATGCAGGCCCGATGAACGTGATGATCCCGTTCACCGCTGCAGCTGGGATCCTTACTTATGCATGGCCCTTTGCTCAATCCAAAGGCTCGCTGATAGCAGTGACGATTCTTTACGGGTAGGTCTTCCTTCATCTCCACTCATTCATCTTTCGTCAAGCTAACCGATTTCTGTAGATTTGCTTCAGGAACCTACGTCTCCCTCCTCACCAACCCTATTTTTGAACTCGGTGGAACAGGAGACGTCGGTCGACGAGTTGGGATGTTCACGAACATCCTTGCGATTGGAGCGGTCGCGGGCCCCCCGATTTCTGGTGCCATCCTGACTGCGTCGGGGGGATTTAAAATGGTGGGGTACTATGCCGGTAAGTTTTTATTACTTTGAAGTGGAGCGGTGTGTGTGCACAGGGCTGATGCTTGAGGGAACTCTAAAAGGGACAATGGTTCTCGTGGGCGTAGGCCTCATGTGTGTCTCGAGACATTTGGTGTTGAGGAGGTTGATTGGAAAATTATAGACGGATAGAGACAGCCTTTCGGAATGGATGTTTTTAGACTTAGAATGAGACCCTGATTTTTAGGATCCCGGGGATGGGTAGTAAAGATGGAATGGGTAGTTGACCAGGAAGGGAAAGAGATAAAAACAAAAGATGTTCAATTGAAGACATTGATTCCTTCTAGCCGACTCGAACGACTGACCTCGTCATTACTAGTGACGCGCTCTACCAACTGAGCTAAGAAGGAATATACACAACCGTTCGCACATGCGTATAACTTCGTATGACTTGTACCATTACAAATTGTAATCCAAGCGACAATACTAAGGGTATGAAGGACTAAGTACTCCATTAGCAGAGCGACCTTAAACCTAGCCTAATAGTGATTCCAGAAGGTCAGGTTGTCCGAAGAGTATTGAGATTGCGACGGGGTCTCACGCACGTTCGAGCGCTTTCGTATGCGGAGAGAATACCCCACTCTTGGTTCTCATACTGCTGCACGACATCTTCGGGCTTGACCCCAGTTGGTATCCGGATCGTGTGCTCGACTCCATGAGGATCCGTATACCGGAAGTGCGTAGGACCGCTACACTTCACCCCCTCCTCTCTTCGACTTTGACTAGCGGTTGGATAAGTCACCCCATCCCACCAATACACCCCACTAGCCGGTTCCTTTCCACGGCCTATTCCAGTATTCCAACAGTGGTCGCCCGGTCCATAGACGATCCCACCTGTCGGTGTGAGGCACTCGCCGCCTGTCTGGACTATCCCCTGCGCCCCTGGGGGCAGGTTGCGGAATTCGACAGAGTAGCCGTGGGTGGGAGGGTAGTCGGCGTAACAGTCGAGGTGGACGATGTCGCGCCATCCGAGGGAGCCGCCGTCGCAGGCATCGCGGTTGGGGTAGAGCCATACGTCCACGGATGTGGCTTGGACTGCGAGGGCTAGAAGACAGAGCGCTCGAAAGAGGGGTGATTGGGTTCGGTGGAGTGAAGACATCGTGGATTGAAAGGCAAAGGCGTCGATCGATGGAGGAGCTCCCATTAGAAGTACTAGTGCCAGAGGTCATGCGTCCCCGAATAGGTGAGGTTGGGGATATACTTCGGAGTGACAAGGAAAGAAGGTATGCGACCATGAGTTAGTCGGAAGTCCAGTTCGGCTACAGTCCCTGCCGCCGGTGCGATAGGTCACATATCTGGGGAGTCTACAGTCTATCTCTCTCGGAGAATCGCGTCACAGTTCACCAATACGAACTAATTGCTTCATTTCTTTGAGCCTCTAGCCTCCAAAGCACAGTCCGAGAGGAAGCAGTTGTGATAGCCCCAGTAAGATATTTCCCCGTTCCGTTGTCTTGTGATGGTCACTTGATAGATAAGGTTTCGAAACGGGCAATAGAAGTGATTCAAAGGAGCTGAGGACAAAGGTACAAGACAAAGGCTGACAGAGTCAACTTAATGGAGCTCGGCGGGGACGAAGCCATCGGGTTTGGAAAACCACAGGAACAAACAAAGTCCGGGAAGCGCACAGACCGAGAAACCGATTCTTGGCATTGCTCACCAATCATCGCGCTCGCCGTCGACGTTCGATACCCATGGCCGCCAGTTCAACAGCGCTCGAAGAGGCGGCATACATTGCCTCTGAATTCATATACAGTGCGTAAAGCCACAATAGTCGTCGTCGAAAATCTGTTAAATTGTTGATAGGCATCGACAATCTTCCCAACGAGGTGGCCCATATCCTAGCCGAGATAAAACACAAGGATACCAGAACACAGGGTGTGCGGACTGTTCTCTATCGTCTTTTATTCGTTTTAAAACCTCTCCACAGAGCTGCAGAATGAGATAGACAAGGATTCTGCTCGCTATATCCGACATTCTTTACGAGCGACCGCGACGCCACTGCAAACGCCCACACCGAACGCCCGTGCGCCTTCACCCAAATCCGCAGCCATACCCGGGAAGATCTCAGCCGCCTACGAAGAAATCCAAGTCCTAGCTGGAGAAAAGGCGGAACTGGCCCAAAAGCTCATCGAAATCATTCAACGGACGCGGACTCGCCTCGATGTCGAGTTGAACAAGGTCCGCGTGCTTCAGGGCGAGCCTGTGGACTTTTTGGCGACGCCAGGCAAACCTGCCGCTTCGAACGATGCGCTCAAGAACCCAGCGCTGGCGGTTACAGAGTCGCTGCGCAATGCTTTGGCGTCGACGCCCCTAAGTCAGGCACCGTCCCCCCAGGCGTCGGCGGGTACAACTTCTGTAGCCGGATCTAGTGCCAACAAACGTGCGTCACCTTGCCATTCGACTGGTCCTTGTCTCACTTCTGTTGCAGGTCGCAAAGTCGCTGCGGCTGCTAGCCCCTCCATTAAAATCCCTACTCGGTCGGCCAGTCCTACGGTCCAAGCTCCTGCTGCGCAGGCATCGCATCAACGGTCGAGACTGTCTAGACAGGTGCATCCTCCAGTGCAGGACGAAGACGAAGACATGGATGCAGAGGGCGACGAAGATGTCGGTGAGGAAGGGGATGACGGGGATGGTGACGACAGGCTTTATTGCTACTGCCAGAAGCAGAGCTACGGCGACGTATGTCTATTCAACTTGATTCCCTTGCACGTCCTAATTCTGTCTTTGTAGATGATTGCTTGCGACAACGAAGGAGAATGTCCTTATGAATGGGTACGTTTATACCAGCCTAGTTCCTGTCCTCAGATGCTAACCAGCCTTTTCAGTTCCATCTCACCTGTGTCAATATCAAGGGCCCCACACCCGAAAGGTGGTACTGCGACTACTGCAAAGACAAAATCCCGCAGTCAACACGAAAGGGGAGGAAGAAGTAGTTCCACTTCCATTATCAGTTACCTTTTTATGGAGCGTGATGCCATGCCTCTCGTGGGTCGTGGTGTATGTCGGGAGCTTATCACTCCGACGTTCCATACCTTTTGATATTCTTGCGCTTGTTGTATCTTTATTCTTTCGCTTATGTCGCCTTCAGCGATTCTGTATAGTGTAATTTTTAGGTATACCCTGTAACCTGTAACCCATCCCTCCCCACTTTTGTGCTAATAGTATAGGTTGTTTCGACCGAACTGGCCTTATTTCTTACTTGTTCATCGTCTTGGTAGCGTTCCAATTGTATTTGACTTCGAAAAAGCTGAGCGTTGAGCCATGGCCTGGCCAGCGGAGGGCTTACGGCGTCATTGGACTGGTCAGCGTTGGGCGATCTTGATTTAGAAGTGACGAACCCAAATCAGGAAGTAAATCACACTTGGTGAAACCGTGAAAGCGGCTTGGGCTTTAAGTTTGGGTTCGGGGAACACACGCCGAGAGATGTCAGATGACCGGATCGAAGGTCTGGATTGATACTGTCGTATACCGAGGGATGACATGTGGGCGGAATAACGTTCACCTCGAGATTATACGAGGTGAATCGCCGAATTCAAAAGCAAAAAAATTCATCGCATGCGTCGCAATGGTCGGTGAGGAGCCACCGGGGTATATTCAGATTATATAACGCTACCTGTAATGATCTAATTCTATTTGTCTATCGAAGGATTGTCGACCTATCCCCTGGGTCAGAAATAATCAAGAAATGTACTTGCAAAAGAAACGTACGATTGGTGAATGTTTAGACGGACACGTTGATGGGGCTGCATCCGAGGGCAACGACGCCGTCTAAAAAGGACATATTAGTGGACGATACGACTGGGAGATGAGCGGGTACTCACTGAAGCTGTTGTTGGTGCAGCAAACCTTTTGCTGAGTGCACGACGAGCCGCCTCCAACGCCGAGGACGTTAAGGCTGGTGCATCCAGTACCGACTTGGCCAGTGATCTGCTTAACGTCGACCTTGAGGAGGCCGAGGAGCTTGGTCAGGGACTGGTCGAGCGACTTGGAGTCCTGGACGCTGTTGCAGCATTGGATTTTACCGCCGTTGCATTGCTGGTAATCGACGTTCTTGTGTCCACCAGCGACGACGGCGGAGACGAGGGTGAAGGCGAGCAGAGCAGAGGTGAGGCGGGCGAACATTGTGTTGGATAAGAGTCGAGAGTGGAAAGTAGAGAAGGCTGTTGTGGGCTGGAGAGAGGCGAACTGGGTTCTGAGGAATTGAGAGCCGTGCTGGTGGGGTTTATATTAGTTTCTGGCCTCGGGGTCTAGGCAATTGACACGTCGAACTCACGAGGAGGACCCTGCGCTTAGTCTGTCATCGCGTACTGCAGAAGGCTCAACCCGAAGAACGCGTCTTGGGTGGATACCCTTTGAGGAAGGACTCGGGACTTGTTTGGAAGTCGGTAGACGATTCGTTCGGGCCCGCAACTCGGAAAAACACAGACTAACCCTAATCACGACGTCTAAGTTTTCGGTTATCGTAAACTGAGAGATTGACGAGATTGATTTCTAAAATGGAGACGTCGGCAAGAGTTTGGATTGTCTTGGCTCGTTTCGAGAGTTGACGGACTTGGAGGGGTCAACCGTGTGCATAGTATGTATAGCGTATACGTCTACAGTGGTCAGAAGGGATAAAGTATACAGGTTACAGGTTAAGTGGTAAATGAATGTGATGCCAGAGCTGAAATAGATATTACCAAATGAGTGTGGTACAGAGCTGTAAGTAAAACGAAAGCTTCTACAGAGTGTGTTTACAAACGGTGAGGCTTATACTCGGGTGGCGGAGTAGGCTGACGCGAAATCAATGAGAAAATGAAATGAAAGTTTGGAATTCATTGAGACGACGCGGTCCTGGGTGCGGGGAGAAAGAATGGTCGACCTTGCATCTTAGCCGACTTCCGAGCGTTAATTGCGACAGCAACTGTAGTCGGCTCTGGCAGGGGCATGACCATCCGACGCGCGGTAGGATTGAGAGAAACGACTCTGGGATGATGGACAGTGGCATAATAACACCAGTCGAACGCAGCGTTATCCGAGTGAGGATAAATTTGGGATGCGATGCGGCGGAACCTTCTTTTGCCTGGTTTCGTGACCTTTGTTGCTGGACCCCATACATGAGCTCGAGCTTTCTCTTCTCCGCGAGGAATGAGAGGGCTGGGAGGAAGTAGGGGGAGATGTCGAGGGTACAGTGTCGAGGAGATGCGGGGCATATGAATCACGGTTTCGGAAACGGTTCTTTCTTTGTTGGCCTGATCATCGGAGTGGCAACGATCGCGTTTGCAAGAGGAAAGGTTGGGAATCTAGAAATGAGGATTGAGTTCGCGATACAGAACGAGCGCGGACGCAGAACATTGACATACCTTTTCATCTCTGTACCCAATTGTGGGGGAATCAGAGTCGTAGTGCGTTGCAAACGCGGTCGTTTTCTCGTCGTCGAATACAGTCCAGAGGTAGATCAACCTCGTAAGATGGAAAACAAAGCGAGAGATTGCAGTGCCAATAAACACTGCGAATAAGAGTGCCAGAAGTTCCATGGAAGTCACTGACATCGCTACAAGGGATTACAGTCTCCAGTTCAAACGCCGTGGAGAGAGTCGCGATTCGCGGTCGTCGTGGTGGTTCTTTGTAAAGGACGGAGTCAAAAAGTCCAACGTGATTCCTTGGCCCAGGATGGGAATTGAATATTGATCTCATATGCTGTGGCCCAGAGGACAATGGACAGGTAACGGAGCTTTTTCCGACCTTGGACGAGCCTTTGACGCCGACCATTGTCCTGTTTCTCTCTGCAGAGTAGAGATTATAGGCTGAGTCCGGCCATATCTACAAAGGGTTTGTATCCACAAGCGTGACAGAGATTGCTCGGCCCATTGTCCAAGCATCTCCAACACGCGTAGTCTTGGCACCCGGATTCGGAAGGTGAGTTCCTTTGTCCGTCGCGTCACGGTCCTAGAGACCCATCTCGATGGCAAAACAATCAAAGCGCTGTCGGTGTAAGCCAGTCATTGTTGTGGGAGGGCGGAAATATATAAAAGGTCAAACCCAAGTCGTTAATTACACCCCACCAGAGAGGACATGGCTAAGGGCAGCTAAGAAATCGGGCAGAAGCCTCGTACTACTACTTGGGCACAGATCTCCTTCAAGGTCCCACACACTACGAGGGATTTGATCTACAAGTTGAAGCATAGCATAGTTAAACCGTCCGCCAGCCGAATTCGGTATCCCATATATCTCGCTGTTCATCGTCCAGGGAGATACTTCGAGTTCCACTCTCCGAATAGCGCTTGTCAGCGTAGTTGATCTCCCACCAGAGATCTCCAAGGTCCCAAACACTGAGAGCGAATTGCTGTTCTCGCTGAAGGGTCACAACGAACTCTTTGAGATGACCAACTCGCGAGTCATGATGGTGAACGTTGCCTGACCGACTTCGCATGAAGTTGAGCAACATCCGGTTGGAAAGATCAGTGCAATCGCTGCCGTCCCACCGGAAATATTGTAGCTCGGGCCACGGAGCGTTCTGCATTACGTGGTGCAAGAAGTCGTCGAAGCTAATTGTTGTGCTCCTACGGGGACTGACGTCGGCAAGGAAATCGAAGAAATCTTCAAGTTCGCTGTCTTTGGGAGGGTCTCGTCTCTTAGCATGGAACTGAACAAGGAGCCCAAGAGGCGAGTTTCTCCTAAAGATAGTGAGGTGGAAGAATCTCTGCGGTGTCCTCGCCGGCGTCAGTCCCCGTACGAGGACAGCCGTTGGCCTCGACGACTTCTTGCACCACATAATGCAGAACGGTCTGTGTCCCGAGCTACAGTATTTCCGGTGGGACGACGGCGATTCCACTGGTCTTTCCGACCGTACATTGCTCAAGTTCATGCGAAGCCGGTCAGGGAATGTTTACTATCACGACTCGCGAGTTGTTTATCTCCAAGAGTTCGCCGTGACGCTTCAGCGAGAGCAGCAATTTGCTTTCAGTGTGTGGGACCTTGAAGGAGATCTCTGGTAGGAGGTCAACTACGCTGACAAGCACTATTCGAAGGGCGGAACTCGCAGTATCTCCCTGGACGATGAACAGCGAGATATATGGGATACCGAATTCGGCTGGCGGACGGTTTAACTATGCTATGTATGCTTCAACTTGTAGATATACTAGTCACTGACCCGTGCTCCGCACGGGGAGGTAAGCCAGCCTTGCAAATCTTTTGTTCGCTTTTCCGCTCCTGAGTTCTGTCTGTAACCCGATGGTACTTGATTAAACAGGCGCTTGTCCAACGACCTTTTTCTGTTTAATCGCAATAGAATAATCACCCGCGCTTGCTGCTTTCCAGGAGCCCCGAGAACACCTTCGGGTTGACCTTTGTCGATGAGATGCACCTCCAAAGTTTAGCCACGTCCAAACCCTGGATTTAACCGCTCTACCCGTTCGTTTTAAGACTCCAACCATATGCATATACGGTACCCTATCACTATAGTTATCCCTTTACTGTAAGTCTGATGTTCCTCAAATTTTATGTATAGTCTACTTATAGTGTACAGGGTTTCGCAAAAGGGTATGTGCGCACGATCCCAAAATTTTGGCCCTGGAACCCTCAGAATCCACCTTTTTGGGCGCCTATCCTTATGACTACCAAGCTCTCTCTGGGAAGGGAAAGTATCTTGAGAAGAGCTGACCTCTCAGGCTCAGAAAAGGCGATAGAAACGTTATCTGATGCACTCTGAGGGCAGTAAATATATTTTACCTTTCTGAAGTGTTTAAACGGCGAATTGTACCCAGCATTGAAAAATCTAACACCTGAGACTCTGAGAACGACATTCAAATTCGGAGGCCAAGATTTCATCCATGTCTGGCGTTTATGTTTAAAATTTGTCCAAGGCATAAACTTTACCTTTTGTATTTAGGGATTTCCTCGTATGCGTGTATGCCCTTACTATGCAATTGGACTAATTCTATGCTATGACACTATTCACTTTGAGAGATTTCATCGCACCTTGATCAATAGTGAACTAGAACAATTCCTTGATTTTTCCTTGCCGACATTAGCGCCCGCACGAGCACCATCAGGAAAAACGCAATCGGTTAATTCTACGCCATTAGTGCGAAATAGGTACAGTAACTTTGACTATGTTTCAACTTGTAGATCGAATTCCTCGTACGCCTGTATGCCTGTACTATGCAATTGGACCTATTCTATGCCATGACATTAACGATTTTGAGAGATCTGATTGCACCTTAATCACTGGTACATCACGCATTCCTCATACTAGCATACTCGAGAGTTAGGGGATCCGTAATCAAGGCTCTACCTGCACCCAGTACCCCTCCTCTTCGTAATCTCATATGCTACATATTTTTCGATTATCTCTCGTAACATGGAAATATGAAGTATCCTTAAGAGGTGATTCAGGTCAGGGGAACGCCTAATAACTTGAAGAGCTGGAGACGCGTTCCACCAGCGAGAGTTTCTTCCAGATTCTTTCCAGTCTCTTGGTTTTGGTTCGAACGATTAATATTTAATTATTGTTCGGTTCTCTCGCACTTTCAACAACTGAGGGATCCACTGGTTCTACGAAACGTGCGTCACGCTTAACAGCAAGGACACTGCAGGATGCTGGGTGCTCCAGTGAAGAAATGGTGAATTAGGCGCCCAAGCGGATCGTTGCTCAGCGCTCAGCATCGGTTGTTTTCTGACTGAATACCATCACGGTCCATGAAGGGCACGAGGGGCACACTGCATCCGCTATTCTGCTGCCTAGCTGAGTGTCCAAATAGAACCAAGATTTCAATACGGTTTCAAGAGGATTGTTCTGCGGGGAGGAACCACGCTCAACGTGATTAAGGGCATACGACAATTCCGGTCTAGCTGCTCTATAGAACAGGGGTATATACATGTAATTCCACTCCAACAACTGGAGAGATAAACCATTAACCAATCTTAAACTAAACTACAACTTCGCCGCCTTCAGACTCTGATGATTCCTCTCCGCATTCTTCAGATTCACAGCCATAGGCAGGGTCAACGCCATCTGCGTTGCAATCGCCAAACAAATCTGTTTATCCCTCCACCCCTCTTCTGGAGCTCCCTCGCCAATTTTGGAGGGCGCGCTCCAGACTTCGACGTAGATGTCGTGGCGGCTTTGGGGGTGGTTTACGAAGCGCCCGGAGGAGTAGAGGCCGACGGTTTTCGAGGAGTGGTGGGGTGTGAGGTTGCGCACGGGGAATTTGAAGTCGACGGCGAGGGTCATTGTGGGTGCCCAATGGCTGATGAGGAAAGGGAGTTAGTTGGTTAGTTCTGTGCTGCGAGGTCGGTGTGGAGCGGATAGAGAGAAAGGGTGACGTACGCAGCATCCTCAGTCCCTCCCTCGCCCAACGGCAGCAGACTCCGCGTGTTCATAAACATGTCAACCAAAAGCGGGATATAGACATTTGACAACTTCTCCGTCGGCTGTTCGAATTGGAACCATGCAGCCCATTCTGTCCCCCCGCCTCCGACTGTCTCGCTGTTCGTCCGGTTCGGGTGGCCGGGTTGGTTTTTCTCGAGGGTCGCGGTGTCGTGGGCCCAGGAGACTTGTTGGTTCGTGCGCCAAACGCCGAACATGGGTGTGTGCTTGGCTTGGGAGGGGTGTGAGTACAGGGGGAGGCGGCGGGCGTAGGGGGAGGGTGGTTGGAGGACGAAGTCTCCCTCGGAGAGAGGACCGTTGAGCCCGAACATGGCGTGTGCTGTGATTCTTAGTGCGTCCTGGAGAAGGAGTGTCATCGTGGAGGTTAGTATTCGCTAGGACAACATGATATTGGGAAATGAAGGTACTGCGCACCCCTTGGATTAGGTCGGCTAGGAGGTTGGTGATCGTCTTTCCGGTTTTTACTGTTCGTACGCGGACGAGGAAGGGGAGAGCGGAGGTTGTTGGTTTGAGGAAGTGGGAGGAGATGTGGAGGGGGTCGATGTGCTCTGTCTTTTCTTGGTGCTGAATGCATGCCTCTAGAATCAAAGCTAGAGAGTATCCTGGAGGTTTCGAGTGTCAGACACGACGCTTCGACGCGTAGAAAAAAGAAATCAGTCTACCTCCACATGGCACGCTATTGGAGAAAGAATCAGCTTTAGTTCATTGGGAGTGATTGACGTTTGAGGGTACGTACTTTCCGATATTCCAAGTAGGATCCATGATTCCTTCGTAATCCACCGTTCGCCCCTCAAAGTTGGCGGCATCTTGCGGTCCTTTACGGTGGACGGTCACAGCTTGGTTGAACGGTGCCATCTTCGTACAATCTCGAACGTTGAAGGGGGCAGGGAGGGGCCAAGGGGTTCAAGCATTGCGAGCCTCGTGAGTGTCAGACTTTAAGATGTTTTCGTTGTCAGGTATTCCGGGGAAGTGAGTTCCGGCATGGAGGCGTTCTTCAAACCGGAGCCGGTGTTTTACCCCGCAAATGAATCATGATGGTTCGGTGAGTTTTCTGGGATTGACCGATGACAAAGTCCCCCCTGATCAGCCAGTAAAAGTGTGTCGATTGAGGAGGATTGTGCCTGAAAAAGGAGGAATGCATCAAGAATGCATGATCAGTTCGAATGGCACGCTTGGAGAGACGGAGTGCCTATTGCTTAAGCGACGTCCCGGTGTAGGTGGATTCCACTGCGTTCCGTGCTCCCAGCTTACATCTTTGCGGCACCTTTGGCGAGGAATGAATTCAAAGTGGAAATCGCAACTTGGATGTCGAAAGTCAGTGGCTCTGGAGAGTGGGATGGATGTGACACCCGCACCTGAAGTTTGGCTGGACAAAGAGAGCAACGTCCTTCTTAGCTCAGTTGGTAGAGCGCGTCACTAGTAATGACGAGGTCAGTCGTTCGAGTCGGCTAGAAGGAAGTCTTTTTCTTACCCTTTTTCCCTCAAGTAACCTCAAACTAACCTGCGCAATTAACTCACATACTGATTGAGGCGCACAAGCACATACGTCGATATCGATAATTCAATCTGGTGTTGCATTAACTAAAGCACGGGCGTCTAATCGACGACCATGGCCGTTGGTCTGGGCGACAAGGTGGGACCAACTATGTAGTACGCAGCGGACTCCCCTCGTAACACGAAAGCTTCATTTTGTGGGGTTCAAGGGCAAGTTCTTGTAGCACATGAAATTCATCAGGGCAGCCACCTTCGGTACGTGTAACCAACCGATCGAACGGTTCCTTGTCCTTTACCTCGCCCATTCAGATTTCGACCTCTGTCTTCACAGTGGTCGCAGTCGAGTCGTCGCCTTCCATTCGCTTCAAGCTCCAATTACGAGAATGAAAAGGCATCAGGGCAATCGCGGCAATCTCGGCCAAGGCATCTTCGACTCCAGCGGCTGTGTTGAGCCGCATCATCCCCGTGTTCACCGCTTGTCTACGAGCAGCGACCACACCTCGCACGGCGGCCCAACCTCTTCCTCAACACCGCTCTCCTTGGGCGCGCTCAACCTGCCAGCGCGCATCTACATTCCGGTCTTTACTTTCATTTCAAAAACCCAACTTGTGAGTGCTATTAGTACACGTTTGAAGAGGACGCCCGCAGATGATCCTGTTTGGTTTGTAGGCTTTTCGGCGCAGGACTGGGAATCCCCATACTGGGCGGTGCTTGAGGGCTTGACGGGTGCTGTTTAGCTTTTTGTCGCTTGAGGGCGCTAGAGTTTCTCCGTTCTTCTCTTCTTTTCTCTACCACCACCACCACCAACGACACTACATTCAGCCTCTTCGTTGCTGAGGCAAGATGGCGAACGTGAGCTTGTAAGTCTGTCTTTCTGGACTATTGGGAGTTGGATGGACGAGGAGACTGACGGTTGTCGCTATCGCGCGATTGTAGAACGCTTCGTCCACCGCCTAATGTCGACTTTGTACACGGTAAGTGAGCTGGGTATTGGGTTCGTTAGACGCCGGCGCTCTATTGCCATCGTCTGGAGTGGTGCTTGTGGAAGAAAGCTGACGACGTTTCTCGCTCACCAGGCTTCCCCGGCATCCCACCAGCTGCAGACAGGCCTCAAGCTATCGTCAAGGGTGTACGTTCTCCCTCCACCCAACTAAACCCACTCCAAAAACTCACAGCAGCTCAACTACATACATACAGGCCGTCGAACTGCGCGTCCCACAAAGCGGCGTAAAAGCCAAATGGGTCCGCATCGAGCTACGCAAAATCGAGCGACTACCGCCCGGCGGCCCGGACAGCGAGTTCTACGACTTTGTCGGTCCCAGCCCGATCAACCTATGGACCTCACCCGACGAATACGGGCTGCTGCGCTCACAAGACTTTCCCTTCTCCATCCGTATCCCCGAGTCCATCCCGCCCTCGGTCGAGCTCGACAACCGCGGGCAAATCTCCTACGAACTCATCGCGACGGTGTGCACGAAGGGCAAGAAGGGGTGGCTGCGGAAGGCCAAGGCGGTCGTGTCGAGCGCAAAAGCGCCGATTACGATTGACAAGCACGAGTTGCACTCGACGTGGCCTGTGTACTGCCAGCACGAGATCCGCGAGGTGTCGCAGGAGGGCGTGCACCTCGTCGTTGAGCGCAACCATTCGTGTTTTGGGCCCGGGGACCGGATTGCGGTCTCTGCGACTGTCAAGTCTGATGCGCTCTCGACGGTTGTGCTGGCGAACTTGGAGCTGGCGCTGAAGGAGACGATGAGGCTGCATCCGAATAATTTTGCGGGCGTGAGGAGGGTCCAGGCGCAGAAGGTGGAGAAGGTGGTGGTGAGCCAGGTTGCGGAGGTGAATGCGACGTTGTATGGGGGGACGCGCCGCACGGTGGAGCTGTCGTGTACGCTTAACCCGAATCATACCACCCCCACGTTGACGGCGGCACGGCATTTGGATATCAATTACTCTTGTATTGTGAAGGCGCAGTTGGGGAATGGGAAGGTTATCGTTATGGAGCTTCCTGTTATCGTCTCGAATTGGCCGCGTAGTGCGAGTGCGCAGGCTATCAAGTGCGTTTTTTTTCACCCTTCTCTTTCGTTGTGGATCGTAGCTGACGGGTTTGGTTTCGTTTGTGCTATATTACAGACAAATTGGACCTACACCGAACCTCTCGCTTCTTCCACCGGTGGTACCTACGCCAACAGGCAACTCGATGTCGATGTCGATGTCGTACGCCCAAGCCCAGATTGGACGACCAAACACCGCAGCAGCCAACTCTCCCGCCCAAATGGCGTCTACGCTTCCCATCGTCCGGACGTCGCATGAGGGTATGGGTCCCGGCGGGCATAATCTCAACCACGCGAATAGTAATTTTGCGACTGTTGCGAACCCGTCGGGGATTGGTGTTTCTCGGGCGGGTATTGATGAGTTTGGGTATAATACCCCGATGAGCCATCCTGCTAGTCCGGCGAGGCCTGGGTTTAATGCTTCTGGGCCTTCTGGTGGACTTGGGGGTGGGGTACCTGGGGGTGGGGTGCTTGGAGGTGGTGTGAGTGGCGGTGGTGGGCCGCCTCATCAGCTTAGACAGGGTCGGCGGCCTGGTTCGGCGGGTGGGACGAATAGGTTTACTATTACTAATGCGCCTGAGTTGGAGTTTAATACTGGAGGAGGGGCTGGGGGGAGTAGGATGGGAGGAGGTTCGGGAGGTGTTGGAAGTGGTGCTAGTGGTGCAGCTGGCGCAGTTGGAGGGGGACAGCAGAAGCAATGGCCTAGTGCGGAGGAGGAGAAGAGGTTGTATGAGATGGCGAGGAGGAGGGTTGAGAATACGCAGGGACCTCATGCTGCACCTGTGAGTTTCTCGTTTCTCGTTTCTTTTCGATCTGAATCTACTTGTGAATTTGAATTGATGTTTGGTTGGATGCGTAGCCCCCTGTTAGTGCGCGTATGTCCCCACCGCCTCGTGCGACCTCTGCTGGCGCCAGTTCGGGGTCTAGTCCCACTCACACTGCTGCTACGACCAACGCGACCGGCAATAACACCGGCAGTACCACGCCACGCCAATGGCTCACGGCTGAAGAAGAGAAAGTGCGGTTGTACCAGAAAGCGCAAGAGGCGGCGCAGAAATACCAAGATCCGAATGCGTTTATCCCGCCTGCTCCTGCTTCTGTTTCCCAGGAGTTTGGTGGTGGCGGGAGTGGGAGTGGGGGGTTAGGTGGAGGTGGTGGAAGTCTAGGGGCCAAGCCGACTGGAGCGCAGTTGTATCAGCAGGCTATGGCTGCGAGGAAGAATAATATGCCTGCGCAGGTTCCTGTTTCTGGTGCTCCTACTAGGAATGCGAGTGCGACTGGGAGTGGGGTGGGAGGAGGAGGAGGAGGAGGGGCGGGAGGGGCGCCGCTGCGGGCCTACCCTACTGCGGAACAGGAGAAGGCTGCGTTGAGGAGGTACGAGGAGGCGAAGAGGGCTGTGGACAAGACGCAGGGAGGGGATGGGCCTATTGCGTATGAGGCGTTGTTTCCGAATGCTGGTGGTGGGAGTGGTGGGAGGGGGAGTGTGTCGCCGCCTCCTCCTGCTGCTGGTCCGCCACCACCTGTAGGCCCGCCGTCCCTGCATGGCGATGCCCCGCCGCCATTTGCGCATGGAGGAGCGTCTGGAGCTGGGGCGTATGCGATTCTTTCGGAGAAGGAGAGGTTGAGGAGGAAGTATGAGGCTGAGGATGCTGCTGCTGCTGCTGGTGGTCAGCGAGGGCAGGAGGCGGGAGGTGGGATGGGAGCGCCGCCCCCGCCTTTCAGTCCTTCTCCTCCGCACCCGCTGCGGACGCAATCTCCGCCGGTTATCCAGCCGCAGCCGCAGCCTGTGACGCAGCAGCCGCAGCAGTTTATGAGTGCGATGGCGGAGAAGGAGGCGCTTAGGAGGAAGTTGGAGGAGAAGGATCGGTTGGCTGAGCAGCAGCAGGCGCTGAGACAGGTTAATGGGGGATCGTCGCCTCCGCCTCCGCCGCCGCCGGCGTTCACGCCTGTGCCTATCACGCCTCAACGTGGTGCAGGTGTAGGTGTTGGTGTTGGTGGTGGTGGTGGTGGTGGTGGTGGAGGTGGAGGGAGGAGTCCGCCGCCTACGCCTGGTAGTCCTGGTGTTATGACTCGACCGACGCCGCAGCCTCCTGTTGCGGGTGGGTCGGGTGCGGGGAGGGTGTTGACTGCTGCTGAGGAGAAGGCGCTGTTGAAGGCCAAGTATGATGCGCAGGATGCTGCTGGTGGTGGTGGTGGTGGAGGTGGAGGTGGGAGGCCGACTCTGCCGCCGCCTAGGGTTAATGGGAATGGGAGTGCGTTTGGGGGTGGAGGTATTGGAGGAGGGAGTGGTGGATTACCGAGCTATTCGAGTAGTGCTGCTGCCCCGCCACCGTTGATGCCCCGTCCGCCTGCTGAGTATATTCAGGAGACGAAGGAGGAGGATGAGAGGGTTTCGAAGTTGGTTAATCAGGATGGGGTTGTTTATGGGGATTTGTAGGGTCGCTGATTCGTCTTTCTCTTTTTTTTTGCTATCTTGGAAGTACAAGTATACTTACGTTCTCTGGTTTTTTTGAAAGAGGCAAGCGTTCATTTCGTTTCATTTCCATCTTTGATTTTTCTATGCTGATATCCTACCCTGTTGGTATACCTCTTGTGCTTTGCTCGTTAACGTTGACATACATACGTATCTCGCTCGTTACTTTTGCGTTTTATTTAGTCGTCTCTTTTGTATATCCCGCACTCGCACACTCCCTGGAACGTTTATTTATGGATTCTTTGCAATGCTGTATCCTTTCTTAGGGTTGATCGCGAATCGCGAGTGACGCGTGGCCTGATGATGGAACGCGTCAGCGGGCGCCAATTGGAAAACGTGGGAATGGGAACCGGCGCTGCCGCCCGTTATTATTTGGGGCTGTGTGGCCTGTGATGTGTTAGGTAATGTGCCAGGAATTTCTTCTTGGTGCTGTTCAGCGACGTTGACTGGCAACTTTTGTTCGTGGCAAGTTCATGCTCTTCATCTAGTGCGATCAGCTCAACTTTATCCCTGTCCAATCACCGGTGCGTCTGTGCGCTGAACCAATTATTCCTGTGGCTGAGGAAATCTGCACCATCACTAGCCATATTCCTTTTACCCCGTGCAACCCATTCGACTCGCACTTGTATCGATTGCTATCCCGCCATATCCTTTCCACGATTACCGGCACTGATTTATCGCATTCTGACCATCGAGCTGATCCCCGACGCCTGACGCACCGGTGAGCTGACCCTTTGAAGCAGGGGCACAACGCAGAAGAGAGAAGAGCGAGCATGACCAGTCCACACTCACCCTACGGCCACGGCCCTGGCCCGTCCTCTTACTACCACCCCTCCCCGCCGCCCCATCTCTACGGCTCCCACTCCCCCGGCCCCGGTCCCAACTACTCGTACCAGTACCCACCGCCCCCACCCGCGCACATGACCCCATCTTCGACTCCCCCAACACGGCAGAACGCGCGCGGAGGCTCGTATTCAGCGAGGAACCATAACCCGTACAACTACTATCACCACCACCACCAGTACCCGCACCATCACCATCACCACCATCATCACCACCCCGCTGCCGTGCCCCTCCACGCCCCCAACCCACACCACCACTACTCGGCCAAGTATAACCAGCCGTACTCGCCTGCTCCCTATGCCCCCGGCTTCAACCCCGCTGCTATGCCGTTCACGCCTCCGCCCCGGCACACGCCCCAGCCGCACCCCCCGCCCCCGCCGCCTCCTCCGCCCCAGACGACTGCTGCTGCCCAGCCCCCGCCTCCTCCACCTCCACAAGCACAACAAGCACAGCAGCAGCAGCCGCTTTCGCCGTTGCCGAAACAACTCTCGATGCCGCCCCCGCCGAATGGATTCTACGACCCGCATTCTCGTCCTCCACCGCCTGCTGTTACGTTGACTCATCCTCTTCCCGATAAACCTGCATCGTCGTCGTCGTCGTCGGTGGTGGAGGCTGCTGGTTCGCCTGCGACTGCGACTGTAACTGCCTCTGCGCCTTTGTCGCCGGACCCTGTAGCAGAGGAGTCTGCTCCAAATCTGGAGGAGCAGCAGGCTCAGCCAGAGGTGGCTGCTGCTGCGCCCACGTCCTCGTACGATAGTATGGGGACCATCAAAACGAGCGATAACGTTGAATCGGTGACGGCGGGCAACGAGGCTTCTTCATCGTCGACGACGTTGGGATCGGCGTCGTCGAACAAGCCTGCTACGACGGTTGTCAACCCCGTCTCGGCATGGGCGATCTGGTCGAGGCGACCGCACGATCCTTCGTCTGCTCCGGGGATTATCATATCCCCGGGAGCACAACCACCACAGAACATTGTTGATCGAGCCATCGATGCTCGTACACCCCCGCCTTCTCCTACGATAAGACCTAAAAGGGTCAGGAGGAAGGTGCGACCTGTAGCGGATGACAAGCCGGTTGAGATGCCTCCGGTGCAGGAGGAGGATACGTCTGTTCCGTCGTCTAGTACTGAGACGACGGATGAGTCGACTGTCCCTGACGGATGGCCAGATGCCTAGGGAGAACGGATGGATGCCTAGGGATGACGCGCGCAGGTGTAGACTGTAGCTTTAGTGTAGGTATGTATAGTTACTTACTACTACCTCTCTTTTCACCTATTCTTTATGGTGTATTATTGCGCTTTGGCTTTGGATTTTTGTTGTTTGTTGTTGTTGTCGATGTTTGATGTGTAGTTTAGGCTACTTGGGAGCGTTGAAAATTCACTTTTTGCTTTCTTTTTATTTCTTTAGTTAGAGTGAGTGAGAGTGAGACTGGGTTGCTTCAACTTGGGTTTGCGGGATCCACTCGAGAGGCGAAAGCTGAGGCCATCAAGCCGACCACGTGGGCGTCGGCCATGTTTCGGTGTCGACGGACGCGTGACGCGTCGGTGGATGGAAGGTCGTTTTCCTAACTGGGAATTTAACCATGCCAAGGCTCGTCGGAGCCCCTGTCCTTCAATGTTGAGATTGACCAAGTCGTTGGAATTGCTAGGACAGATATTCCTGATTGGAGGCTTATCACAGCATTCCGTTCTGATTTCTGATAGGTAGAGAGAAGTGGTTCAGTAGATCCGGCACGAGTGGCACGCAAACTGTGGCATAGGACAACCCGATTTCACGGAGTGGCTCGATTACTCACAGGCTATAGAGTCGAGCAACGAGATACACGAAACCACCTTCTTTTTTCGCCCCTTTGTTTACTTTCCTCTGGACCAAAAGTGGGTGCCAGGTGCTGACAAATCTCTCGCTCATCCGGGCTGTGGCTCAACCCAAGCGCGCGCCTCAGTTGACAGTACTTCGTTTCTTGCTTTTACGACTGCGATTTCGACTTTGGTTATCAACGAAATTCTCATCATAGTCGAGCGAGTAGAGACTTGTTGGAGATGCCGTTGTCTGTGCGGAATTTTCTGATGCTCCTTGGAGCAGTTGGTGTTGCCACTTTACTCCTTCTTTTGTATTATTACTTTGTGGTAAAGGCGGGAGGTTCGTCGCGTTGTTTGGTAAACCTTTCCAGTTAGAGGTTTGGATTTGTGATTCCTAACCGTCTTTCACAGCCTTCCCGTGTCTGTGACCAGGTAGACTGTCTTCCTGTCAAAGTTTCAATCGAGGATGATATAGAGAGTTGGGAATCGGAGAAGGTAGATATCTCGTCTGTTGAGGTCGAAGAGATGGTAGTTTTACTGCGTTATTCGATCATCTCTCGAGTTTATGTGGCTAACCTTTACCTGCAGATCAAAGAGAGTCCTCGCATTGACACTGACGCACTGGCTCTTGAAGTCGCTTTGAACGTTGGGACCACCAACGATAACTTGAACGCGTTCGTGGTGGACGCGCCGATCGGGCAGGCAGGTCCCACGGTCCCAACCCCTGCCATTCCTGCAACTCGCCCCTCAGCACCGTCCAAGCGATGCCAACCTACCCCATTTCCCACCAAAAGCATCTCCTGCCCCTCCCCGCCAATATTCCCTCGCCATCCAAGCCCCTGTCCAAGCCCACTCGTACCCCGATGGAACCGCCGCCGACGCGCCATCGTCTACGCGCCCAAATCACCCGAACGGAGCCCCAGAAAATGGAGGCGGGTCAACGCCAATAGCGTCTACCGACACTCGAGTAACGCAGTCTACGATCTGTTTTACTACGGGACTGTTCATCATCCCCGAGTTGTACGTTTGAACCCGTCTGTGCGAAAGGTGCTTGACACGGCACCGGATCCTGCGTTGATTGAGATGTTTATGGGTTTTCGGAGGGTTGTGAAAGCTGAGGGAAAGGATTTTAATCTGCCTAAGCCTAGGGTGTAGAGCCATGATATATAGACTTGGAGGCTTCGTTCGCCTTTCTAGCTACCATCTTCTCAAGCATGCTCCACTTACCGTTTCGATTTAGACCTTCTTAGGGAAGACCAAGGGTTGTAAAAACCCGCGGGTTTTGCGGGTGGGGTAGTCAAGGGTAGGGGTAAGGGTGATTGTATTGCGTCACCTTCTTGTTGTTTTAGTAGCTCACGCTCTTTTGCTTCATCTGTCGTTCATTTTGTCCCTTGTTTTCGATCTTTCACGGCCTTACGCCTCATATAGCAGTCATACACATACATTGTAGATCTATGTATTGTAGAGAAGTCGACTTTTAGCATTGTCGCTTTAGCATCGACCGTAACAAACACTGAGGGTACGTTATTACATAGTGTCAGTCTTGATTCTTTCGACAACGGCGGCCGACTTGTCGCTTCCAAACAAGTCCCGAGTCCTTCCTCAACGGGTATCCACCCAAGACGCGTTCTTCGGATGCCAGTGTACGCGATGACAGGCTAAGCGTAGGGTCCTCTTATTGAGTTCGACGTGTCAATTGCCTAGACCCTGGGGCCAGAAACTAATATAAACCCTTCCAGCACGGCTCTCAATTCCTCAGAACCCAGTTCGCCTCTCTCCACTCCACAACAGCCTTCTCTACTTTCCACTCTCGACTCTCATCCAACACAATGTTCGCCCGCCTCACCTCTGCCCTCCTCGCCTTCACCCTCGTCTCCGCCGTCGTCGCCGGTGGGCACAAGAACGTCGATTACCAGCAATGCAACGGCGGTGAAATCCAATGCTGCAACAGCGTCCAGGACTCCAAGTCCCTCGACAACTCCCTGACCAAGCTCCTCGGCCTTCTCAAGGTCGACGTCAAGCAAATCACTGGCCAAGTCGGTACTGGATGCACTAGCCTTAACGTCCTCGGCGTTGGAGGCGGCTCGTCGTGCACTCAGCAAAAGGTTTGCTGCACCAACAACAGCTTCAGTGAGTACCCGTTCATCTCCCAGTCGTATCTTCCACTCATCTCTCCCTCCAGATGGTGTCGTTGCCCTCGGATGCAGCCCCATCAACGTCTCTGCTTAAACTTCCCCATCGCCTGGATGGTACGTTTGCCTAGTCATAACCCTGCAGGCTGCAGACAACGTCTGACTATGTGCTTGTAGTCTTTCCAAACTCTAATCGCTATTACTGTAGTACCTATCATTTAAATTCATCGTCTTTATCGCCTCGATTTCGAACGATTCACCTTGCACTGCCTAAGACAACACCCGCCCATCCGTCACTTACAAGCCAACTATGTACGCAGTCTGCGGAGTGCCGGAGGACGGGCGTGAAGGGGTACGTAGAATTATCTGGCCACTCTGACACTGTTATCCTTGAGGTAGTTGTGGATTGCGTTTGCAGAACGCGAGGATGTATGTACGGTTCAGTTTACCCCTATGAGAGAACTGACTAATACCCCCGAACCTGGTGATGGCCCGGGTTCGCTGGTCGAACCATGCCGTTTCACAGGGCTTGCTTCTTGCCACTACTCACCTCCATCCCAACTCCTACTTCACGGCTTGCACCTGGGCCTCATTTTCACCTCAGACATTTACTCTTTGCGTACTGTATTCTCAGGTTAGCGTGCTTGACCAGCATTTGCAATGATCAAGTTCTCAACTTCGGCTTTTAGTAGCGCCCGTGAAGACCATGTCATCCGACACGATCCAAGATCTTCTCACCACCAACCGCGAGCCCAGCACTTTTGAAATCGAGGATGCCGCCCGTAAATATGAAGAACTGAGGCAAGAGCTCCACGACATCGAGAAAAAACGCGACGAGATATCGGTGAAGCTCGACGGGTATAGAGCTGTGCTGTCCCCCATGCGCCGTCTATCAGACGACGTGCTACAAGAGATTTTTGTGTGGTGTCGACCGAGCCACAGATACCCTCTTCTGACGGACGACAGAGAGGGCCCTCTCCTCCTCACAAGGGTGTGCCGGCGGTGGAACGACCTTGCGTTGAAGTGTCCCCGTTTGTGGGCACAGTTCACTGTCCCCTCGATCAACAACGGGCCCCACGCCGTACCCAGTATCGTTCGTCACACCATCTCACTGATCAACCGATGGACGGAGAGAGCGAAAAGTCTCCCCATCGGCGTGTCGTTCGAGGACCAGTTCGACCGCTGCATCGTCAGTCTCTTCAAGGGATCCCGTCTCTGGGAGGAAAGCCGCCGCATTTCCTCGCTTTCCATCGCGTGTGAAAAAGACCATCTTCCTCTGTTCGGACGTGAATCTCCGTCGTTTATCGAACTTCTCAACGAAGTCTTATCCGACAGCGAGAAGTTCCCCGGGCTGAAACGACTCGCATTGAGGCTCAGCCCTTTGTGTTACGATACTCCGCTGACGCGTAGGTTTGCCGACGAATGCACGATATTCCGCCAGCCGCACCTCAAAATCGTTGAGCTTCCCCTTTCAGACGGCCTCCCTTTTTCATTTCTGAAATCCGCCTTACCATGGTCGACGCTTACTTCTCTCGATCTCCTGGACTCAGACCCATGCAGGAGTCGGAAATTCTCACTTTGGGAGGTACTGGACATCCTAAAGTGCGGTACGCATCTCGTCGAGCTCAGGGCAAGGGTAGACCGCCTCCGCCCCAATGAAGACACACGGGCACCCAGCAAAGTAGATAATTCGACTTTACAGCGACTACACCTCTTCCTCTCTACCAAACTCGATCGATCCGACGTGCACAAATTCAGCTCCCTACTATCACTGCCGTCGCTTCCTAGCCTTCGAATGGAATGGATGAAAAAACTCGAGAATGATCCAGATCCCATCCACATATATCCCTTCCTACTCGAAGGAATCGGGAAGACCTTGACGTCTTTAACCATAAAGCCTTCGTACCCTTGGAGCAGGAGTCGCCGCGACCTGCAACAAATCGCAGCCTTCACACCCCAGTTGATTCAGCTCCGTCTGGAGGAACCTCATCGTAGTCGGTATGAGGATACCGATCATTGGTTCGGGTACGGCACGGAGGAAGACGTACCGGGTTGGATCGTGAATTCGAACTCTCACGAGAACCAACAGTATCAAGAAGGCGACCGCTTCCTGGCGTTCATCACGCCTGGTTTGACGACCGACACGCCCTCATCAGACTCGGAGTCCTATTGGCCGAACCTTCAGTATTTCAAATGGGAAATGGAGACTCTGTCGTTCACAGACGACGCCATCGAATCGTTTGTTCGCCAGCGTGCTCACTCGAATACCCCACTTCGACAAGTATTTATCAAACTTCCTCGGGCGGCCGCGCGCGATGTATTGGCCCCTCTGGAGGACCTTGTATTGAAGGGACTATGTATCAGGCTGGAGTATCAGGATGATGATGGGGTGAGGTACGACTATAGTACAGACGAGCTTGATGCCTTGATAAACCCTTATTGGCGTGCTTCTCCACCTCCCAGAGAAGGCTTAGTCACGGACGCCTTTGGTTGGTAGAAACTTACTTGTATATGGATCCATCACCTAACGTTCTCAACGCGCTCAAACACGTAGCTTTGCAAAGGCCAGTTTCACTGGGGAGAAGTGGGATACTAAGATACACATGTATATAAAGTTCAGACTGTTCTTCAGATGATGGAAAAAATGTAGATATTTGCACTTAAAGCCCAGATGATGTGAGAAATTCTGAGTCTCGAGAGGAAAAGGATGGGAGTACGGTAAAGGTGATAGTCGGAACTCGTGCCCATACGATTAGGGGGCCTTGCCTCTAATGGTCTGGGCCCCTATTATTAAACAACACTACGCGAATCTGCTAACCTGAATCCAAGTCATAGTCTCTACAGATCAGGCAGAGTAACGCCTGTGTGAGCCCGAAGCATTGTAGGACGTCTCCCGAATTTTGGATCCCACCGTACCTCTCGCTGTCCCGGATCGTCCGAAAGGGGGGTACTGTGTGGTTCCATCCTTCGAATAATACTTGTCAGCACTAGATGCTGTAGCTTTTATTCATAATTTACGGTTACATCCATCTATACATTATTCATAAAAACACGGTTACCGATGCCCACATTTTTTATTCATAACTTGTAGAGCCACCCGGGTGTCTTGGCGTAGCACAGCTCCTTTCCAAACTGGGATGTATCCCCTTGGAAGCGCTTGGCAGTGACATCACCATAGCGCTAATTCCCAAAGTGGTCACCCCGCTCCTCACAGCGGCGCAGCCTCTGGCCTGGCTAAATATAGCAGCAGAAAATGTGATTGATCCCACGTTTGTCGTTACATTCTTCCTCAGCGCTCAGCCCTTGAACCGTGAATGAATCATAAACTGTTATACATACTTGACTGGTTGGCTGTAAAATCGGTGCTGAAATAAGCTCCATCACCTCACATTACATCTGACTTTCGTTGACCGTATGTTGGTTTTTCACTTACTCGGTAACCAGGGATACTGGAAACTTGGGGCTGTTATGTATTTAGTACGGGTTGTGCTCTGCATGTGTAGCTACCACAGCCATGCTACATAGTAGTAAGTTTGTCTCAAACCGAGACTTAAAAGTTAAAACTATACCGCGGTGGCGACTGTACTGACATGTTGCTACGCCGCGCAACACGTCATTTCTTGGAATGGGATAATTCCGGCCATCTGATGGATGCCGCCCCTGCCGGAAAACATAAATTTGGCCCTGCTCACCGCCTGCTGGGTACTCTCTTCCACGAAATGAGCCTACCACTTTGAATCACCCCCTAGCCTCAATGTATGCACACAGATTCGAATTCCGAGCCACTTTAAATAAAAATAAGACGAAATCCGAAATTCGGTGAAGACAAGCATGATTTCACCTTTGCAACACGGGTAGAGTGTGCTTTGGCTTCAGGTCCGTCTAATCCCTTTGCTGGTACAGGGTAAACTAGTGGTCAGAAACCATCGCATACTATCAGGCCAGTGTGCCAACGTCTAGGCGAATGGAATTATCCTTCAACGGGTGAGCTGGGGGACCATCCCTAGGGTTGAAGGGTATGGTGAGGAAGATGTGCCTGTTCTGGTTGCGCCGCATGGCCGATCGTCTAAAGACCTCGCACGTCGTCTGGTGTATAGTTCTTGAGCATTATCTCGGAGTCTCACAGCAATCCAACGTATGGATAAGCGTCGATGGATAAAACACTGAGAACACCTGATTAGGGTTTTCCTCTCTTGGATATGCGTCGATTGTTCTGACGCCCGGTATACGGGACGCCATGACCTGTGCGCGCATTCGTACGAAATTTGGGAATAATCGGAGCAAGCCGTAAAGGGCGATGGTTGATATTGTGCAAGGGAAAGTTCCAGGACGAAATAGCTCATTACAGTGCACGCTGCTATCGCGCTGGGCTAATGCTCTGTATACTTGTCGAAGACCGCAATACAATTCTGTGTACCAATTTCTGAAACCCGTAGTGCTCGGAAAAGCGTAGAATTAATATTCCAAACATACTTCAGTGCCTGGCACATTGGGTCTGGATTGGTAGATCAAGGGTGGATGTGTAGGGATTTGTTTCCCTTGGCTTCCTAATTCGTCTTATCACTTACTGATCTCGTTTGTTATCTTATCTATGTCACTCCTTCCCCATTCCTCATTCCCCTATGATTCCCCGTATGTTCCCAGTTAGCTTATGTAACTTACTACCTAGGTATATATAGAGTAGTTCTCATCTGTACGTAGGTAGTTCTCCTTCCAACACGAAGCTTACACCACTCAAGCCCAGTGTCCACTGTGAGAATTCCGTGTGCCGAGCCCAACGACTCGTCACATATTTTTGAGTGAACAAGCTCTCTTCTCTACTCTCTACTCTCTCTCTCTCTTCTCGACGCCGACTCGAATCCTGGAAGCAACGGTCTGATCAACCGACGCCACCCGACTCGAAGACGCAATAAACAACCACCAAAAACCGGTCCTCGACACCCACAAGATGTCTCGGACCACCACCACCACCACCAACACCACCTACCGTGCTCGACTTCGCTCGGGTACGGTGCTCGGGGCTACTGGCCCAGTCCCGAGGTCGCTGCCAGGTACGTACGGCGACAACCCTGTTGAAGACTCACCTTTTGCTAGCGTGGCTTCGGGGGTCCCAACCGCGAGCGGTGGCGGGACCCAGTCGTTGGAAAATTTGCCTGAGGGTGTTTCCAACGCTGCCTCCAGCGGCCGAGCCGCTGCTGGAGAGGCCGAAACCGCGAACAACGCGGGTGTAGTTAGTGTAGATACCGGCGGCAATACGAACGATGCGGGCGCCGAGTCTGAGGGCTCGAGCGACTCCGCGGATATCCCAGAAACCCCGGTTCGAAAGGGAGGCTCTAGGCCCCCACTCACCTCTGAGCAAATCCGTGCAAATTGAGATCGCCCAATCCGGATTAAGTCGAGCTCAGCGTGACCAGATCGAGAAGCGGCGCGAGCGTGTGAACAATTTAGGCGCCCGCTCTCGTGACCCCACCCCCGGCCCCTCTAAGGACAAGGGTAAAGGCGTAGACGTACGCAATTGGGGTGACGTCGTCAGAACTACGACTGACGAACGTGAACTGGATCCTGAAGTCCAGAAAGCCTTATTGGACCAAGCTATTGGCAATGTTTTAGAGGCTGAAAGGGTGGCTGGAATAGTTCATCCATATGAAACTGAGGATGATATTGAACAGGCTACTAACCCTGATACAAAGGGAACTAACTCTAAGGATAAAGGTAAGAAAGATATTTCGGAGTCCAAGAAGAGAAAGAACAAAGAACGTCGTGAAAAAAGTCGTGAGAAGAGCCGCGCCCGAAAGAAGAAGGCGGCCACCCCTCTCTCCACTAGCATGGGAGATCTAATCGACAAAGTTACCAAAAACGTCGACAGAGGCTCCGATGACGACGGCTCGAATGATTCTGATAACGACTCCGACGATAATCTTAACCCTGCGGGTAAAATAGACCCCAAGAGCACTTTGGGTGCTACCTTCAAGAAGCTAGATAAACTTGAGAAGGAAGAATCTAAAAAGACGAAGAAGAAGTCAGCCAATAAGGGAAAGAAAAAGGGCAAGAAGAGTAAGAAGGATAAAAGGAAACGAGGTAGAAGTCGAACTCGTAAGAATGGATCTCGCAATAACGATGGGGACGACGAACCTTCAGACTCGTCCGACAGCTCGGATAGTTCCAGCGAAGAGTCCGAGGGGAACTGCAGGAGTTCGGACGACGGTTCCGGCTCTAGCTCTTCGAGCGACGACACTTCGGGCGACAGCGATAGCGATGACGGACGTCGTCGACGAAAGGCTAGGAACGTCAAGTCAGTAACTCCCCCTGATTACAAGGGACAGCAAAACGTACCCCACTTTCAACGCTACATGACGTTGGCCACTAACCGAGTCGAAGACTTGGGCCGACGTCTTCCTTCCAATCGCCGAGTTGGATACGTGGCCCAATACCTCAAGGGGCGCGCTTGGGACTGGTACCACCGCGAGATCGCTTACCGTGAGGAGCGTATGACCTTGTCTGAATTTTTCCGAAGGCTCTACAACTGGGTCTTCCCGGCTACCTGGAAACAGGAACAGCGTGACCGTTTGGACGCGATCAGGCAAGGTGGCCAAACCACTCGTGAGTTTTATGGACGATTCAGGGAGTTGTGCGATACGGTTGGACTTACCCACAAGGGTGAGATGGTCCAGCGCTTCTTCCGCGCCCTTAGACCCGAATTCCGCGAAGCGGTGTTCACGCGCCGCCTCGATCCCGACACCATCTCGATGCGCAAGCTGATTAAGGAATGTGAGTATGTGGAGCTCGCGCGTTCAGTCAGGCAATACCACACTCACCAAAATGGCCAAGATGGGGGAAAGCGCCGACGGGATGCCGATGGGAACCGTCGAGACAGGGGCGAGCGCCGAGATAAGCGCCAGCGCCAAGACCGATCTCGCGATCGTCGCGAAGACCGCAAGTCAAAGAAGACAAACGCGACTCCTGGTTTTAATTCAAACCAGACTAAGTTCAAACGCGATAACGAACGCAGAGAGAAACGCAAGGTGCTTACCGAAGAAAAGAAGGCCAAATTGAGGAAAGAAAATCGGTGCTTCCACTGTGAGGAGACCGGTCATATGGCCAGTCGTTGCCCCAAGCGCAACGCGGTAGCCTCGTCTTCACGTGGACCACCTGGAATTTCAAATTCCAATATCGAGATCGAATTGGATATGGCGCACGAAGACGACGGCACTACCTCGGGCAGTGATGGTGACGACGAGGTGAGTAACCTATCTCTTCATCTGAATTCAGCAGCACTTACCGATAACCTTCCCCCCAGCTCGACTACCTCTCTGACGACGATTGAAGATCGTCGCTCGGAACGTACGGATCTGGTGAAGGAGGCGGATGAATTAGTTAGCGTGCTCGAATGCTTAGATGACGATGAATTGATTGACTTACCTTGGAAGACCCGCGTGCCTGGTTGGGAAGATGAGCACGCCGAGCGTCAAGCACTGATCCCAATGGGGGACCCCCTTC